GTGCCGCGGCATATATTTTTATTGGCGACATTGACGCGCATCCCCCCTCTTTTCCCTCTCTCTTCCCCAACTTATGATTTTTTATTCCCGTGATTCTTTTTCCCCTCCTCTCAAGTCTTTAAACAATATCCCCTTCCCTTCCTCTAAATTTTTTTCTCGCTTTTGTCTTCGATAAAAATAGAAATTCTTGGAAGCTGCGAGGGGATATGTAAATTATTTTCAGTTGGCCAAATCAACAAATAAAAATTTTTCTCATTTTGCCAATAAAAAATTAAAAAAAAATCTTAAAAATCACCCCTATACAAAAGTTAAAGCTATAAGATCGAGAGAAAAATCCGAGAGAGACATATAGGGATGGCAATGACAAAAATGGTAGTTCTAAGATAATAAAATTCCTTTTCTTCAATAATGCGGGCATTTTTCAAATTTGGGGACAGCCCTGATCCCGATATGTCCATCCCTGTTATGCAAAAGCTTATTTCAAAAAATCCCTGTTAAACAAATACAAAGAAAATACAAAAAAAGTCTTTAAGATTTTTGACATCATTTCCTTATTTTTAAAAAAAAACTTTAAATTTCCTTTTCTGGTCAAAAATCAAAATATTCTTCCTATAATTTCACACAATAATAATTAAAAAATAAAAACCCCAAAAAATGCATGAGAATGAACATTAAAAAATGAATAAAATAAATTTTTATCAAAAGAAAACGCCGCCTAAAAAATTTTTTCCTGCTTTGTTTTAACCAATCGCGCCTTGAGGGTGTTGTGGCGGTTAAATTTCTTTTGATGTTGATAAAATATTTATAGGAGAAAAATAAAAATGTTTTATTATATTAGGATTTTTGTGTTTCTTTTTTTATTGCAAATTAAAGTGCGCATATAAACATAGAGTAGTATTAAAAATGTTTTTGATAGCTTAATAGACTTTTAATAAAGCAATAAAACAAGAGGAAGAGAAAAAAACAAAAGTTGATAGAAACATGTTTTTCTGGATGTTTTTCTGATTAAAACGTTTTTGAATCCCTTAAAAACATGTTCGTCTGCTTCTCTGATTAACATGTTTTTCATACATTAAAAACATTCAAAAATATGTTTTGGAAATATCAAAGGAAACAATAGACAACAAGAGAAAGAGAAACAAATGTTTTTAGAAACAAACATGTTTTTGTTGAATGTTTTTCTGATAAAATGTTTTTATGTTTTAAACAAACATGTTTGTGTATGTTTTTATGTTGTTTAGGAAAAACTTTCAAACATTAGAGAAACAAACTTTAAAACATGCTAAAAACATGTGTTTTACAGAGAAATAGAAGTGTGAAATGAACAACTTATTAACTAGTTAGAGAAAATAAACAAATAAAATAAGTAGATTAAAAATAGTATTTAAAACATATTCATTCTCTCGAGAAAAAAAAGGTCAAAAATATATAGAAACAAAAAGCATTTTTATTTATTTATTTTCATTTTTCCTCTTCCAAAAACAAAGAAAAATATAGAAAAAGGACATTTTCACATTATCGCTAACCATAATCTTTTTTTTTCTCCCTTTAAAAACCTCCCCAAGTGGCCAAGCCCCGAAATTTCCAAGTGGGAATTGGGAATATGGCCTGAGGGGAAAGAAAAAATTTTTTTTTGATTTTTGTTTGTCTGCTTTTTATTGTTTTTGGAGTAAATAAAAATAAATATAAAAATAAATAATTTTGAAAATACTCCCCAAAAATGCAAATTTATAAAGGCAACCCAAAAGATCACCACTAGAAATGTTGTTCCTCTCGTGGTGATTTAGTGTACGTGGTCAAAAAAATTTTTAAAAAAAATTTTTTTTAAAAATAAAAATATATTAAAAAATATAATTTTTGCAGAGTTAATTTTTTTCTTTTATCAACATAAAAATAAATATATATTTTATTTATAAGCCCTTTTTTCGAAAAATAATCCCCCACATAGAGTTGCCTTATCAAAAATTTTTAGCAAGAAAAACAAAAAAAATTAATATAAAATCAATTTAAAGTAGAGAGGTGTTGAAGAGATTAATAAAAATAAATATACAAAAAAATTATGATAAGGAGCAAAAATTAAGAAAAAAAAATTAAAAAACGAACGATGGACTTACAGTTTTAATTTTAGAAGAGGGTTTAGTATGTTTCAAAGAAAGGCAAATGCATGAAAAGTTTTTTTTCATGGCTTTTGCATGATTAAAATCAAAGTGGAAATCCCCTCCCTCCACTCCCCCAGCCAAGCTTCTTACAGATTTTATGCTTTTTGTCTAAATTAATTTTTAAAAGCTGAGAGCGCTTTTTCGCTTTTTCTAGTATATAAAATGTATTGTTTTAGAGCGTTCAAAAATAGTAGAAAAATATATAAACTAAACAGAAAAATAAAAAGAGGTCTCCTAACCATTTTAGCGTCCTTTTAAATGAAAAAGAAAAATTTGAATTTTTGGGTTAAAAAAAAGAATTTTTGGGAGAAAGTCGAAAAGAGAGTGAAAAGTAGTGGCAGCAGATGGGCACATTTCTTATTTCTTTTTAGAGTGTTTAAAAATTGAGGGGGGATGAAAAAAAAAATAGAATAAAAGTAGAAAGTAGAGAGAGGGGAAAGAATTCTTGACCAGAAGTTTAAAAAAATGGGGGGTTGTTTCTCGAGCAAAAAAATCTTTTAAAGTAGAATAAAAAATTAAGCGAGATACAAAATAAAAATAGGAAAAAAACAAAAGTTGGGAAGATTTAAGGTTAAAAATAGGGTTGTTCACTACCGGTTATTAACCGGTACCCCCGGTTTTCGGTTAATCCATATTTTAAAAACCGGTTTTCGGTTTTGAGTTTTAGACAAATAACGATTTTATTTCGGACAAATTTCCGGTTTTTAAAATTTTCTAAAAGCGGTTAATTTTAGGCAAATTTCAAAAATTCCGTTTTAAAACCGGTCGTGAACAAGCCTAGTTAAAAATTAAAAAAATTATAAAGGATTGAATTACCTCCCCCCAAAAAATTTAATTAATTACCAAATTTAATTTAAAAATAAATATTTAATTTAAAAAATCAAAACCATACCTTCTCTTCCTTTGTAAAATACACAAACATTTTGACAAGGTAAATAAATATTAAAATTTTGATAGATTTGCGGCGTTGATAAAAATAAATATAATTATAAACATGTTGTTGTTGTTGTAGAGTAATTAATAAAGAATCCATTCCTCTACCAAAAATTAATTTTGAAAAATTTTTGAATTAAATTCTCTTCTTAAAAAGCTGAAAATTAAAAAAATTTAAATTTAATTAAAAATATTTTTAAAAAATTCCAAAACATTGTCCAAAAATTTTGCTATTCTTAACAAAAAAATTCTGAAAAAATTGTCAAAAAATATAAATTTTTTCCCAAAAAATTTTTTCCCAGAATAATTTTCAAAAAAATTTTTTTACGTTCTTGAAAATTATTTAAATAAAATTTAAATAATAAATGTATAAAATATAATGTGTAAATTAATTCACAACATTTTTTAAACAAAATAAAATTAAAAATTTTAAAAATATTTTATGCGCATATAAAAATGCAACAAAATTAAAAACTAAAATTTTTTAATTAATTTAAAATTTATATAAAACTACTACAAAATATTTAAACTTTAATTTATATATAAATATATCTTTTTTATATGGGATATTTATTATTTAAAAAAAAATATATATTTTAAGCTTAGCTTATTAATAAAAAATTTCTTTTTAAAAAAATTCATTTTTTAAATAAATTTGAAAGAAAATTTAAAATTTCTAAGGAAATTCAAAATTTTTTAACTCAGCAAAAAATACAGAAAATGCTCAAAAAAATTTTTTCAAAAGAAATTTTTTTAAAAAAACGGCAAGGAATGAGAGAGAGAATAAAGAGTGAAGAGAAAATTTTAAAAAATCAAGCGAGATAAAAATTTTTAAAATAAAATAAAAAGGAATGCAAAGTAAAAAATAATTATAAGAATAATTAGAATTTTTTGGAGAAAAATGGCTACACGCGTTTTTAATACAAATACAAATATTTTAAAATTTAGAAGATATGTGTTTTGAAATAAAATAAAAATTACAAAAACATGTTAATGTTTTTATAGTATTTAATTATTTGTTTGACAAAAGAAAATTCTGATTTTTATTTGTATTTTATTAATAAATCAGAATTTAATTTCTAATGTTTAGATGAAATTCTGATATTTAAAAAATGTGTTTTTCTAGCATTCTAAAATTCTGATTTCAAAATAATTCTGATTTTTAAACAAATAATTCTGATTTCCCAAACAAATAAATAATTCTGAAAAATTATTTATTTGTTCTGATTTTTTTTAATTCTGATTTTTTTTCAGAATTATTTGTTTGGGAAATCAGAATTATTTTTTAATATTCTTAAAATCAGAATTAGAATCAGAAAAACATTCTAAAAAATTATGATTTTCTGAAATTCTGATTTTTATTTGTGTATTTTATGTGTTTTTTGTATTTTCTTTGTATTTCTACCAAACCAGAATTTTCTATACTTTTTAATTGTTTCGCCAAACAAATAATAAAAACAAAAACAATTGATATAATTTCAAAGCTTTGTAAAAAGAGATATGCGCGCCTTTTTTAAGTCTAAAAAATATTTAATTTAAATTTTTTATTATTCTTAAAGGTTTGCCGATATATGCAAACCTCTGGAATATAAAATATTTTTTTCTAGAAAAATTATTTAAATTCGAGACTAGAAGGGAAAGAGAAGAATGGAAAATAATTTTGCAAGTTTCGTGTATTAAAATTATTTTCTGAAAAATTCTTCTAAATATTTGTTCAATACACAAAAATTGTAAAATTATTTCAGAAAATATTAATTATTTACAAGTGAAAAAAAAATAAAAAAAAATACTTATGTATGTCCACAACACATCAAAATAAATCTAGCACAACGCGCATATTCTAATTGAATTTGATCACACACACAAATAGTAAATTGAATCCAAAAAAAAGAGAAGAATCATATTTTTTCAAACTTCAGTGCCTAAAGATGGAATTGGTGGAAAATTGGAGTTGTTATCATCCTGATTGTTGTTGTTTTCAATGCCTTCCTTACATGTAGAATTCTTTCTGTCTTTAGCGGATCTATTGAAAAAAATTTTAAAAAATTATAAAAAATTTTTTTGAAAATTTTCAGAAAAATTTTTAAAAGATTTTCAAAAAATCCAAAAAAATTTTTTTTCAAATCCGAAAAAAATTTTTTTTCAAATCCGAAAAAAATTTTTTTCCAGAAAATTCTCAAAAAAATCAAAAAAATTTTTTCAAAAAATCAAAAAATTTTTTTCAAAAATTCCAAAAAAATTTTTTTGAAAAAGAAACCTTTCTTCTTCTCCACCAGTAACAACAGAACCACCAACACCACTACCATTTCTTTTTAACATAGCCTGTGCATAACTTCGTCTTTGTTGACCTAATATTTGGTGTTCTTGTTGCCCTCCTCCTCCACTTCCACAACTTATTGTATCACTTCTAGGAGTTCGTGTTGCTTGTTCTCCTCCTCCAACAGTTAAATAAACATTTTCAACATTATTATTCATTTTTCGACCATTCCCCGAAGGTGTTGTACACGTAGCTGTAGATGTTCCAATTGTTGCTCTTCTTGGTCTTCCTCCATTTCCTCCTCCTCCACCTCCCGCTACAACAACAGAAAATGGTTGTTTAATTGAAAATAATGAAGCTTGTTGCTGGTCTAATAACAATTTTGGTGAAGATGGTGATGGTTGTTCTGAATGACATTCACTTGCTTTACGACTATTTGTTTGACTTAAACTTAATGCTGGAAATTCTTCTACATGTTCTTCAAAATTATAACTAAAATTAGAAAGTTATTGAGATAATAAAATGTGCCCCATCCCTTGGAAATTTTTTTCGTGCCTTGAAGACCCACAGGATGTGTCAAGCCTTGAAGACCCACAGGAAGTTTGGGGCATTAAGGACCCACAGAATGTGTCGGGCCTTGAAAACCCTCAGGATGTAAAGAGAACAAAGAACACCAATAATTTTGGGGAAGAATAACTCATTGCCCTTAAGACCCACAAGGCGGAGAGGACCCAAATTCCTCAAAAAAAGCTTTTAAAAATCAAAAAACCTTGATGGTTGTTGTTGTTCATCAATTTTATTTAATCCTTTCAAGTTTGAAAAATTATGTTGGTCAATAACAACACCAAATTCTTTTTCTGTTAACACGTTGTTAGCTTCAGGGAAACGAATTGAGGTTGGTCGCGTTGGACGGTTGGACGAAGCGAATGGAGGTTTAACCTATAATCAAGCTTGTTTTAAAAATTAGTAATAAAAAATGTAATTGTGTTGTTTCCCTCCCACACCCAACTTTCCTTTAAAATGTACATAATTAGCTCTCTTCCTTCAAAAATTCATTTTATTTTACTGAAGGATAAAAAGAAAATTTTTGAATAAATTCTACAGGAAAGATAATATGAATTTATAACCATTATGTACATTCTAAAGAAAAATTAGATAAGGGAGGGAAACTACACAATTACCAAAAAAGAACCTTTCTATGTTGCTGAAATTTATTTTGTTGTTGTTGCTGTCTTTGATATTGTTTCTCCATCATTTCACCTTCTCCTCTTTTTTCATCAAAAAATAATTGCTGTTGTTGTTGTTGAAGCAAAACATTATTATTTGACATAACAATTGGTGTATTATTATTTACGTTATATTCACTTCCACTACGTCTCATTACTGTTTTACTACTAGTTGAACCTCCTTTAATGCCAATTCCTCCATCATTATCTACCCACCTCTGTTGTTGATGTTGTCTTTTTATTCCAACATTTCTCCCTACTCCTTGCCATTGACCTCCCTCGTTATTTCCAAGTTTTTGTTGTTTATTTAACCAATCACTATTGCTTGTAGACCATGTTCGAGGTTTGTAAGGATTTGTGTTTTGTGCTCCTCTAAATGGTGGTGGTACTATTGCTTGATCACGTCCACCAAAAGATTTATTTCGGTCAAAAAATTTTCTTAAAAAATAAAAATTAAAAAAATCTTTTGGCACTCCTGCCGTTTAAGGGGCCGAATGACAAAAAATTGTTCATTGACCTTTATGAGATCCCAATTTATTTTATTCTCTTTTGGGAAAAATTCAAAAATAAGGCTACCAAACAAAAATACTTGAGATAGTATATGTTATTCGAAAAAGCTCGCCGAGCTGACTGACGAGTCAAATGACACAAAAGTCTTCCGAAAAAATTATAAGGTCAGAGAACTGCGAACCCTTTAAACGGCAGAAGTGCCCAACTTTTATTAAAAAAACAAAACCTAGTATTCCCTGCTTGTAATTGTTGCACAAATTGATTAAAAGAGTAAGGTGGATGTTGTTGTCCCGAAGAATTTAAAGCTTGACTTAATGAAAGGAGAGGTTGAACATTTCTAGTTATTAAAGCTGAAGAAGAATGTTGTTGTTGCTGGGATAAACTGTGCAATGGTGTCCATTGTTGTTGCTGTTGGACATTTGTTTGGCGTAACTCAGCTTGAAATTTTCGTTCACGGCGGTAAATTTTTTGCATGTGGTGCTCAAATTAAATCTCCTCCCCCTATTCCGTAGCGCGTCGTTATGGCTTTTAGGGGTTTGCCATTTCGGCTGCTTGCCAATAGAACCCTTGGCATTTCGGCGTTTTCCTATTATGGCACCATACCTTCTATTTATGCCGCTACAGGCAAAAATTTTACCGGTTGTTAACGATCATAATACAATTTTTTCAAATAAATTTTCAATTCAAATAGAAACCTGATAGTTTTTGTTGTTGTTTTATTGATTTATTAGTATTACCAGCTTCATGTTGTCGCCAATTCAAACTTATTGTAGCTTCACTAAGAGGACACAATTGTTGAATATTACAAGTTTGAGAAGACAAAGATGATTGTTGTTGTAAAGGAGGACCTTCAGAACGTCTAAGACCATAAGAATTTAACAAACTTTTTGGAATTTTCTGTTCAATTGAATTTGCTCTTACAGATTTTTGCGATCTAACAAGAAAAAAATTTGAAAAATTCATAAAAATTAAAAAAACCTTTCATTAATTTCCTTCTCAATTCCCTCATTATTTTCTTCAAAATGTTGCCGTTTTTGTTTATTCAATCCATTTGCAGCCATAGCAAGTTGATAAGCTTCAACACTTTCTTGACGTTGAAATCCTTTAAAACCGCCACCACCGGCAATTGGAGTTTGTGGTGGAGGAGAAGATATGCGTCTATTAATAACTGCTGCTGTTGTTGTTACTTGATTGTTAGATATCGATGAGGCTAAAAAGAAATTAAATTAGAGGCTAAAAAAATTAAATACTCTCAATCTGAAGTAGTCGTGGGTTCAACCCAAAACCGGGTTTAGTTTAGTCAAAATTATTGATCTGAACCGTCTAGCTAAGTTGGTAAAACCCCAGACTCTCAATCTGTAGTCGTCGGTTCGAACCTCACACCGGATCTAACATTTTCTGTTTGGGCAAAATGATTACTTCACAATAAAGTGCCACTCGATAATCCCAATTTGTTAGAACACCAGAAACGTCTAGTTTAGTCGGTAAAGCCCCAAACTCTCAACTGTAATAGTCGTAGGTTCGAACCCGTCACCGGGTCTAACCTTTTTTCGTTGCCATTTTAGAGAATAATGTCTCAACTATTTTGTTTAAATGAAAAAAATTTTCAAAAATTTTTTTCAAATCCTAAAACCCCTTCAAAAATTAACAACAAACCTCCTTTTCCATTAATTCGCGGATCATCAGTAATTCTTGGGATAGAGCTTGGCACGAGTACAGGTGAAACTTCAACACCAGTTTCTTTTGCTTGTTGTCGAATAATATTTTCATTTTGTCCAACTATTTTTGGTAGAAAAAAAATTTAAAATTAAATCTTATTCAAAAAAACGTCAAAACACCAAAACCAAAAAATTTGGATCACAAAAATAAACCATACACACAAGGGTAGAAGAACAAAAATTATACAAAACTTTTACTATTTAAACAAAAATCATACCATTTTTTAATAAAAGTTGAGGAACTTGAAGTTGAGGAACTGCTTCTTGATTTTCATCATTTTCTTTCTCATCCTCCTCCTCATCTTTTCCTTCTTCTTCCTCACATTTTCCCTCTTCCTCACACTTCTCCTTCTCCTCATTTCCATTTCCATCTTCTTCTTCTTCCTCCTCTTCATCACTATTACAACATTCACTACCAACCATACCACAAACCTCATAAATATTTTGATTTTCAAAAGTTAAAGCATCTTGAAAAAGCTGTTGCTGTATTCTTCGAAATGGATAACGTTGTTGTTGTTGTAAAAATAAAGCAAGGTCAAGTTGTTCAGGTGTATAACAAATATCTTTTAAAAAAATAATACAAACCACAGAAAATAGAATAGAAAAAAATTTTTTGAAAAAAAGGTTTTGATAACCAACCACAAAGACGGGAGCATACAGCCGTAATAGCAAACGCCGAAATACCAAACTCATCCCTAAAGACGTCGAAGTACCAAACAGGGAAGAGTATTTCACTGGGAAGGTTGTTCCAATAAAGGGAAAGTCTGCCACATCGGAAAGGTTCTTAACAAACCACATTTTAATATTTTGGTGCCTTCTGTGAGGCGTTTGATATTTCAGCTTTTGGTATGCTCCGTTAAAACCAAACATGAAAACTTAAAAAAATGTTCAAATTTACCATTTCGTAAAATTGGTTGTGTAAAATAAGAAGTTGGTTGTGGCAATCCATTCAATAAAGTTCCAATTCCAGTAGTCGTTGGTTGTAAAGGTGGAAGGACAGAAGAAGTTGGTGGAGGAATATTTGGACGAAATGTCGCCTTAAAAAATTTTTTTTTGATTTTTATGAAAAGAAAAAAAAACAAACTCTAGGAACATAACCATATTTTGCCAAAATTTGCCCCAAATTGAAAGGACCAGGAGAAGTACTAGAAGCAACAACTGCAATATTGTTTGTAGCAGTAGAAGAAGCTGATATTTTTCTTTTTCTCATTTCGTCTTCCAATTCGTGCTCAATTTCACCAAAAATTAAAAAAATTTTAATTTGAAAATGTAAAAAAACCTCCTCCTCCACCTCCTCTTTCACACGGACGTAAATGTTGCTGTGAATTTGGCGTTGTTGAACGTTCAATATCCAAATCATGAATTATTAGTTGTCCATGTAATCCATTTTCTGAAAATCGTAGCAATTGTTGATGAACATCTGGACTGTGTCTATGATCAGCACCAATGGGTGCCCCGCCATTTTTTATACGCGCCTTAAAAATGATTGAAAATTTTATACAAATTCTGGCGCTGGTCTAGTCTATGAGGCCAATGAACTTTTATGAGGCCAGTTGAGGTTTGTATCTTTATACGGTATTGGCCTCGTAACGGTATTGGCCTCGACGGGTATTGGCCTCGTAAACTTTCAAAAAGCTTATAAAATTTTAAATGGACTCATAAAGGTTCTCATTGGTCTCATTGGACTCGTAAACTAGACCAGAGCCATTTCTTTTCTCCCTCCGCTTACAAAAACTGGCGCCGGTCTAGTTTATTCGTCCGATGAACCTTTATGAGTCCAATGGAGGAGTAAATCCTTATAGGTACCTGACACGACGGGTATTGGCCTCACATACTTTCAATGGGCTTATAAAACTTTAATGGATTCATAAAAGTTTCATTGGACTCATAAACTAAACCAGAGCTAATTTTTCTTTTCTCTCTCAGCTTACAAAAACAGGCTTTCCATTAAACGTTTTTCCCAATGTTTGAAGATGAAAGAATGCTTGTTGTGTTTCTTCTTCAGTTTGAAATGTTACATACCAACTATCATTTAAACCATAAGCTAAAGAAAGGTATGGTGGACATTGGCCATCTTCACTTTGGAACATTGATTTGACTTCCTAAAAAAATGGGAAAAAATTTTTGAAAAATTTTAGGAATTTTTTTTTTCAAAGAATAATTAAAGAAAATTCTCACAAGGAACCATCTTTCACTGAAAGTGCGAATTTGATATATTTTTTGATACCAATCGATAGAGGACCCCTGACTTACTATTGTAAGGTAATATCCGTTTTATTGCAAAATCAATTTGGGCCGAGTTATAGCCGTTCAAAGTTTTGGGTTTTTGGAAGGTTCAGAACTTTTTTTTGAATATCTATCTACAAGATAATTTTTTGAGAATTTTTTTCGAATAATTTTTCTTAAATTAAAAACAAAAAATTTCATACATTTTCATCAGCATTTTGTGGAATTTCTCTCAAAATAATAGTGCATCGTTTCGACATTGGTCGCACTTTTGTCTCACTTTCATCAACTTGTACTTGTGAGGAAGCTTTAATGAAAAAATCACTTAAATTAAAAAAATCCACTTCCCTTACATTTAAGCACATTTACAATCAAATCAAAGTCTGTACTTAATTGTGCAACTTTTGGAAAATTTGCAACAATTTTTATTGGGACATATTGATCAGCATCCATTTGACAACGCAAATAACGATCATTAATTAAATTTTCTCTAGAAAAAACGAAATAAAAATTTTTTATTGAATTTTGGCAAGCTCTCATAGTAGGGTAGCACCCCGATCCCCATTTATTTAAAAAAGTATCCGTCGTTAAAGGTGACAAAAAACTTCCGAACATAACTTGTGGTTTTACGACAGAGATCAGAGTTTACGTTCGGAGTTCGGGTCGGGAGTTTAGCCAAAAATTCGTTGGAGTCTGAGGATCAAGGGGACAGAGTGCTACTCAACTTCAAGTCCCCCAGAAGCCAGGGGGGCTTCTGGGGCTCTAGAAGCTATATCGCAACTAGGATGTTGCGACAGGGATCGTGATTGAGCCTTTGAAGTTTGGATCGGGGATTTTTAAAGAAAAATCGACGAAATCGGACATTCGGTAGGACGAGGTCACTACCTTACTTTATAATAAAACTTTAAAAAAACTAACCGACTAAAATAAAATTCTAATTGTTTTGTAAGTCTAGCCCTAAGTTGTTCTTCATTCATTGGAATAGCACCACAAATACTTGAAGGGGGTCGTTGTTCAGGCGTATTTGAACGAATAAATTGTTCTGGTCCTGGGACAGAAAGTAATTGATGACGACATTCTGCTGTGAACCACCAAGGCTTAAAAAGAAAATTTTTTTCTTAAAATTTGAAAAAATAAAAAATTTTAAGGATGGGATCAAACGTCTCCTCCCAAAAATTATTCAATAAAATTATTTTAAAAAATAAAAAAATTTTTTTGAGGTTGGGACCAAATGTCTCCTGTCAAAAATTATTCAATAAAATTATTTTAAAAAATAAAAAAAAATTTTTTTAAGGATAGGACCAAATGTCTCATCCCAAAAATATTTAATTATTAAAAAAAACCCTAACCAGCATCGGCAAAAATGGGGAAGCATTTGAACTATTACAATTATTATTAGATTGATAATGATGTTGCCCAGGAGCCGACAAAGTTTCAGGGACTTTTTCTTCATTCTCCTCAGATTGTTGAACTTCTTTTATAGCACCATCCAAATCATTAACCTTCAAAAAAATTTTTTACTTCAAAAAATTTCCAAGAAAAAACCTGTTTAATTACAAAACATCTAGGCCAAGTTTCAGTACATAGAAAAAAAGAACCACCACCAGCACCAACACCTCCACCACCACCTTCTAAATCGAATCCTGGAAGCATTTAATGAGGCAAATAACCAACAACAAACAAAAATAAATAATTCTTTGTTGCCTTAAATTGTTTGTTCTTTTTTTAAATTTAATTAAAAATCTTGAAAAAAATTTAAAAAAAATAAATTTAGAAAGGATAAAAATTGGGAGTAGGCAAAAATAATTTTTTTAATTATCTAAAAATCGAGTTCATTATAAATTATTGGGTGGTCCATTAAAAAATTTAGAAAAAAAATTACAAAAAATAAAAAATTATTTGGGTAGTTGAGCGTCGCGGGAGGGATTAAAAAATGTTGACTGAAAGTCCCCCAAAATTTAATTTAAATTTGATGTAAATATTCAGAAAAAATAAAGGAAGTATAGAAAAATAACGGAAATAAATAAGTACAGAAACTATTTAAAAAAATATTTTTTAAATTTCAAAAAAAAAATTTAAAAAAATTTTAAAAATTAAAATTTTTTGCCTTAAAAATAACCCAAAAAAGGAAGAAAAAATAAAAATTCATTTTTAAATAATAATAAAAGAAAAATGTGTTAAAGCGGAATATTCAATTATTAAATTAAAACCTCAAAAGTTTGAGCGATTCTTTAATAAATAGAATATGTAAAGAAATATTCCTTAATAGAATATTGAACAAAAAGAAAAAATCAGAGTTTGTAAATAAGAAGAAAATCATAATTTTTTAAAAAATCAGAATTTGTAAAAAGGCAAATATATCAGAATTTATAAATAAAAGGAAAACAGAATATGTAAAATAAATACCAGAATTTGTAATTTAAAAAAAATCAGAATTTTTAAAAAAGAAATGAGAATTTGTAAAAAATATCAGAATTTGTAAAAAAATATCAGAATTTGTAAAAGGAACAGAATTTAGAAAATGAAAAATCAGAATTTGTAAGTTAAAAGAAAATCAGAATTTGTAATTCAAAATTCTGAAAAATAAAAATATTCTTCAGAATTTTAAATAAAAAATTCTGATTTGTTTTATTTTCTAAATTCTAATTTTAATAATTAAAAAAGAGTATCACAAATCAGAATTATTAAAATCAGAATTTCATTAATAACACAATATTAAATAAAGTTTTTTTTCTTGTTTTTATAGTAAAAATATGCTTATTATAATTATGACGCAAAACAGAAATATAAATTAATTTTAAATTTAATGCGAGAGCCCCATAAATTAAAATTTAAAAACAAAACAATAAATTTAGAAAAAAAAATTATTTTTTAAAGCTCTCGTCACCCATTTTTATTTTTAAACCCCCAAAATTACTCTAAAATTAAACCTTCCCCCCCCCCCCCCCCCCAAAAAAATTTTTTTTCTATTTAAGCATAACCACCACCTCCCAAAAATAAAAATAAAATATGCATTATATATTTTAGAGGAGCGGTATAAATAAATGGGATGGGCGCGATGATAATAAAATAAAATAAAAAGGAGAGTATATTAAAAAGAGAAAATATGACGTTGTAAAATATACAAGTTGGGCGTTTGTGTCAGTCCATCTTCGTCAATGAAAAGAAAAATAAAATACAAAATATTAAGTAGAATATAGAAACTATTTTAAAAATATGCTTCTTCGACCAACCCTATTTAGTTAAAGAAAGAACAGAAAATTCAAAAAAAGGAGCCCAAACTTAAAGCGGGAGGTGATAAAAAAAATTAACGAAAAGTGGTAAAAATAAGGAAAAATATTGAGAAAAAAAAATTTTGAGAAAAAAAATATAAAAAATTTTTTTTAAATCAATCTGTCCTATTTTTACTCATCGGTGAACAATTTGTCGGTTACTTACTTACTTTCCCATCCCCAGTCAATTTTTTTTATTCAGACTGACCATTTTGTACATCTCTAACAAAAAATTTATTGGGGGTGAAAGTAAATAAGTACCCAAAATGTCTAATTTTAGGCATTTTTAAATAAGAAATATTTAAAAAATACCCCGATAAAAAAAAGGTTCACGCATAGACGTAAACCGGCTTTGCTTATTCTTCCTCCCTCCCATTTCTTTTCCTTATAGGGTCTCCCATAAATTTTTGGTAGTCGGTTCTCCCCAAGTTTTTTTTGCTCTTTGGTGGTTTATTTTATTATTATTAAAAATAGAGAGGAATAGAAGAGAAAAAGCGTAAAAATATATGAAAAATGAAGTTTTATTTAATAATTTAATAAATATTAAAAATAAATTATTAAAAGGAAATTTACGAAAAAAATTTTTTAAAGGCAAATTCTAGTGTGAGTGAAAAAATGAAGATCCCCACCCCATAACAATTCAAAAAATTTTTAACCTAAAATTTTCAAAAAATTTTTTTTTAAATAAATTCAACAATAGAAGTGCACCATACCAATAAAAAAAATTTTTTTTAATTAAAAAAAAATAAAAAAAAGGTTTTAGCCAAAAAAAAGAAGAAAATATTGAATTTTTTAGGAGAAAAAAAGTAGAAAATGGCTCTAAAAAAAGGAATTGTTAAATAGTAAAGGTACAAAAAAATAGTGAAATTGAGAAAATAGGATTTTAGGATGCTTCTCTTGGAAAAAATTAATGAAAATTTTATCTCGAAAAAATACTAACTAGTCTAGAAAATCAATTATAAAAAGAAAGAAGCATTATATGGAAAGGCTAGGGACTCCACCGGAGTCAGCGCAACTCGATGATGAAGCTCGAGCTCCATGGAGCAAAAACAAACAAAAAAAATGAAAAAGTACCTTAAAATCATGGAGGAGTATTTTTCGTTGAACAATTAAATTTTATAAAATAATTAGCTACGGAGAATCCTACAAAACTAATATTATTTCAGAAAAAATTTTTTAATAACAAAATTAACAAAAAATAATTTAATAAAAAAATTTTTTTCTTTAAATAATCGCGTCTTACGCTAAAATAGGAAATAATTAAAATAAATAAAAATAAATTTCCAAAAAATTACAAATATAGAAAATTAAAAAAGGATGGAGGAAATAAACTAAAAAAATATTTTAATGTTGCTTTAAATAAAAATAAAAAAAATTAGTAAGAATAAATTTAAAAAATTATGAAAAAAATTATGAGTGTGAAAATATGAGTAATAAAATTTTCAAGCAAAAAAAGATAAAGAGAAGGGAAACAAAGAAAAAATTTTTGAAGTTCCGGCTTTAAAGTATGAAAAAGAAACATTAAAAATTAAAAAATAGACATCCTGTTATAAATTTAGATCGAAAAAAATATTTTCTTTTGCTTTAGGAGTCACCGCAACACCCTGGGAGTGTTTCTTGTAAAAATGCCGGAGATGGAACCAGAGCTTTTCCAAATTTAGTAGTCTCCACAGAGGCTCGGTAATTCTGATATAAAATTAAGTTCCTCCCACACCCGGGTATAGAAAAGAGAGATAGACTTTAATGAACTTTTAAAAATTTTTAAGATTACTTTTTTGCACTTGAATAACCCCAGGTTAACGTTTAGAAACGTTTTTTAAACTTAAAATATGAACAGAAACAACAACAAAAATATTATTTTATATACAAAAATTGAGTCTTTTTTCTACTTCCTTTTAATAAAAAGCTTTTAAAAAAGAATAGCTTAATATAAGAGAGAAAATAAAAATATATTTGGAGGTAAAAAATAAAATAGTAAAAAAAAATTGGAAGCGCGGCAGCGCTGGTTAAAAGGAAAGAGGTAAAAAAGATAGGAAGCATGAGAATATATATTTGGAGAGTGACGTGAACTTTTCTATCCTAAGCTATATCCTTATAGAGAAAATATATAGAAATGTTCCTCTACAGCTGATGCTATACTAGAAAAAAAAGATATGAAGCTATAAACGATTTTTTAATAGGAAGCAAGTATAAAACATGGAGTGACATTTTATCCCTATTTTTATTTTTAAGAAATTTCGGGGTTTTTAAGGTTTGAGAACATTCTTATATGTGGACATTTTATTAGACACCTTTAAATAACCTCCCTCTTATTGGAAGAAAAAATTTTTTTGAAGGAAAAACAAAAAAAGTTTTTGAAAATTGGGATAAAATGTCACTTTGACAAAAGATCAAAATAAATTTCCCTATCGAATGGATTTATAAAAGGTTAAAGAACAAAAATAAAACCCGATTGATATATGTAGATGAATGAAAAGCAAAAATACCAACATAAATAAAAGAATATGAATCATCCTATAATTAAATAATATTTATTATTAGAGAAAAATGGAGGGAATAAAAGGAACGTCACTGCCGGATTTAGAAAAAATAAAGAGAGAAAAAAATTTTGTGAAAAATGAAAAAATTTTGAAAGAGACTTCCTTTAAAAATCCCACCAAAAAATCCTTCCTTTAAAAATCCCCCTTCCATTTTGAAAAAAAGACTTCATTTAAAAAATCTCACCAAAAATCCTTCCCTTAAAAATCCTTGCAAAAATCCTCCCCAAAAATCCTTACCTAAGAAAATCCCCTTCCAAAATAAAAAAAATCCCCTTCCAAAATAAATAAAGGCATTAAGTTAAAGCAACTTAAAAAAGCCCACATTTTTCTTTTGGTGTTACGTCTTCTTTTTACTTTACCACTCATTAATGAGGTAAAAAAGGATGCAAAAAAGGGGGACAAAAGGGAGAGAACATCCATCCGTCTATGCCACGTCCGTCGGTCGACCAACCCCCTCAATCTGTCTTTGTGTCAACATTTTCTCAAAAAAAAAAAATAAATAAAAAAAGGAAAAAAGCAAGAAAAATTTCTTTTTAATGCCCCCAAAAATTCATTGATATTGTCAACAAGTTGGTGACAAAATAAAAGAAGAAAGAAAAAAAGTGTCGAGACACAAATGAAAAATAACCCAACAATTAAAAATAAACAAGATAGCTTAAAATGGACTCAAAAAGATAGAAAAGTTTTTCGAATACTTCACAAAATTTTTCGACCCCAGCTAACACGGAAACTTTCATATGTCTGTAAAAAACCCAAAAATACCCAAAGGAAAGAGGAAGGCTCCCTGAAGGCTCCCCAACAACGTATTAGTATCAAAGAAAAATATAAAAATTTTTTTGACGAAATTATTCGACCCTCGAAAACTGCCCCATAAGCATAAACACATAACCCCAAAATTAAAAAGAAATATCAAAAAAAAAATCAGAAAAAATTTTTCCCTTAATAATCCCGCAAATTGAGATGAACCGCAATTCAGAGAAGAATAAAAAAACCCTTCCCCAAATAAACCTTAAAAGATCTCTCAAAGAATTTTTTCCTTAAAAATCCCACAAATTTAAATAAACCGCAACTCAAAGAGAAGAATAGAAAAGCCTTCCCCCCAATAAACTTTAAAATCCCCACAGAAAATTTTCATTAAAAAATCCCACAACTTAAAAAAGAATATTCGCTAATAGTCTTAAAAGGAGCTCATTTCACCATTGTCTCCCTAAAACAGCAAAAAAGTTTTCTATCCCCTTATCTCTACGTTAGCCATATTTTTCTTAATAAACACACAAACAAAACAAGGGTCGATATATTCGACAGATAATGGACGCGAAGAGAATATTGTGTTGTTGTTTTATGGAGGACTTTTTTTAGGTGAACTCTGTTATGGCGCTTAAAAATAAGGGAAGTAGTAGTAGAGAGAATAAATGAAAAAAAGGAATGAATAAATAGTAGCTCTAGGCTTTAGCCATTTTTAATTGACAGACTGTTTGACGTTTTTTGTTTGCTAGCTTGTGTGCTGCTTTTCCTCGAAAAAAAATAAAAAAATGGCCAGCGCCTTCTCTTTTTATGGTTAAAAAAGCTAATGGGGAAAAAGCTAACTAGGAAAATGAACAGAATAAAAAGCTGAAAAAGGAGAAAAATAAAAAGAAAAATTGGTGTCAGCATTTTGTGTCAACGCTGAACGTTAAAAGGAAAGATAAAAGAGTAGAGAAGTCAAAATTGTGTTGGAGGGAAGGGGAAAATAAATAAAAATAAAAAAAACATGATAGAAGCTCTGTCTGAAAATACTTCTAGATTACTAGTGACAAGTAAAAAGCAAGAAAAAATAGTCTGAAACACGTAGAATCCAGTAAATGATCCTGCTGGAACTTAACAATAAGTAAATGATCATGCTTGAAACTTCCCAAGTAGATGGCCTCGCTGAAACTTTCCCAAGGATGACTGGAGCGCTCGCCAATTGATAAGAAGGATATTAAACCCCAAATTAGTCTATCCTCTCTAATTAGAGTAGCCCAAAGTTTGCTAGATTTTGAACCTTATTTATTAAATACAGGGATACGCAAAAATTAAAAAAAAAGTCGGGCCGAGTTTAGGACCAAATAGGGATTTAAAAAATCCTTATACAGACAGAAAGAATAAAACAATCAAAAAATTGAATTAAAGAATTTTTTAAAGCCAAATAATCTTTTAAAATTATTAATGTTTTCTTATGAATCATGAAAAAACATATAAAATAGAAACAAAAAAAGAACAGAAAAAAAACTAGTTGACTTGACAAAAGATGTTATTAAAAAAGAAAAACTAAAAAGTGCAAGGTCGCAAAAAGAGCAATAAAGAGAGGGCCTTATTATTGCAAAAATAATAAACAAATAAAAAGGGGTAAGAAAAAAGGAAGGAAAAAGTAGCAGTATATGAAAGAGATTAACCCAAATGGTCAACACTCTAACTTGAGATTTTGAGAAGAGAGGACTTTAAATTACTCGAAAAATAAGGTTGGCAGATCCTAGGAAATATTCGGAACAGAAAATTTAAGGATATCTGGCCTTTTCCGGATCCGCCTAACTTACTCAAAAAAGAACCCTCACCCATAAGAGAAAGGAGAAAAAACCCAAGCTCCTCGTAAACCCCAGCAATTTTGTTAAAATATTTTTTAATTAAAAAAAATAAATAAACGAACCTAGTAAAACACACCACGAGAATTATACATCAGAATCAACTTCAGAGCCAATCCACATTTTTAGAAACCAAAACAATCCTTTTATAGGCTCCTCTCCAAAATAATTAGCACCAGAAAAAGTAAATTCACCAGGCTTCAATTCTCTTAAATAAATCCACAAAGCCAATCACACAAACCAAACCAGAAACCAAAAGTGTAGAGCACTTCCACAAATTGAAAAAAATAAAATATTGAAGTCAGAAATACAGCAGGTCACCAAATTTTCAAAAATTTTTGATTAAGCCATTTTGGTTAAGTTGGATAAATTTCAGTTTTTAATAAATTTTAGACGAAAGTTCGAATCCCTTGAAAGAAAATAATTTTTAAAATTAAAATAGCAAGGCATATAACCTTTTTAAACGATAAAAACTTAAAAAATGAAAGAAAAAAATTTTTTAACAACAAAAAACAAAGAAAAAAACAATAAAAAATTAAAAAACCTCTTCCTACTCATTTTTGAAATTTTTCAAATAATTCACTTAAAGATTCATAATTCTCATCTTTTCCTTTTGATATTCTAAATCGATCACCAAACATTAATTTTGTTTTTGTACCAAATTCTTTTAAAGTGTTGACACCCATAACTTCAGAAATTAGTACTACAAAGGATATGTAGCCTGAAAAATTGTTTTATATAAAGTATTTTCGAAGGTGTTCGAGGGTGACTCAGTAACCCCCCCCCCCCCCCCCCCCCCCACTCCAAAAACCGTCAAGTATGGTTTTGTAATGCCAAATAGACATAATACCCAAAGGTCAATGAACCAAACGTCGTGAAGACAATCCCACCCCTCCCCCCAAAAAAGCCGTCAAAATACCAAACATTCTACAGTTCCAGGTTTTTCCTATTGTTACCAAGGGGACTATAGCCACAGAAGTCAGGGAGGGCTTCTGGGGCTAGAGCCCCTTGGAATCGACCACCTGGCTACGCTCTTGATTGTTACAACGGAGGATGATCCTAAAAATCTATTACAGCGTTATTTTCACTGTTTCTGGGTTGAAGTAAAAGGTAAATATCAACTACGCCCCAAAACCATGAACCAAAAAAATCCAAGAAAAAAATTCTAAAAATCACCCGAAATAGTAATTAACGACGCCAATCCAAATGCTTGCATTGCTAAACCTTGAGATAAAAAAATAATTTTTAAAAACAATTTCACAATAAACCTGCACCAGAAAGTAAATTTGTCCTAGGCAATTCTCCAGGTTTTAATTTTGAATGAATCCAAGCCACTCTCAAGCCATAAATAAATCCAGCAGTTGAAGCAGTTCCACAAACTAAGAAAATTGAAAATATTTTTGATGGTTCTTGAATCTTCCCAGTTAAATGTACTGGGTTTTTCACCCCCAGAAACCACCGGGTATTTATATCAAATCAAGTTTAGCAAGGTTTTTGGGTTGTAACCCGGAAAAAGGCCCGAAGTCTGCTCTGAAGAAAAAACCAGAAAACAAAGCCCGGCGCCTTGACTAGACCAAATTTCATTTAAAATCCCATTTTTCAACCATATTAAAACTAGAACAAAATAAACTCTTCAGGCCCAGGAACCACCATGTATTTATGAAAAATCAAAGTTAAGCGGGGGTATTGGGCTGTAATACGAAAAAAACCCTAAGGTCTGCTCTGAACAAAGAAATAGAAAACCAAGCCCATCGCCTTGTCTAGCCCAAATTCGGATCACAATACCATTCCTAAACCTCAAACCAAAAAATAAACTCGCCAAGTTTAAACCATCTTAACGGTCGATTAAAATTTCCTTCTATTTGTTGATTGCCACAATTATCCACCGCCGTTGTCAAATCATTTTTTGAACTGCTTGTTGCTTCATCGTTTACCATTACTCGGTACAATGCTAAAACCGAATCGCTATCAAAAATCAATAAAAGTTTAAAAAAATCTAAGAAATTCCCAGAACAGTTGAGTCCCGACAAAATAAAGACAGTTGAGTCATGACCATAAACTTTTAAGAGGAACAAGCAAATTAACAATAAGCTTTATATTCCTAGACTAGAAATGATCTAAAACAACTTTAATCAAATATTCGAAGACGAAATTTCGTTTATCATAAGCCCTCGGATTTATTGATAAGCTTATCTAAAAACCTCTAAAAGTTATCTTGAAGTCCCGAGACTCAACTGTCCTTTTTTAAACGGCGGAGCAGGACTAATAGGGTACAGCCCGAATAGGCGCCGGCCGAATAGGCGCCAAGCTTTCTAATTAAATATTCTGATTTATAATCAATTAGAATGGTCCCAACGACCTGGAACCATGCTGAATTATAAAACAAAAATTTTACAAAAAAATTTTCCAAAAATTTTTTTGTAAAAACTTTTTTCCGAGTAAATTGATGTGTTTGTGTTTTTTTAGTTAAGTTCCTATATCTTTCAGCCCTCCCACCCGATTTTTTTCAAATTTTGTATTTTTGTAGTCAAAAAATAGTTAAACAATTCTGAAAATTTTGAGAAGTTAATATACATTTTTTATCTTAAAAAAGAATTTTTCACATTACAAAAAAAGACTAGAGATCAACAAATTTAAAAAAAAAAGAGAGAAAGAACTAAAAAATAAATGTGTCTGCCGCTGTAGAGAAAACTTGTGCTTTCTTGGTTGGGATAACAGTCCAACAAAACAATTTCGGTGTCTTCTTCTCCAGAAATTACTCCAGCTTGGACAGCAGCACCATAAGCAACAGCCTCATCTGTAAAAAAATTTTTTATTGAAAACGCTTATCAGCGGGGGAAAGGGAGGAGGTCTCCCCCCCAGAGCGCGCGGCTATAATTCCCCTTTCCCCGTAAACTCGGCCCCCGCCCCGTAATATCGAACACTAGTATACTGAAATAATTACCCTGGGTATTTCTTCAACTTTCACAGAGGGGGGGGGGTGATTAATAAGGAGAGTAATTATTTGAACATACATATACGCTCACTCAAGAGATATATGTATAATTTGACCCATTTGCGTCATTTTAGGGTATTCCGAAAATTTTCCAAAATTTCGGAATTTTTCTTTGAAAAACCCACAGCATTTTTTAAAAAATGTAAAAAAAACAAACCTTAGCAACCCCCTCATCACATCCTTTAATAACTTCTCCTTTTCCAATTGTAAATTCAAAAGGACGTCCACGATCACGAGAAGAATCAATTTGTTGTCCATTTTTTGATTGCAATTCAGCAAATAATTTAGCCGTTTCATTAACACGTTTATCTTCCTCAGCATCATTAACCATTCTTTCAATATCTTCAGAAGATGAACGGTTGTGGTCAAAGGAGACGTTAATTTTATTTCCAGTTTCTTTATCTTCAGCTGTTACACTAAGGATTCCATTGACGTCTTTAGATGATATCTTTAATCAGATTTTTTGAAAAATTCAAAAAACATCTAAGAAACCTCAAATCGTGGCACACCACGAGGTGCTGGTGGAATTCCTGTCAAGTCGAATTTTCCAAGCATGTGGTTGTCTTTAGTCATTGGACGTTCTCCTTCATAGACCTTTAAAGGAAATAATTTTTCAAAAATTTTTCAGATTTCAAAAAAAACCTGAATTGTCACAGCCTTTTGATTGTCTGCAGCATTAGAGAAAACTTGTGCCTTTATGGTTGGGATAAGAGTGTTTCGATTGATCAACTTTGTCATTACACCACCAACAGTTTCAATACCGAGAGTCAATGGGTCCAAAACAATTTCGGTGTCTTCTTCTCCAGAAATTACTCCAGCTTGGTCAGCAGCACCATAAGCAACAGCCTCATCTGTAAAAAATACATTAAAAAGCTTTTCCGGAAAGAAATATTTCCGGAAAGAAAAATCTGAATCTCGGCTTTAAGTTGAGCAGCGAGTTGATTTTGGTGTTTGTTTGATTCACACCAGAGCTCGTTGAGCTCTTTCAAATGACCATATAAACCTGTATCGAGTTAGGATTCGGGGCTTACATCGTCAAACATTGCCGAGTCCAAGCCATACAATTCGGAGTCTGGGGCTCTAGCTGAACGGAATAGCTTGAAGTCAGGATTTACATAAACACACCAAGAGCCCTATGGACAAAACGTACAAAATACCCCAAATAACATTTTTCCTAAGTCTCCCCAAATATCCCCTCAAATAAAATTCCAAACCTTCTTTCTTGTCCAATCCATAAGCGATTGCCGCTGCTGTCGGTTCATTAATAATACGAACAACATTAAGTCCAGAGATGGTTCCAGCATCTTTGGTAGCTTGACGTTGAGCATCGTTAAAGTAAGCGGGGACCTTAAAAATATTATTTTAAATTGCTAAAACAATAAAATTGCCAACCGTAACCACAGCATGCGTAACTTCATGACCCAAATAGGCTTCGGCAATTTCCTTGATTTTTCCAAGAACCATTGCTGAAATCTCTTCTGGAGCAAATTGTTTAATCTCTTCGTTGACGTTAGCTTTGATGTGTGGCTTATTTGCTTTATCAGCGTCCTAAAAAATTTTTTGGGAGAATGAGAGGGTGATGCGTTGAAATATCTTTAAATTATCTGTAAAAAATTAATGTATAAAAACAGTTAAAGAATTTTTTGTAGAGGATGAATTTAGAAAATGATGAATGTAGAAAATATTCTGGAACTTATATAAGGTTTGGGTACTCTTTTTTAGCCACGCCCTTTTTTTCTTTTCCATCATAATTCTTTAACTCTTTTTCTTCCCCACCCATCAATATTCAGCTGAGGTCAATATTCCTTGGGAACTTATGCAGTTTGGGTAGACACCCCATTTATTCGCGAGACACCCCCTCATTTATTAGGCGAATTGACTAACCAACCCGTTTATTCGCGAAAAAGCAAAAAGCCTATATTACAGCGTCTAAACAAAGCAGCTCTCGATTCTATCGAGACGCGTGCTGGTTAACGCCGCATGATCCGAGAAATATGCCCAAGCGTTTTTCTGACCTCCAAATGGTTACTTTGACAATTTTTAGCTTGCGAATAAATGGGGTGTGTTCCGCGTAAGTTCCCAAGGAATATTATCGATTTCCCTACTATAATAACAAACAACGTTGAAATTTTGTTGTTTGGCTTCGTCGTGTATGTTTGTTTACGCGCTGACTTTTCTTCTCTTTTAAAAATTTTGCATGAAAACTAAGCGGAGAGAAAACAACCCCTCCACTCATTCAGTCAAATCTCTGCTTATTTTCATGTAAATTTTTCATTAAAAATCTAATTTTCAGAGACCTAAAAATTTTCTGAAAATTTTCTTTGACGATGCCAGTCCAAATTGATACTATAAATGAAGGAGATGGTACCAATTTTCCAAAAAATGGACAAAAAGTTTCTTGCCATTATATTCTGAAATTAGAAAATGGACAACAAATTGATTCTTCTCGTGATCGTGGACGTCCTTTTGAGTTTACAATTGGAAAAGGAGAAGTTATTAAAGGATGGGATGAGGGTGTTGCTAAGGTTTGTTTGTTTTTAAATTTTTAAAAAATGGTGGGGACCTCTGAAGAGATGCTAGGGTTCCTCTCTTTTCGGATACAAAAAAGGACGCAAATGGGTCAAATTTGCATATACCTCTTTTGAGAGAGCGTATACGTTCAAATAAGTATCCTCCTTATTAATCCATCCCCCCCCCCTTGTGAAAGTTGAGTAAAGGGTTCGATATTACGGGGCGGAGGCTGAATTTACGGGGAACGGGGAATTCGAGCCGCGCTGTCGGGGAACGGGGGCTTTGGGGGGAGACCTCCTCTCGTTCCCCTGGGAATTCCCTACCTATCTGATCTCTTTTTTGGTATACCTAAAGTATACCTTTTCGAGGTCAATTTAAAACTGGGGGACCATGAAGCTTTTGACTTCACCTACTAAATACATTTTTTTCACAGATGTCTATTGGCCAACGTGCAAAACTTACAATTAGCTCTGATTTGGGTTATGGAGAAAAAGGAATTCCTGGAACGGTTTTTTGAAAATTTTTTTATTTAAAAAATCATTATTATTTCCAACAGATTCCACCAAATTCAACTTTGGTTTTTGATGTTGAATTGCTTGCTGTCAAATAAAAAATCAAGAAAGACACATGTTTTTAGAAGAAAAATTGAAAACAAACAAGAAACTTAAAAAGAATTTAAATGAAAACAATATTCCTCTCTGAATTATTTTAAAAGTTAACTTAACATTTATTTTGGTTTTTTTGGCTTAATTATTTTGGATATAAATTCAGTTACCAAAAAATTAATTTTCAATCTCGTCAGAATTTTGGCTCACATCAGTTTTATTTAAATAAATGCTCCAATTTTTGAGTTTCAGTTCCAATCAGGGACGAGTAGAATCACCGAGACCGTGACTTTTTCCGACCCGACCTGAATATTTGGAAAATCTGATTCGATTTCCTTCTCGACCCAGCCGTCTCCTGTTTACAAAACCAATCCAAAATTCTGATTTTATATACTCTTTCAGCCAGTATTTTTTGTCTATCTTTACCTCTTTCCGGATACTTATATATTTGTTAAATTTTCTCCAAAATAACATTTCAAAAAATTTTTTTTTTTCAAATTTATATTAAAAAAACCTCGAGAGAAAAAAATAAATTCACACAACCAGAAAAAAATATAGGAAAGGCCTTTAAACTTTTTACCAAAAAAATTTTTCCTAAAGATAATCCCCCTCATCTATCCGCATAATCATCCTCACTATCATTATGTAAAAGCCCATCCCTTTGAGCTTTCCATCGAGAAATTGGACGTTGATTCTTTTGTTTTTTATTAAAATTTTTGAGATTTTTTGATTTTTGTGTATTCTTTTTTGTTTTTAAAAAAGGTTCACGTTCCATAATTTCGTCTTTAACAATCTTAAAAATTTTTCAAAAAATTTTTCACTTAAAAAATCAACAAAAAAACCTCTTTAGAAACGCTGTATATTCGCCTTTGCTCTTTTTGATCAATTTTTTGCAATTCTGTAGAATCAATTGGCGAATGTTCATTTTTATTCTTCAAAATAGAACGTTCCTAAGAAAATTAATTTTAATCGCTATTTAAAATTTTAGTGAAGAGATTACTCGAATCCGAAATCTTTTCGACCCAAACCCAATTTTTCCATGGAATTTTTTTCATATAAAGAACCTCTGATGCCCCTTTTAATCTATCAAATCTCTTGGTACTGACCCGAAACGAAACCCGACATGAAGATTAAAGTTTAAAACCCGATCAGACTTTTCCCAACCTGTGATATTCCTGATTCCTGGAAAGTAAGGAAATCAGAAAACGAAGAACCTAGTCAATCGGTTTCGAACCGATTACCATAGTTCTCCCAATTATAAAATAAAAATTAAGAATAAACCTTTTTCATTCCAATAGGTTGTTGTTCATCATCCTCTAAGTTATCAGAAAAATGTACACGTCGTCTTTCTTGTTTGGAATGTTGATGATCATTATTATTCTCTTCCTCTCCTTCCTTCACATCCATTTCTTCCCCCTTTTCATCACTTTTTTCTTCCTCATCTTCACTCAATTCCAGCGAATCACAAAGCTTGACAAACCTCTCATAATCCTAAGGAAAAAATTTTTTAGTAAAAGGAACCCCTCAAAACCCCCCAAAAAACCTTTTCAGACACTCCTTTTGGCCTAGTTGGTTTGTTAACGTCTTCCTTAGATTTTTCATTAATTCTATTATTGTCTTCATTATTTTCTTCCCCTCTCTTCAGTATTTGATCTATCTCATCATTTATTCGATCCATATCATCATTTTTTGAACAAGGGGTTGAAAGTGACTTATTTGGCGAAGGGGGCGATTTTTTAGCAGGAGAATGTTGAATTCGTTTACCTTTAAAAATAAGAACAAATTAGGACACGTTCACAATTTGGAGAGATTTCTATTGGGGGAGAGAGAGATTTCTACAGTCTACCAACCCGATTTTCGGGACAAAGTGAATTTAAGGTCCCAAGCAATCTGACCCATCCCTGTTTTTTCTTTTCTCTACAAGGGGTTCTAAATAAAGACCAAGATTGGGAGGAGGATCCGGCTCTCGGGACAACGTAAAATAAAAGTTTCGGGCAATCCGACCCATCCCTTCTAGACTGAGGAACACCTTGAGGCATATAACCCTCTCAACATCATTAATTTTAAAAATAAACCTTTAATTTTTCCATTTCCTTCCATGTCTTCATTTTCTGGTTCTCGAATTTCAACTAAACCATCGTTTGTCTAAAATCAAAAGAAAAATTTTTTCTTCAAAATTTTGGAGTAACTTACAATATTTAATCTTTCCATTAGAGCGACCTTTTCAGTTAGAGAGGCCATTTCTTGACGTAGATATTTTAAGGCAGTTTGAAAAACTATACGAGAAAAAATAAGAATTAAAAAATTTAGGGTTTTGGCGACCGGTTACTTAACTTTATATATACCCATTCAGATTTCGATTATGTCGCTATCTATCGACTAATAAGAAACAAATTTACACCAGTCGAAGAGTGGGTGGGTGGTCGAAGGAATTAGGCCGCAGTTTAGAGAGAAGGGGCCCTGGATCGGAAAGCAACATTCCAACCCAACTCCTCATAGTTCATGTCGCTAACTATTAGGAAGAGTAGGGAGATGAAAATCGGCTGCTAATAAATAACAGAATTCGGACCGGTTTCGAGTCACCAGACCCAGTTTTCGGGACAAAAATTTTTTTTTCAATATTTTGGATAACAATATTATTCAATTAAACGCCTATGCGTGGTAGGATGGAGGACAGATTAGATCGCAGTTTTAAAAGGGGCCGTTTTGGTTTTATAAAACCCGTCGCTACCAATCCTAATTTAAATTTAAAATCATTCTAAAAACCTTCAATTTGTCTATCCAAAATTTCTAAAGCTTGTTCACGCGTTCTCATAACAAATAAATTATCAGCAAGAAAAACCATACAACGATCACCTGAGGCTGAAAATTTTCAAAATTTTCTTTCAATTAAAAAATTTTTTAACCTTGACATTCAATCAAACGCCTAGCATTTTCATAAACAGAAACCTCGTGTTCTTTATGGGCTATAAAGGCTTGGATATTTTGAAGCTCCTAGAAAAATTAAAAATTCTTTTATTTTTAATAAAGGCGAGCAGGCCAACTTACCGCAGAGCTATAAATTCGTTCAGAATTGTCGAATCTCGGAAGCCTTGGTTGGTTTGATGCGGCTCGACGACTGAATCGAACCATACCAGGTCGTCCCGGATTCGACAATTCTGAACAAAGTTATAGCTCTGCGGTACGTTGGGCTCGTGTTAAGTTGGGATGTACCCGCAGTTAATGCGTCGGGCCGGAATCCAGTGTTTTATTCTTTTACCAAAACCGGGGGTTTTCCGAATTAACACCCCCATAAAATCCGGAACCCATAAATTTACAAAATACCCTTGTTTCCAGACTACAGAGTTCTTAAAAGCTATCGCCAGGCCCCGAGCATGAGGTAAAGTTAGACATGTGGTTGACCCCCTCCACCTGAAGATTTTTCCAGGCTACAGGGTTCGTAAAAACCGTCCCGGGCCGTCGGACCTCTAACTCCTACTCCTCTAAATTTCTATAAAAATCACATCTTAAATATGTATATTCTTGCAAAAAAATGTAAAATCGTGACAAAAAAATCTGAAAACATTTCCCACCATCAAAAAAAATTTTAAAAAATTAAAACCAACTAACAATTAAGTGAATTTCTCTAGCAAGGCCAATATCAAGAATATTTGAAGCTGCATTAAAAGAATGTCCAACAACATTTGAATTATTTTGTTTATTTATAGGAGCATCCATTTAAATATTCAAATTAAAATTAAAATTAAAATAAGGCTGAAATAAGCTAAAAAAATATTTTTAAAATTAAAAAATAATTAAGGTAAAAATTTAAAAAATCATTCAATATTTTAATTATTTAATTAAAAATGATACAAATTTTATGAAACAAAAAAATAATTTTATTGAAAAAGTCAATGAAAAACAACAATTTTTAAAATGACAATTTTTAACGTCAAAACAAATTTTTTATAAAAAAATTTTTTTTTTGTTTTATAAAAAACGAAAAAAAGAATATTTAAATTTAAACAGCAGTTGAAAGTTTAACAAAATGTAAACAAACTAAAAAATCAATAAAAACAATTTTGCATGATAAATTTTTCGGAAAGAAATCGGATGAAACACCTAGACATGTTTAGACGCGAAATATCTTAAGAGGTCTTCTGGAGCAAATTGTTTAATCTCTCCGTTGACGTTTGCTTTGATGTGTGGTTTATTTTCTTTATCAGCAACCTAAAAATTTTTTGGGAGAATGAGAGGGTGACAATAAGTCCCAAAAATAATTTTTGCGGACAAAAGTTAAAATTTGCGGACAATTTAAAAAAACCTTCCAAATTTGCGGACAAACGCTCAATCTTGCGGACAAAAGTTCCCTCTTGTGGACAAAAATCCAATATGCGGACAGAAATTTCCAACTTGCGGACAAAATTCTCATCCTAACCCTTTGTCCGCAACCCCAAAATTATTCAAGAAATATACCCCAAACGGCCACAACTTTCTTCAAATCTACCACAAAGAACCTGTTTAGGTGTACAGCCCAAACCTCTCATGTTTTCCTTTGCTCTATCTTCAAAAATGTCTGACCTCGGGACAGAACTCCCAAAGCCAACTTCCCCGTGACGGACCATCTTACCCCGTTGCCGGAACAACTTGGAATTTTTTCTTGAAAAGTAATAAAAGTTAAACTTAAATCCGAATCGCATAAAAATTTGTTTGGACGTCTAAAGTTTTCATTGGACGTATAAACATTTCATTGAACGTATAAAGGTTGTATGGACGTATAAAGGTGTGATTGGAGCCTAAACTGGACAAGAGCCAATAATTTTTAACAATAAATAAAAAAATTTAAACTTCATTTATAAGAAGGCCCAGGTTGGTCATCTAATTCAATAACAGGATCATCTGGAGTAGGAGATGATGTATAACCATACTCCTTGAAAATAAAATTAATTAGTATTTAAAAATATTAAAGGCACAAAAATTCGGTAATGCGCTACCCTAATTTTTTCGGGTACGTACTTACTTCCCCCTAGTCAAATTTTTCGGTTTCCCCGTTTCCCGTAAACTCAGCCAATATCGTAAACTCAGCCAATAGTATACTGAAATAATTACCCTGGGTATTTCTTCAACTTTCACAGAGGGGGTGATTAATAAGGAGGGTGCTTATTTGAAAATATAAGCCCTCTGAAAAGATATAAATGTATAAATTGACCCATTTGCGTCCTTTCGGGGGGTTTCGAAAATTTTCAAAGATTTCGGAATTTTTCTTTGGAGGACCCACAGCATTTTTTAAAAAATATAAAAAACGGACAAAATTCCCATCCTAACCCTTTGTCCTATTATTAAAAAGAGATTTTTAAAAATAAAGGAAAGAAGGAAAAGTTACCTTATCAATTTGATGCACAGCTGCATGGCAAATTACTTTGGTCATGTAAAAATGCAGTATTAAAAATACTGCGACGAAGTTTTTTGGGGTAGGATGCATCTAAAAGTTATAAATATTATTTCTTAAATCTACAACAAAGAACCTGTTTAGGAATACGGCCCAAACTTCTCAACTTTTCCTTTGCTCTATCTTCAAAAATGTTTGACCTCGGGACAGAATTCCCAAAGCCAAAAGGTGTTTGTTTTTTCTTTGGTGTTTTGTCCATGTTACAAATCCTGAAAATAGATCGATTCTGTAATCCCCGACAAAATATTTAATTAAAAAGCTTGATGGTACTTTTTTTTCATTCGCTTAAAACTTAAACCAAGACACAAACGGCGGTACACAATGATCCCCCACCGTTCGATTGATATGTATATTAATTATGGGTACACGACTAATAGGCGCGGACGAATAGGCGCCATTTTTTCGGCGCAGCATTTTTTCGGCGTTTAGTGAAAAAATTTTAAATAAACAAATAATAACATATATCGACACCAGCTTGTGGCTGGATATCTTGAGAGGATGTAAAGAAAATAAAAAATTTTACAAAATTTTAGTTATTAATTTAAAAACGTAACAGATATGCAAGGGAAAACATTAACAGCCGTGCTTCGCTGCGGTCGTGCTCGCTTCGCTCGCGGCGCCTCGCCAGGCTTCAATAGTTCCGTAATTGCGTAGCGATTATGTGGCCAAGCCCGGTTTTTCTTGACAAAGCGGTTGTTTGATCCATTTATATTACGCATTGATCCATCCATAAAACTATCACCCCAAGGTGAGGAACGGCCAGAGCGTGTAGAAGCTGGAGTACTCAAATCTGAGGTGTTAAATTAAAACCTTCTCCTTATTCAACGCTTCAAAAGACCATAAAATTAAAAAAAAATTTCCAATTTTTGTCATCTCCTTTTTTACTAAAAATCCAGTTAAATTTTATTCGCTCAATCGCACTTTTCTCTCTCTCTCTCTTTCAATTTCACATCATAAACAACATATGATTTTTTGTCTACGTTATTAAAAGAGGGGGAAAACCTTTTTACTTTGAACCCTCTGTTTAACAAAAAAAAATTTTTTTAATCGCTGGTTAATTCCCTTTCTTTTTTCAATTTCCACCAATAATCACTTCAAATTATCTCGCCAAAAAAATAAAATTTTTGGGGGAAAACTAATCAACCAAAAAAGAGAATTATTATAATCTGCAAATAAAAGAAATTAATTTTCTCTTTTTTTCAATTTTAAATATTTCAATGAAATCATTTCTCGTTTCCTTTCATTAATAATCTCTCGGGGGGTTTTTACTTTTTTTGGGGGAGCACCCCATTTTAATTGATAATTTCCCCTTTTTTTCTTGGCAGCCTCTATCAAATTTTTGGGGACCTTTGGTGTTCTATTGACTAAAAAAATTAATTTAAAAAATTAATTGAAGGAACAAAAAAGAGTAAACATATTTTCTTTGATAGAACCACTTCTTTTTTGTTTAAAAAAATATTTTTTATTTCACGTGATTTTATTTATATTTTATTTGTGTACCTTCACCTATGCTGCTTTTCTTTGCAGCAAAATTAAAAAAGCTTCTACTTAAAAAAAAGTTTGCTAACTAAAAATAAATTTACTGAAAAGCTTCAAAAAATGCTGACTGAGCAAACACTGAATTTTTTACTCTCTCCCAAATTTTACCACTTTGGTGTAGTTGGATAGTGTTGGGTTTGGACTACTCAGAGGTCGCGGGTTCGAATCCCGCTCAAGGAAAATCATTTTAATTTTAATAAAATTAAATTTTTTTCTATTAAAAATTGTTAGAAACATCAAAAAATATTTTTAAAAATTTTTATGGAGAAAATAAAAACGAAAAAATATACTAATGAGAATCATGAAAAACATTTGAGCATTAAAAGACGTCCTCTCTGTGCAGGTGCTCCCAACATTCCTTCTTTATTGTTAAATAAAAGACGCTGGCCAGGCATTAAAGTTATTATTTGTGTATTCTCAGCGCATACACGGCCAAATTTTTGAAGGGATTCGTATAGCCTGTCCAATGATTTCACTGTAATTGTACTGGAACGAGCTGCATTGTTGAAAACACCCTGGAATAAAAAATTCGAAAACGTCCTATTTTCATCTCAAATTTCGTTATAGTCGCCAAGAAAAATCAGAAAAAAAATCCCTGATTTTTTGCTTCTCCTCAACAACTTTCACCACTTTGGTGTAGTTGGAAAGTGTCTGGTTTAGGCTACCAAAGGGTCGTGGGTTCGAATCCCACTCAGGGAATATTATTTTTGAAAGAAAATTTGTCATTTTCTCAGTCCAGAAAATTGACTATACCCAAAATAAAAAATATAAACCGATTGAATATTTCCATCTTCATCAACAGAACAAATTGGATGCCTTGAACGATATAATCCTCCTCCGTTGTATTCCAAAATTGAATTAGCCAAAAATTCAAATTCTTCTGGTGAGTGTTCTCGTAGTTGTGACAATGTTTTACAAGTATTTACAATTGAAATTTGTGCTGGACCATTCATTGTTTCAATGGTTACAATTGAGGGGACGTGTGAAAGATGGGGCCAAACAGTTCCCTTAATTTTTAGAAAAATCAGAAAACTAAAAATGTCAACAAGAGACGTAGAGAGAGTGGAGGGATCTATTAGAGAGAGGGAGCATTTAATCAGAAGGCGATTCTATTAGAGAGAATGACCTTAAATTGAGGGAGGCTTCTATTGGAGAGGGACCTTCCATTGGAAGAAATACGGCCAGAAACACCCCAAGTTAAAAAAAGTCCAAACCGGTTCTTGTGCATAATCCTCCCAATAACACGTTCCCAATGCCATGCTCTCATCTAACGAATCCATTTTAGAAGGGTCCAAAATTGAGTGACTTTGTTTTTCTGTTGGTGTTGAGGATGAGGATACAGTTGTTGAAGTGTCTTTAAGTAGATCAGAAATTTTATTTAGACGATCATTTTGATTAAAAGCATTTTGACGAAGAAATGAAGAAGTATATCTTAAAATTGAGAATTATTCGAGTTAAAAAATATGATGGGAGGGAAACTGCACTAAGGAGGAAAATGGAGGAGCAAAAATAAAAAAATATTTCTCGTTACTTTGAGGCAACAAACGGCGGCCATTGAACTTCTAATGCTTCTTTTGAACATTTAATTTCTTCTGGGCGAGTATTCAGATCCAAATGAATGAGGCTTGGACGTCTACGTGCATTATCCCTTAGCCAGATGTAGGAGAACTTAAAAAAAAGAAAAATTGAGTGTCGATTAATATCAGGCGACTGAACAGATCCGGGGGCCTGACTATTATGGTATTTAAAAAATATGGTGGGAGGGAAACTGCACTGGTGGGGGAAACTGCACAAAGGGTAAAAATAGAGGAAATCGGGTATTTTTTCGTTGTCTCCGGATTTTTCCGGACCGGATTTACCCAATAGAAATCCAGGCCGGATTCGGCCCAGCTTGAATTTAGACCCAAAATACTGGCCCGGACCCAAAAAATGATTTTGCCGGGCACTACCAATTATTAAAAAATTAAACCTTAGCCAAAAGACCATCTTCCCATTCAACTTGAACACAACGTTGTAAATTGCTGGCTTTTTTAAGGCACTGCATTTTAGATTAAATAATTGTTTAAAATAATTGAAAATTAAATTTTATTAAATTTAATTTGAAAAAAAATTTTTTTAAAGAAAAATGTGAAAGTGAAAATAAATGAACGAACAAAAATTTAATTGGGAGATTTTAAATAGCGAAAAGGAAAACCCTAAAAAGACAGCCCCCCCTTCCATTCGTCATTCAATTTATTTCAACGAAAGAAAATTAAAAAAAGGGGGAAGCATATGAAAAAATTGTCGAGGAAGAAAGAAGAATGTTTGTGTGTGCTTCCCCCTTCCCTCTCAAAAATTTTTTTTCTTATCTAAAAAAATATTTTTTTGCAGAAAGATTTAGTTCCCCGTCTTTTCCTCTATATTCTTTGTGCAGTAAAAACAGGACTAAATTTTTTCAAGTAAAAAAAATTAAAAACAAACAACTTGTAATTGTAAACAGCTCTTTTTTCTACCAGTCGTCAGACCAACTGGCCGATTTTGCTCTAGTTGGCAAAATGTCGTTTGGACAAATTTGGACCAATTGTCCAGCAACGAATTTAGGCATTATGTACATAAAATTAAAAAAGTCAGATATTTAAATCGTTAATCCAGTCATTTTTTGTCGTTTATCTTTAATCGTTTTCTTATCAATTTAATCATTTTCTTATCATTTTTTGGGACACACCCAAGTAGGCGCGCGGCCATAATGGCGCAAAGCCATAACTTGCTTCAAAATTGTCGAATCTTACCAAATTTGGTATTAAACGATTCCTCTCATCGAGCTAAAGAGAATGGTACCAATATTGGTGAGGGCCAGAAATTTTTCAGCAAGTTCTGGCTTTGCGCCGTTATTGCCGCGCGCCGATGTACCCTCATTTTTTTATCAATTTTTAAGACTAACTGTACTAACATGGAGAATTGTAACAACCTAACCAGATTCAAAAAATATTGTCTCGATCAACTTGACTACATTTACGCGGCTTGGAACGCTTTAAGTTCATATTCAGAAAAACTTGAACTAAAAAATAAAAATTTGGAGGAAGAAAAGAAAACTTGGGAGGAAGAAAAGAAAATTTTAGAGGAAGAAAACAAAGTTTTGAAAGAAGAAAATAACATTTTAAAAGAAGAAAAGAATTTGGCGTACAAAAAACTCGAAGAAATGACTCAAGTGCTCAACACATTTATTAATCAAAACGTCAAGCAGCGCAACATTTTTGAAGAAATTGAAAGTCCAGAAAATGTACGGAGGTTTCTTTAGACTTTTAGGAATAGGGAGGGGGGTCGCTTTAGTATAGCTACACCGAGATCGGAACTCATAATATATACCATTCGATTCGTCTCGACGAGCTAAGTTCAAATATGCAAGAATTTTCTGCGGGAGACGAAAACTCGCAGAGATACAGGCCCCCGAAAATTGAAAAACCATAGGGGGGAGTAAGCTGATTTTTGGGGTCAAAAATTCGAATATGCAAATGATAGCTCATTCGAAAGAGCTCGTCGAGCTGAGTCGAATGACACCAAAATCAACGAAATCCGACTTGATTGAACCGAGATATAGACCCCTAAAAATCGAAGATCCAAAGGGGCGATTTTTGGAATAAAAAATTTTTTATGCAAATAATAACTCATTCGAAAGAGCTCGACGAGCTGAGTCAAATGACACCAAAATCACCGTGATTGAACAAGATTAGACAAAGTTATGACACCAAAAAACAAACAACGTAGACCTATGGAGCGTCGGCGAGGCGCTTGTGCAAAACCCCGCGCTTCGCGCGGGGTTTTGCGGCACGCGCCTCGCGGGGAGTCTACGGGCGCTGGGTCTGGGCTCGTAACATAAACCTATTCCTATCTCCCTTGCTCTGGACGTATTTGGGGCCTCCGTAGCAGCAAAAATCTCCACAGATCCCATAGGTAAGGAGCTAAAATAAAAGATCATAACTTTGTCCAATCAAGTCGGATTTCGTTGATTTTGGTGTCATTCGACTCAGCTCGAGGAGCTCTTTCGAATGAGCTATCATTTGCATATTCGAATTTTTGACCCCAAAAATCAGCTTACTCCCCCCTATGGTTTTTCAATTTTCGGGGCCTGTATCTCTGCGAGTTTTCGTCTCCCGCAGAAAATTCTTGCATATTTGAACTCAGCTCAGCGAGACGAATCGAATGGTATATACTTCAAGTTTCGATCTCGGTGTAGCTATACTAAAGAACAGCCAGGGAGGGTCTACCATACGGAATTTGGTTATTTCGATTTATACCTCCACATGTCCGCAAATCTTTGTCCGCAAATTTTTGTCTTGCCTTTCCCCTCTGTTTTTTTCTCTCAGAAAGATTAAAAGATTTTCGAAGACTGATAAACGTCAGGCAAACAAAATGTTAGACACGTAGACTTCCACATTTCCAGTTGGGGATAAAAATTGCGGACAAAATTTGCGACAAACTTTGCGGACAAAAAAATTGTGGATAAAAATTGCGGACAAAAAATTGCAGACGTGAGGGAGTCTAATGCGATAATACAGAAATCTTTTCTAATCTAAATTTTTTTCAGATATCAGCAAACACCTCAACTTCAATCGAACCCGAGTCACAAAACAACTACAACAATATTGCTGGTCCTTCAAATTTTTTTATTCCAGTGTCTCCATTGCCTCCACGAATTGAAGAAAGAACTATTTGGGATGAGGTTGACGATGAGGAAGGGGAAAATAAAGAAGAAAATTTGGAGGAAAATGAAGAAAATTTTGAAGAGAAGGAAAATTTGGAGGAAGAAAACGAAGACGATTGTTGGTAATTTATTTTAAAATATGCAAAGAAATCCTGGTGATAATTTAGAAAAAAATTTTTTTAGAGAGATTTATAACAAAAAATACCCATTTATTCCAATTTTAACCCTTTTTTTCATATGCCTCAATTTTTGTGTGTATATTTTTGTTCTTTTTTGAATTAGAATTTATCTAAAAAAATTAAATTTTTTTAGGAATTTGCAATTATTGAAAGAAAATTTAGGGGTTTTAAGGTCTTTTAATTGCAGCACCTGATAATTAATAAAAGAAAAATCACAAGGCAATTTTTGTAAAATGTGTTCATTTTTGATAACGTTTTTGCACCAAGAAAATGATTGATTGGCGCAGTTAAGTGAATGTGACTGCCTGTTGCCCACTCGCCAAAAAATACTCGCTAGCATCCCTATTCAGCTGTAAATTTTTCTTTTTACGATTTTGCACGTGGACAAATAGTGATTCCTCCTTGGTGATACCCCCTAATTTTTTTTCAAAAAAATTTTTTTTGTTTCTGTGCCTGTTCTTTCGGGTTTTTTAAATCCAATCCTTTGCTTTTTACTCACCTTCCTCCATTTTCACAATTTTACCCAAAATAAAAAAAATTTTTTTTCGTTTATTTGTAAAAAATAGACATAAATATTTTGTTCACTCTTACATTATTGCCATAAATTGTAAAACTAAAATTTATTTTTCTGTTTAAGCTAAAAATTTTTTTTCAATAATCTTGTTATATGGCATTAATGTTTAGAGTGTTTTTATACTGATAAAAAATCTAAAAAATTTAAAGCCTGTATTTAGTGATTTTTTTCTTTTCCCTATCATATATAAGCAATTATGCAAACTTTTGTTTAATTTTCAGAATTTTTTTCAAAAAAATTTTTTGGTTGAGAAAAAAATCACTAATAGGCAAAAGAACTATAGGTGAAAATAACTAGTCTAAAATATGGGAACAGGAAAAAATTTAGAAAATATTTAGTGTTATAACTAGAGATTGGACTGATAGACAAGAATCAAAAATAGAACTCTTGAAAAGGTGAAAATTTTCGAAATAAAATAATCGTTCAACATCTCAGTCCGATTTCCAGTTATAAAAAAAATTTAAAAAATTAAATATCTAAAATATGCGACAGGAAATGAATATAAAAAATTTATAGTTATCTAGCATTAAAATTGTCTAAAACAAACTACAGGGAGATTGGAGTGGATTTGTTCGAGGTGGAATAGAGTGGCCGGATATGAAGAAAATTGGAGAGAAGAATGTGAAGAGAAGGAGAAAAGAAGAACGGATGAATACTAAAAAAAGAAGAGGCACGGATAAAAGAAAGTGAAAAATAATGGAAAAAGAAGAAGGGACGGATAAAAGAAAAGAGGAAGAAGAAGAAAAGTAGGGGAAAATGAAGAAGAAGAGGAAGACGGATAAAAGAAGAATACCAACGGAAAAATGAAGAAGAGGCATGAATAAAAGAAATGGGGAGACCGGAAAAAAGAAGGGGAAGGAAAGGAAAAATGAAAAAAATGAGGGGAAGAGAAAGGGGAAATTAATAATACCGGCGGTTTTCCATAATTTCGAGGACTCGGTCCCCAAAGACATTGAGCCCATCATTAAATAGTCGATTAACCCTAGCCAAATCTGCTTCCAACACCTCAATCTTTAATTTAAAAAATATTTTTATTGTTTAAAATTTTTCTGGACACTCTCTTGTGTTATCCATCTACATTTTTTATTGACCCCGTTTTCCTTCCCTTCCCTTCTCATGCCTTTATTTCTAATTTCTCTTTTAGATCACAAAACGGCAAAGGCAAAATAGGAGCAATAAAAAATGTAGACGGATAAACAAGAGTTCCATTTTTAATTACCCTTTCATCCCTTCGACCCAACTCGATTTCGAGTTCCACATTCCTCAGCTCCAAATTAGCGTTCCTTAAACCAAAATCAGCCATTCTCCTCTCCAGCTCCAAATTTCTCTCCCTCAAAATCTCTAACTCGTTGGGCTGTTGGACCTGTGATTATTAGACGGGGTAATTATTGTTTCAATATCTCGCTGGAGGTGGGGGGGATTAATATTGAGGGGTAATTATTTGAGGTTATTTTAGGAAAGCTAATCAGAACTATTTTTAAGAGGGTAATTAATTGAGGGAGGGCAATGTTTGAATAAAATCGGGTCTTTGTAAAGCATATAGTAGGTATTTAACTCCGAAATATATGAATGTGTCAGATTATGTATTTGATAACACATCAGTCTGTTCAAGCGAATGTACGAGCCATCGCAACAACCCTTTGCATTAGTCTAAGGAGAGAAACAGCAAAGCTCAGTTCAGCTTTACCCTTTTTTTCAAGTCCTCACCTCCTCCTCATTATCCCCATTAAATTCCACTTCATTTCCAACCGCATCCCCATCTTCTTCTCCAACCTCTTCTTCAACAACATCAACCTCATATTCTTCCTCATTTCCACCAACTCCAACTTCATCTCCACCTTCCACTCCAACAACCTCATCTCCAACCTCATTTTCTTCATTTTCCACCACATTTTCCACAATAGCAATTTCGGGCAATTCCCCCTGCTATACATATGTATTTATTATTAAAATTTTTATATTTTCCATATTATAAATTCGCAAAAGCAAAATTGAAAATTTCCCAAGAAAATCCATTCCGTAAATTTTTGTTAAAATGTGGAATTTTTATTCCTAAAGCTTTATTATTTTTAAAATTTTTATATCTCAAAAGGCGGCGTGGTGTAGTGGGTAACACATCAGTCCGGTCAACAGTTAAGATGGTGGTTCGATCCCAGCCGTCGACATAATTTCTTACACAGCTTAGGGAGGATAGTTATGACCATTTCAGTATTTTTATAATATTTTAAATTTTTTAAAAATTTTACTTCAATTTCCTCCACAACACCTTCCAATCTACCCAAACGAAGCGCCTAAGTTTATTTTAAAAAAATTAAAAAAAATTTCCCCTTTTGTTTTAATTTCCTTTTTTAAATTTAATTGTAATTGTTTAAATATTTTCCCAGGGGTAATTATTGTTTCAATCTCTCGTCTGAGAGGGTAATTAAAATTGGAATTAATTATTTGTGGTTATTTTAGAAAGGCTAATTTTAACTATTTTTAAGAGAGTGAATATTTCTCAATCTCTGACAGAAGGTTAATAGGGAGGGGGTATTTATTTGAAGGAGGGAGAAAATAATTTATTAAATTTAAAAATTTTTTCACCACACAGGCTGCATTGTGTTCCCTCCTCGGAAACACTTCCGTTCCTTCTTCTTTGTCGAGCGTATAAACGGTACCATGACATTTTAATTTTTTAAACTTTTTACATTCCCAAAAAACTCGGGGGATTAATTTAGTTGTTCTTTGGTAGTAATATTCAATATTATTATAAATTAAAAAATATTTTCCACTTTTTAATGATTTTTCAAAATGTGCCATTGAATAATTTTAATTTTTTGTTTTTTATCTGTTAAAATATTATTAAAATTTTAAAATTATTGTTTCGACTTTCCGCTGGTGAATTAATCGAGGGAGGGTATTTTTTATATGTATGTTAAAAAAATTGTTAAAAAAGACAAGAATTTGAGTTATTCAATAATTTAGAAAAGTATAAATGTAGCTTATAATAAGGATGGCATTTCCGGGAAAAGGGGACGCCAATCACATTTAATTTTTATTCCAATTTTTTCTCATGAAAAGGAAAGGGTTTTTTAATTCTCTCTTTGAAGAAAAAGAGAGGCAAAGGTCTGAGGCACTTCCGTTTATTATCTATTTTTTAAGTTAAATTAAACAAAAATACAAATTAAGACAATGCGGGGTGTTGGGTGCTTGAAAAAAATTTCATTAGGAGGATTCAGAGTATATCGAGGGATTAAATGGATAGAAGAGCTTGTGATTAATTATTCACATTTTTTTCTTTTTTTCGCATAATTTTGGTTATTTTGAAAATTAAAAAAAGATGACCAGCGGTACTAACCTAACACACTATCCAATCAGCCCATCGCTAAAAAGCTTACGGAGATTATATTTAAGTTATAATAATATTGATGTATACATAAGTAATTTAAAAAATATTAAATGAGTTTACCTAATTTTTTTATAATAAAAAATAGACACCCATTTCCGGTGAAATACACAAATAAATTTAAATTTTTTCTCACAAAATTATATTTCGCCTAAGAGTAATTAATTGAGGGTTTACTTTTGATATAAGAAGAAAAATTTGAATTTAGGCAGAATTTCTTTTTCATCTTTTTTTAACTCGCTTAATGAAAGGACGGCACTTGAAGATTATGTCACGGTGTAGGAGAGGGACAATGAAAATTATTATTTGGGGTATTTGGGAGAATTATTTGATGGGGGAATTATTCTACAACAATTATTGCAATGATTTGGAGTAGATAATTTTAAAATATTCTTTTTTTGAATTTTATTGCTGATAAATTGAAAAATTTTTTAAAAATTTTAATTATTTTCAATTAAATTATTTTTTATTTTATAAAATTTATTTCCTTCTATTGCAACTTTTTTTCATCATTTTTAACAGGTTAAAACCTGAATTAATACTTTTAATATGTAATTAACATTTCCAAAATAATTAATATTTTTCCCAAAATAGCGCGCGGCCACAATGGCGCAAAGCCATAATTTGTTGGAAAATTTTTGGCCCTTATCAGTTTTGTTACCCATCTCTTCGGCTCGATGAGAGGAATCGTTTAATACTAAATTTGATAAGGAAGATCTTGAAGCAGGTTATGATTTTGCGCCATTATGATCTCGCGCCCAGAGATGTTTCGAAATTTCGATTTTCGTTTTTCGATTTTCGAGGTTTTTTTCCTTTCGATTTTCGATTTCCGATTTTCGAAATTTTGTGATATTTTCGATTTTCGATTTCCGAATTTTTGAAAAATTTGAATTTTTGGCGCCAAAGTGGAGGATTTTTGGCTTATTGGCCATCATAAACTTAAAAAAATTTTCGCCTGCGGCGCAGAAAAAGGAAGATTTTTGGCTTCTTGGCCTTCCAAAATTCTCAAAATTTTTGCCTGCGGCGCTGAAAAATAAAGATTTTTGCCTTAAGGATCATCAAAATTTTCGCCTCCGGCGCAAAAAAGAAAGATTTTTGGTTCTTAGCCTTTCAAAATTCTCAAAATTTTCGCCTGCGGCGCTAATTGGAGGAAACCCTGATCTATTAACAATATTATGCTTCGGCTCCGGTATATTGGAGTATTTGCTTGAATTAAGGTGGGATTGGAGGGAGCAGGCCATTTGGAGGGATCAGGCCAGATGGATGGAGCAGGCAAGTTGGAGAGAGCAGGCCCCTTGCCGGAACCCTATGCCAGGTACCACCTTATGAGTTTACTCAAATCCTCCGTTATCCCTCTTAACCCACACAGATCTCAGGATTAAATATTAATCTTTACACTCGGAGTCTGGAGATAACAAGAAGCCGCTAGAAAATCACCGGCTCTGGAGCCAGGATCTCAATCTGATATGCAAAATTTTGGGTTTGGATATCCGTGATTTCCTTGGAATCCCAAATTCCTTAGAGTTCAAGCAAAAGTTCCAACTTGTAACATAAAAATTTATTTTTTTATTTTTTTTATTAAAAAATTTTTTTTCGATTTTCGTTTTTCGATTTTCGATTTTCGAGGTTATTTTTCTTTCGATTTTCGATTTTCGATTTCGAAGATTTTGAAAAATATTTTCGATTTTCGATTTCGATGTTTTTGGATTTTTTTCGATTTTCGATTTCCGATTTTCGAAGATTTTTTTGTTTCGAAACATCTCTGCTCGCGCCCTTTTGGGCGTCGTTATGTCGTTCACTATTTAGTGCTCTGCTTTATTTTTTAATACTTTTCAAGCACTAACAAAAAATTTAATATTTTTTAACGAATAAAATTTTTTAAAGATTTATTCAATAAATCTTTAAAAAATTATTTTTTTCTTTTGAATTTTGTATTTTATAAAAATATATAAAATATATTTTTAATATTTTTTAAAATTTATTTTACACATTTTCTAATGCTTTTCAGCTTGAATAATTATTTCAAAAATTGGATTTAACCTAATTATGGAGAAACAAAAATTTTATATTTGCAACACCAACGGCGACGACGACAGTGGAGATGGAAGCGAGCTTAAACCTTTGAAAAGTTTGTTTCGAGCAATGCAATTGGCTGGGACCTCAGAAGGTGATTTTCTTGTTTCTGCAATAAAAGAAGGCGAGGCAAAACAGTGGGATAAACCGTCAAAATCTGCATTGAAAAAAGCTACCGGTCGATTGGATGAAGAACGAAGAAAACGTGAGAAAAAGTTGGCAGCTGTGGAAAAGGAAGCTTCTCAAATTGTGGATGACAAGAAGCGTTTGGAAGATGCGAAGAAAATACAAATCAAACTCGATTCTTCACTTCCTGCTCCAATTAAAGTGAAGATACGTGATTGTTCTACAATGTGTGGACAAAGAGTTCAAATTTTTGGTTTTGTTCATCGCTGTCGACAACAAAGTTTGTTTTAAAAGGATTTTGGGTTCCCTTTAATTTTGATATTCGGAGGGTCCGGGTTCGAATCTTACTCTGGGCCCTCATTTTATTATTCTACGAAACGGATCTTTTTTGGGAGACGGAATCACCATGCCAGGGCATCTTAAATCCATTAAACCATAAAATATAGTAAATGGTTTTACCTCGGTATCGCATCCATGAACGAAGCGGGGAAACTATAGAGGGTGGAAAAAGCGATACAATGGCCCACTAGTTTTGGGGTATAAAGGGATTATCTAAAAATCATTCCATTTTTATAGGAAAGGACTTGATTTTTGTTGTTCTTCGAGACGGAACTGGCTTTTTGCAATGTGTTTTGAGTGGATTACTTTGCCAAACTTATGAAGCTTTAACATTGAGCACGGAAAGCTCTATTTGTATATACGGAACGGTTTGCTTCTTTTCTCTTTAATTTTATCTTAAAAAATTAGATAAACAAACTCCCTGAAGGAAAGACGGCCCCTGGTGGTGTAGAACTCGTCGCTGATTTTTGGACTTTAATTCATGGAGCGCCGCCCGGTGGGATTGACAATGTGTTAAACGTTGAGGCAAACCCCGATGTTAAACTGGACAATCGTCATTTGTGCATTAGAGGAGAAAATTGTTCAGCAATTCTTCGAATACGAGCGGCCGTAACGCGTGCAGTTAGAGAACATTTTCATTCGCGTAAATATGTCGAAGTATGCCCTCCAACACTTGTTCAAACGCAGGTTTATTAAGGATTCTTTTTAGACTTTAAATACCAAATTTAAGGTTGAGGGAGGCTCCACACTTTTTTCCTTGGACTTTTTTGGTGAACCAGCTTATTTAACTCAATCATCGCAGCTTTATCTCGAAACATGCATTTCTTCTTTGGGGGATTGTTATTGTATAGCGCAGTCTTATAGAGCGGAAAAATCTCGAACGAGGCGTCATTTGGCTGAATACTCTCATGTTGAGGCAGAATGCCCATTTATTACTTTTGAAGGTTTTATTAAATTTTTAGAAAATTTCTTTAAGCTTTTTTTTATTTTTTAGAATTAATGAATAAAATTGAGGATCTTGTTTCTGATGTTGTTGACAGGGTTTTTAGCGATCCTGAAATTTCTGAATTGATATTGCAACGATGGGAAACGTCAAAGGTTTTTTTTAAAGTTATTCATTTAAGTAGTATACTGGTTTTGTTGAAAAAAGAGGAAGAAATGCTTCTTCGTTATTTTTGAGGTTTGCCAATTAGATAAGTCTCCTGAGAGACCTCCAAATTCGACCTGGTCGAATTTAGTCCGTGATTCAGAATAAAAAATATGAATTGATATTGGACTCGGCAACTCGATTGCCTACTGACAAACCTAAAAATATCGAAACAGCACTTCCTCGTATTTTTACAGGGATCAGTAAGCTAAATGATTACCAAAATATCCTTAAACAATTTGAATCAAATTTCAGGAAAAATTTCCTTCATTAAAACGTCCCTTTCTTCGAATGACTTATGCTGATGCAATTGAATGGCTGCGCAAAAATAATGTAAATAACGAAGAAGGGAAGCCGTTTGAGTTTGGAGAAGACATTCCAGAGGGTCCTGAACGACAAATGACTGATACAATTGGCCAGGTTTTTTTTTAATTTTTTTAAGTTCAAAAAAATATTTTTTAAAGCCAATATTGCTGAATCGTTTCCCAGCTGGGATTAAAGCCTTTTACATTTCTCGTTGTGAAGATGAAGAAGAAAAAAAGGATTTGACAGAATCTGTAGATTTATTAATGCCTGGAGTTGGGGAAGTTGTTGGCGGTTCAATGAGGATTTGGAAAGAGGAAGAACTTTTAGAAGCTTTTAAAAGAACTAATATTGACCCTAAACACTATTATTGGTATGTAGACCAGAGAAAGTATGGAGGGTGTCCACATGGAGGTTATGGACTTGGATTGGAACGGTTTGTTTGCTGGTTAGCTAATCAACACCATATAAGAGATGTTTGTTTATATCCACGTTTTATTGGACGATGTGCCCCGTAAAATTTTGTTAATTCATTAAATTATAGTCGTTATTGTGAGTTTATTTTTGAAATTATTGTCCCAAAAAGAACATGTGTGACTGTTTAAAAATTTTTAAATTGTTGGTAAAAAGTCTGTTGTTATAAAAAAATTTTAAGATATTGAGATTCATTATTTTTAAGATAAGACCTATACCTAGGAATTTCACGGTTATCCGGGCTATTATTCGACTCGAACCCCGATTCCAGAAATTTTTAACTCGACTGATTTTCTCCAATAGGTGACCCGGACTTTTTTCGACCTAAAACCCGCTCTAAGAAAATTTTGAAACCCAGACTCGATGACATCCCTGATACCTATAAAAATATTTCTAACAATAAGATAAGATTTATTGACAAGAATTTATTTAAAAAGTGGCTAAATATAAAAAATAGCACAATCAATATACTTTTTTGAATTATAAGATTAATAGTAAGGGCTGCATGTGAAAAAACAAAACAAATTAAACTTAAAAATAAGAAATTAAATAAAAAGATTTTCCACTCCAAAATTAGAAAGAGCGATTAATATACATTTTGATGTAAAAGAAATTTTCGTTGGGCAAGGTCTCAAAAATAAGAAAAAAAAATTTGAACATCCTCCCAAAAATTTTTAAATTTCCTTGCCCAATAATACAGATGAAAAATACTCGTAAAAAATATGAAAAAATACAAAATTTAGAAAAATAGGAAAGGCCTTCAATATATTAAAAATAAGAAGTTAGCGTAAATTAGTATATTAATTTTAGAAAAATTTTCCATAGGGTTTACTTTTGTTATCCACTGTTGTTGTTGTTGCTGGATCATCTCCTTCGGGTGACATACAACACTTAACCTCTTTAGTTTTTCCAACATTAATTGCTTGTACCACAGTTTTGAGTATATCATTTTGACTTGGCATTGGTGTTGGAGCAACATATTGCTGTTGTGGTTGAGGAGGTTGTTGGTGTTGAAGTAGGGCTGGTGGTGGAATTTGAGGAGAAGCAACACGAGGTGTTGCTGTTGTAGGTGGTACAAGTGATGGTGGTGGTGTAGTAAAGAGAAGAGGAACTTGTTGTGGGAAAGGTGGTGGCGGGGGTAGTCTTTGCTGTTGGGGAGTAACCGTTTCTAAAATAAATTTCGGCTATAACCTTTAAAAATATAAAAAAATAACCTGAACTTAAAATTCGACTTTTTACTTCATTTTCTGTTGCATCTCTAGAAGATAAATTAGAAGAATGATGAAGTTGTTGTTGTAGGTTCAATGGAAGCTGGGGAGGTGGCGTTGTTGTTAGCGATGTAAGTATAGGAGGGGGTGGCCTAGGAAAAACAAGTTGACATTGAGAGAAGAGGGAAGGCAGCTTTTTGTGTTTATGACGAGGAATAATTATTGAATCTTAAAAAAGGGATTTGAATTAAAAAAGGCAAAAAAAAATTTTAAAAAAACCTGGAGTTAAATTTGGACTTTCAGCATCTTTAGAAGTTAATGGGGGACGTGGAGGAGGATGTAGAAATTGTTGTTGTAGTTGTGATGGCGGTGGTGGTAATCTTTGGCGTATTTGTTGAGGAAGTCTAGGAGGTGGAGCTGTAAATGATGTTACCATTGTTGTTGTTGTGGGTATAAAAGGAGGCGGTGGTGTAGAGAAACAAAGTGGAACTTGAGAAAAAAGAGAAGGCGGCCTTTTTTGTTGTTGTGGAATAGTTGATGATTCTATTTAAAAATTTTTTTTTGGATTTTAAAATTTAAGTAAAAAACCTGAAGCTAAAACTTGACTTCTGCTTATATTTTCTATTTGAGGAGGAGGATAAAGAAATTGATGTTGTGTTGTTATAGGTGGTGGTAGTTGGTGGTGCTGTGATGGGGGCAGAAGAGGAGCTAAAAACTTTTTTGAATTTTTTGTTTTTGTAAAATTTTAGGTATTCGTCTAGTTTATGAATTCAATGCTCAAGCTTCTATTGGACTCACAAACTAAACTAGAGCCGTAGATTTTTTACTAACCTCTTATTATTGTTGTGGGTATAGGTGGTGGCGGCCTAGTAAAAACAAGTTGACTTTGTGGAAATAAAGTTGGTGGTGATTTTATTTGTTGCTGCTGCTGTGGACTAATTGAAGTGTCTAAATTTAAAAAAGTTTCAAATTCCTCAAAATTTGCAAAAAAAAATACCCGAAATTAAAATAGGACTTTTTCCTTCATCTCCCACCACAGCTTCTCTACTTGTTGAAGGAAATGATGAATTATTGGTGCTACACAACATTGGAGGTGGTGCTGGTGGTGGGGGTAGAAATATTCCAGAAGATGAAGAGGAAGTACTGCTAATTTCCATTGCTGCTTCTAATTCGTTTGAAACGTTTAATAAATTTTGTTGTTCTTGTAAAAATTGGTGTTGAGGCTGTGACTGTTCCAAATGACTTCCAGATGCTGCTGGGCTTTAAATAAAAAAGATTTTAGCTGAATATACTCAAATTGTTCTAATAAAAGCCCTGGGCTCCTATTTTAATGAGGTGGATTTAATTAAAAAACTCCTATTTAATGAGACTTTTATTAGAGGTGGACTTCTATTAGAGAAGGGTCTCTATTAGAGAGGGGCTGCTATTAAAATATTTACGATAATCAAAATTAAAACCTTTTTCCACCAGTTTCAAGTTTCTTTTTCTCCTTCTCTTCTAAATGTTTAGTTAGAGATTCTCTAAAAGTTGCCAATAATTCATCAAATTGTAAATCACCATATTTCTTCGAATCAACACCGAAAAATGTTAAAATTTGATGTTGTGGTAATCCAAGCATTGCACCAAATTTTTTAAATAATTCTTCATTTGTTGAACAATTCTTTATTGTTGATTCAGATTTCTAAAAAAATTAGGGAAATGAAAATTCATAAAATTGAAGGGAAATCTTGTCAAAGTATTTTTTGAAGTGGATGGGGTAAAACAGAGATAGGCATCGATCCTGCGACCTCCTGGGCAGTTATTGTTATGCTCATTTTCACTCACCATAAAGAGGTTTTCTACTGACTGATGTGAGCTCACGGAACTCTGTTTTCCTCTTCTCTTTTAATACCTACATATACCCCGTAGTTGGATCTCCCTAACAATGGCATGATCCAAAAATGTATGCCCCTGTTTTACCTCCAATTTAAACTGTTTCTGTGAAACCATTTCTTCATTAGTCATTAAAGTATCAGAAGTACAAGGAAATATTTCTTGTTGATGATTCTTTTGTTGTTGGTGGTTATTCCCAGTAGCAGATAAAGAACTCTGATTAGTTCCGGGAGAACCTGGTGGGGTCATTGGACCGTGTAAGGCCTTGAGAAAGTTATTTAGTCAATAAATTTAAACAAAAAAACCTGTGAAATAGCAGCTTCAGAAGGAATTAAAGAAGGAGGCGGTGGAGGAATAAAAGATGATGAAGAATCGAATAAAGGTGGAGGAGGAAAAGGTGGAGGAAGAGGAGGATTTTCTTCCACTTCTTTTATTGCTTCAGTTTGTTCTTGTTTAATCAATGTTTCCAATTTTGGATGTAAACGATCAGAAACTGGTTCTACTAAATCTGGCCTGATCTGAAAAAATTTGTTTAAAGGAAATTATTTGGGGTTTTGAATTGGTGTACTTTAAGTTTCAAAAAGGGAACAGCTCGAACTATGTCCAAAAAGCTTTTTTGCGGTATTGAACCGTGTAAAGCCTAGAGACACCATTGTGTAGAGTAAAATCGGTTTTTTTCTAATTTCGAGGTAAAGGCCAGAAAAAGAAAAAAATTGGCACTAGTAAAGCGACTTGGCTCTACACAATGTTGTGTTAGAGTTCGAGACGTTCCCTTATTCAAGGAAAAGGTAGAGGAAGGGGATTAGTAGTTCGAGCTGCTTCCATGGCAGAATTCAAAAATAGGATCTTACGGAAAATTTAAACGTTTTCGGAAGGGTTTTTAAAATACTAAATAAACAAACCTCATATTCAGGCGTAATACAAGTATTAAGATCAATTTTTGCTTTCATCGTTAAATAAGATTCAACTTTTCCTCTTAACATTTTATAAGCCAAAATTCTTTCCATTAAATCATCTTTATGTAAAAAAGTTTGGACCATACTATTATCATGTTCCTGCCTTGCAAGTTCAATTCTATTTAGAGGCCTATTAGTAACAGAAGACGGAAATGGAGTAACAGGTGGTGGTAATTGTTGACTAGAACATGGTGCATTTCCAGATTCGACATCGCTTGTAGATTCTTAAAATAAAATAGGGAAGATTTTAAAAAATATTTGTTAATGCCCAAGACTTAAAAGAAGATTCCTTCTTCTAATGTGCCAGGATACCTGACTTTTATTTTTTGACAGGAAACCCGAACCGGGAAATTTTTAGAAAACCCGAACGATTTTTTCTTCTTTTCCTGTCTTGCAGTTCAATTCCTGATGCCCCTCGTACTCAATTCCACCGATAATGACCTGGTCCAATACCAGGACTTTTTTGACCCGAGCCCCAATCCTACTTTATTAAGGAGACCCCTGAAACCTTTAGCCTAAATCCAATAGAGTTCCAGGACCTCTCCGAAAAAATTTAAAAATTTTCCAAACCTATTTTAATCAACTTTTCTCGTTTCTTCTTGGTTTTTGGTTTATTTGAAGTATCAAAAGCATCAATTTCATTAAGAATATTATCCAACGGATTAAACTCATTAGCAGCAGCATTATTAATATTAGGGGAATGATTTAAACTGCTATCATTTTCTTCTTTAATATTAATTAATTTGCGTTTTTTGGTTATTTTTTTCGTTGTTTCTTGAACCAAAGATTCTTTTTGAGGCAAATTTTGTTGTTTTTTTGAAGAAACATTTTTTGCAAAGTTATTGACCTCCAACATTTCTTCTTTTATTTTTATACCAATTTTCTTTCCGGGAGAAGTATTGTTCCTGTCAGCCTATTTTTAAGATAAATTTTTAAATTTTATTCATTTTAATTCAAAATTGGATAAATATGGATTATCCTAACCCATAATTTGCAGGAGAAATAGCTAGCTAAGTTCAACTTTACTTAATCCAAAAAAAATCAAAAACCTTATTTGAAGCCTTCGTCTTGGGTAAAATTCCATTTTTGTCAGTCTGAGAATTCTTATTGTTAGTTGCCGTATTTAAAGTCTTCTTCTGTGGAGAATTAATCAAATCTGGTGGCATGAGTTGTTTGCAGCCAGTCAGCAATATTTAAAAGTAAAGTTCTTATTTTAGGTGCATTTTGATTTAAAAAAATTTGTTTATTAAACTAAAATTATAAATTTCCTCAATAAAGATAAACGGATAAAAAAGAAAAAATAAAACGAAGAACCGAACAATAGTAACGACATGTCAACATTTCTGAAGAAAAACGTTCTGAAAAAGCAACAAATCATTCGCGAATAAGTCGACAATCATTCGGGACACGCAGGCGCGCGGCCATAACGGCGCAAAGCCATAATTTGCTGGAAAATTTATGACCCTTATTAATTTTGGAACCAATTTCTTTAGTTCGATGAGATGAATCGTTTAATACTAAATTTGTTAAGATTCGTAAATTTTGAAGCAAGTTGTGCCTTTGCGCCGTTATGGCAGCGCGCCTACTTGGGCTTTACCCAATCATTAAAATGCATAACGTCAGAACGATGTTAATTAGAGCGCGACTAGGGATTTACGAAATCCCGTCCAGGAATGCCCGGTTTTAAGCGATTACCGGAATTTCAGGCCGTTTTTTTAATTTTTAAAGAATTTTTTTTTCACTTTTTTAGTTTAAATCAAAATTTTATTTTTCTACATTTTTCAAAACTTTCCCAGATCACATTCTTAACTTTTCCGAGTGATAAGTTTATTATAATTCCTTCCCTCTCCTCCCTCTCTTCTTCTTCTCTTCAACCAAAATTGGCGAAGAAGGGAAAATTTTTTTCAAAATTTTCAAAAAATATTCAAAAATCTTAGAATGCCTTTATTTTTCCTTTTAATTTTTTAATTTATTATCTTTTTTTCTATTTAGATTATAAAAAGATGGTTAATGCTTAACTTTTAATTACTTCTACCGACAAAAATAAGGCGATTAATTACTTCTACACTTGTTTTCTTTAATATTTTCTTGACTTTTCAGCAGTTTATTGATAACAGGTAAATTTTAAAGTAATTATTTTTTTATTTTTTGTTATTATAAAAATTATTATTTAATTTTCATATGTTCATTCCACTTTTCTCCTTTTAAAATGAACCGTTATCTTTTTAATATTTTTGTCCCCTTACTATTATTTTTTAATTTTATTAAAGGAGATTATAAGGTTTTAAATTTTCTTTTAAAATATTTAAAAAATTCTATTTTAGCCTGATTGGACTTCGATTGATTCTCGCCCTGTGCCTCTTTGGTTTGACGATGTAAAATTCGGAATTTTTTCGCATTGGGGAGTTTATTCAGTGCCTGCTTTTGGTTCAGAATGGGTATATTTTTGTGATTATTTTATTTAATTTTTGGATTCTTTATGTCTTTTTTTAACTTTTTTTAACTTTAACTAACTTTTTTGAATTTTTATATTCCCATTAACTTCATAAAATTTCAGTTTTGGTATTACTGGAAAGGAACAAAAGATCCAGCATACCAACGTTTTATGGAAAATCATTTTCCAAATGGCACTACATATGCAGATTTTGCCAAAATGGTAATTATTTTAATTAAAAAATAATTTGACACTTGTAGTTCACCGCCGAGGATTTTGATGCTCAACAATTTGCTGAAATTATTAAAGCTTCGGGAGCTCGGTTTATTTTTATAAAATTTTCCCTATAAATTTTCATTTTTTAGTTATTTTGTGTTGACTTCTAAACATCATGAAGGCTTTACTCTGTGGCCGAGTTCAACCAGTTGGAATTGGAATTCTGTTGATGTTTGTCTAACTATTAGAACGACCAAAAAAATAATTTTTAGATTGGTCCTCATCGGGATTTGGTGAACGAATTGTCTGTTGCTGTACGTTCTAAGGGTGTTCATTTTGGGTTATACTTTTCTATGTTTGATTGGTTCCATCCGTTATATTTGAGAGATAAGGAGACAAAAGGCTATGAATTTCCGAAGGTTTGTTAGAAGATTTTTAACTGTTAAAAAAATTTTTTTAGACTGTTTCGATTCCGCAGTTGTGGGAAATTGTTAATAATTATCATCCTGAAGTGATTTGGAGTGATGGGGTAGAGATTTGACTTTTATTTTTGCTACTATTCACTTTTTGCAGGATTGGGAACAATCGGATGAATATTGGCATTCAAAAGAATTTCTTGCTTGGCTTTATAATAAAAGGTTTATTTTTAACTCTGATTCTGTTACCATTATTGACTGAAAAATTTATTTTATAGTCCCGTGAAAGATGTTGTTGCTGTAAATGACAGATGGGGAAAGGGAATGGCTGGACATCATGGAGGTTTTATGACTTATGCTGATCATTACGGTTATTGCTTTTTTTTATTATTCTAAATTTGTTTGACCAATTTCTTCAGATCCTGGACATTTGCAACCACGAAAATGGGAGAATTGCATGACTGTATTTTTTATATTTTTAATTTTAATGGTGTTAATTTCTAGCTGGATAAGCGTTCTTGGGGATATCGTCGAGATATGAAGGTTTTGTTTAATAAATCCTTTTAAAAATTTTTTTAAAATTTTGTCAGCCCTCAGATGTCCATTCTTTAAATGATTTAATCACACAACTTGCCCGTACAATTTCTTGTGGTGGAAATTTGTTGTTAAACGTTGGTCCAACATCTCACGGACAAATCGTCCCAATCTTTGAGGAACGTCTCAGACAATTAGGCCAATGGATTGGAATTAATCAAGAAGCTATATATGGAAGTAAACCTTGGATACATCAAAGCGATGGGGATTATATTTGGTTTTGATTATTTTTTGAAATTTCTGAAAAATTTTTTTTAATTTTTAGGTATACCAGTAAAGTTTTGGACAATTCGGGTATGGATCCTCACAGACTTTACAATCAACAACATATGCATAACACTGTATACTTTTAATTTTTTGCTAGAATTTTTAAAAATTTATCTCAAATTTTTAGGTGATTTATGCTTTTGTTCTTCGCATTCCTCGTTTGGGTCGTTTTCAATTGGATTCGGTTAAGATTACCGACAAGGTTTATACTGGAAAATTCTCTAGATTAATTTTTTTATTATTTTAGACTAGAGTTTCGATTCTGGGTACTTCAATCAAAGTTCCATACAAAAAGACAGCACCAACTTTGTGGGTAGATTTGAGCCCAATTCAATGGCAGGATTTTCCTAGTGTTGAAGCTATAGTTTTAAAAATTGAATATGCTGCTACCTCTAATGTAATTCTCTTTTGAGACAAGTTTTTTTTACTTATTTCTAGGGTTGGGGTTTTCGAGACATTTTTCAGGCTTCATTTTTATCGGGCCGGCTCGTTCGAGTCTTTCTCGGGCCAAAATTCGATACCCGACTCGATCTTTCGGACCGGGCCCGCAACCCTTCTTATTTCATCTTTTCTGATTTTTAAAGATTAAAAATTAGAAGCAATTTATTTTTTACTATTTTTGTATTATTTTAATTATTCACATTTTTTAAGGCTCAGCCGTTCATTGATCTCGTGCACAATAACAACACAAATTCCGCGCGCAGTGAAAGGATTAACACGAGTCGTTCTTCTCTTTCATCTTCCTCCTCCTCTACATCTGATGAAGAGAATGATGATGATGTTGAGAGAGAGCCAAATTTGGCGTCAATTGTTGGTGAGCGAGATTGGGGAACAGAGTTTTGAAGACTGACTGGAAGGAGAGTGAAAGATTAAAAATTGAGAGTATTTTACAATAAATTTTATTTATAGAAAAAAGTTTTTTAATGGTTGGGGGAAGGAAGCGGTTTTTATTTAACACAATGTTTAATAGAAAACTGGCCGCCTCCTTTCTACTTTGCATTTAAAATTCGCATTTATATTTTAATCGTAAATTGATTTTTTAAAATTTTGAGTAGAAAAGACTGATAAAATTTTATTAGATTTTTAAATTTTGTTCAACATAAAATGTTTGAAGACATTTTAAATTTTATTTGAATTTTTTTTTAATTTTGTTTTTGTTTTTTGTTTTTGTGATCCTTTGGGTTAATAACAGACGAGACGATGAGTAATAATTAATTTATAAAAAATTTTTTGTTTATTAGATCAATAATTTTTTACTTTTTGACTGATTGAAAGTCTTGCTTTTTCTTAAAAGAAATTATGAAGGCAATGACTGCTTTCATTTTTCAACGAGAAAAACCTTCAAAATCGCATCATTACACAAAATCTGCCTCTTCAAGTACTACCGGCATTATTTTAAATAAACAGCAACAACATAAATGCCATCAAAAGGAGAAGAAAACAACACAAAAAACTTCACTTATTTCAAAACAAATGCAACAAATACATCCAAGTCCATTGGTTTGTTTTTTTAAATTTATTAATCAAAATTTTATTTGTTTTCCAGTCCAAAAATATTAGACGTGCACGTATAATTAGACGTAAAACAACTACAGTTTATTGTGATACACTTAAACGACTTAAAGATGAAGATGCTGTCTTAATAAATCAAATTTTGATTATTCGACTTAGGCCAAGGTATTAATTTCTTTTTTTATAATTAAATCCGCGGGTTCCGACAATCCCGTTTGACGTTTAAAACACGGGATTTCCGGCCGGGATATTATAAAAAAATAAATCAAAAAACCCGTGTGGGATCATATCCCATGCCAACCTCGGGTTTTGCTATTATTTGACGCTGAAAATACCTCAAAGAATGACCAACATGTATTAAAAATTTTTGCGAATTTTATCTAACAATAAGCTCAACTAACATATAAATTTTATTTTTAGAAGTGAAGCAACTGAATTTGAATGTTCATGTGTAAACAATTCAAATATTGATTCGATTCCTTCAGTGGATTTTGCGTAATATTTTTTAAAAGTTTAAAAATATTTTTTAATTTAAAGATATCCTCCAATGGGTTCAAATGCTTCTAATTTTCCTCCTCAACTATTTTACCCTGATTTTATGAAAGGCACAGTTCAAAGAAGGGAGGAAAGAGAAACTTATCAAGTTGTGCTTACAAATGACAAAGCAGAGCGGTTTGAATTTTTTAAATTTTTTGTTAAAAAAATTATTTTTAGTACATTTGCTTTTTGCTTCAAATTCCCTACATTACCTCAACATAGTTCAATAATTTCAACAGATAGTGGTATCAGTACATTGGACAATAGAATATTTACAGGTTCATTACATTATTTGTTAGGGTAGTTAGTGTGTTAGTTTTTGTCATCTGAAATTAGCCCGGTTAGATTCCTTCGAGTTAACTGTTATTTATTGTTTAAGGACCTTTTAATATTTTTTGACTCTTATCTTGTATTGATTTTGTTAATTTTTTAGAAATTCGCTAACCAAATTCCAATAATTTACAGGTCTATCTGTTCTTGTTCTAATTTCTCCATATCCCAATGAAGGCTATTTTAGTGAATTAGCTGCTGATTTGGTATTGGCCTTTCAAAGAGATAATGCTAGATTAATGTCAATGTGCCGAGATTTGCTTCAATTAAGACTTACAACTTCAGGTATTTTGCTACAATTTTCTAATTATAGTTAGTTTTCAGAATCTTTTGATGCAAAAGCAAAATACATTGTTAGAGATGAATATGGTCGCCAGCAATGGACTCGTTCACATATGAGTACTATTCTCAAAAAAATTGGCATGGAAAATGCTCTTTTTATTTTTTTGAATATGTTAGCGGAACGGAGAATTATTATCACAGGATCCAATGTAAATTTTTCTTAATATATTTTTAAAGGATTAATTCTTCGAATTTAAAGGTCACTGATGTTTCACAAACTGTACATGCATTAGTTCGTCTTTTGGCTCCACTTGAATGGCCTCATGGACTTATTCCGATTTTACCAGATTCTCAAATTGAATATTGCCAAAATCCAACCCCTTATATTTATGGATTGTTAAGGTTATTCTTTTTGCACTTAAAAATTGGTCATGTAGATTAGGTCTTAATTTTTGGGTAGTGAACAGAGCTGTCAGGGCTCTTGGTTTTGACTCAAGACATGCACCCCATGTCTCAAGAACACCAAAACGCGAGACCAAGATCGAAAACCCCTCAAGAAAAGTCATGAGTGATGAATCTTGGACGGCTCTAGTAGAGAAAATATTTTTTTCTTGTTACTCTTTTTTCCTAATAAGGACTTCATTTTTAATTTTTCTAACTTTTTTTTCAATAGATACAACCTTAGCCGAATCTCTGAATTAATTGTTCCACAAAATGATTCATCTTTCTCACCAGATGATAATACATTAAATGACGATATTATATTATTTGATGTAGAAATGGGAATAATTGTTCCTCCAATTTCTAGACCAAAAAACAAACAAAAAATTGGATTAAAAGCTTTGTTAGAACAAACAGAATTAATTGGATTTCCACGTGCTGCTGTTTGTGAACTTCTTGGAGCATTAAAATCTTGTATTCCAATTAAAGATGCAGAAAAGGCTGATTATAGAATTGAAAAGGTTAATTTATTTTTAAAAATATTTTTTAAATTTTATTCTTTAGAAAATTATGATTTTTTATGCAAAATTATTTGGTCATTATCGCTCTTTTGGACAAGATATTTTAACTGCTAGAAATCGAAAATTATTTGCTAGAGCACATCCGTGTTCAGAAACTCGTCTATTTTTGAATTGGTTTATTGAAAATGGAATTTTACAATATTTTATTTCAATACAGGAGGTTTGTTTCTTTATAAAAAAATTTTTTGAGAGGAAGGGTCCTTGTAAAGGTTCCTCGACTCCACGGCCTTGCCCGACGATGATTTTAGGTCATTCCTCGTCATGTTATTTCTCGAAAATGTTCTCCTCAACGGATCAGGGACCTACTCTAGTTTTTTTGAAAGCACTATTTTTCTATAACTAAAAAATTTAAAAATCTTTATAGACAGAAAATGATGGTTGTTGTGGATTAAAATTTCGTTTTCAAAAAGTATTAAAGAAGTATGCTCCTCCAGCTAGAATTAATTTGGAAGGAAAGAAACGAAAAGCTGCAAAATCGCTTATTTGGAAGGCATTAAATCATTGAAAAAATCTTTTTTTCTAACATTTTATTCCGAAGGTTTTCTTTTTAATTACATAAGAAGCATAATCTTAAACGTTTTTTCGAATATTTGTTTGTGATTCAGACCAGTTTGTCTTTCCAAAAATATTTTTTTAATTTTAATTTAAAAACGCATAATTTTTTAAGTAGTCGATTTTATAAATTTTGTATTCTTATACGAATTAAATAAATGCTTTAATTTTTCTAATGATTATATTTGATTAGTTTTTAACTTTTTATATACATATTCTTTAAATGTTTTTTTATTTAATTTTTGCGGGGTCAACCCTGAAGACCTACAGATTTTGAGAGAATTTCGAGGGGATTTAGAGGGCAATCCATCGTATCCCCTTAATCCCTCCAAATCCCTCGACAAGCTCTTTTAATATTCCCTTTCAACAGTTGTATGTCTTTTGGGTCAATAGGTCTTCGGGAGTGGAATAATTTTTGCTTTCTTTTAGAACAAATTAATGGATCAATTAATTAATTTACAAAACAAATTTACAACAAATTTTTATTTGAAGTTTATTTCTACAGCTTTTGGACTTTGGGGAATTTACAAATTTATGGTTTACCTCTACAATGCTCGTCATTGCAAATTTAATTTAAAAGACAAAACTGTTGTTATAATTGGTGCTAGTTCTGGTATTGGAAGGGCAATGGCTTTTGAATTTTATAAGAAGGTTTTTTTCATTTTTTGAATGATTCGGTATGGTTGGGTTGGGCCTTCCTTTACCTTATCATAATTTTTCTTTTAACGGGTTCGAAAATTTAATGACAATAGTTGTGTCCTTTTAGACTGTGATGCAGAACATGCCTGTTTCTAGATAAGTCTAACAATAAGATCCTTGGTCTTGAAAAACTTGTGACTTTCTTGCGGGTTTCTCACATCAGTGTTTAGTCATATTTGAGGTGATTTTCTATTTTTGGGCATCTTCAGTGTTCTCTTTATTTCTAAAAATTGGAGATATCCAATTACACTTCCCCCGGTTTATTGTTCCATTCACAATTAAAGCATATTTAAGGGTGCAAAGTTAGTTCTTGTTGCTCGAAGTGTTGACAAATTAGAATTACTTTGTAAAGAACTTGAAGACCAAAAACAACAATTTAATAATTTCCATAAACCAACTTTTTATCAATTAGATATTACTGAATTTGTCAATTCAGAAGAAGAAAATTACAAAAATAAAATTTTAAATTTACTCGACCATTCAATTGATGATAGAAAAACTTTTGATGTTTTAGTTTGTTGTGCTGGACTTTCAAATAGAGGATCTATTGAAAAAACAAAAATTTCAATTTTTCGAGAATTAATGGAGGTTTCTTTTTATTTTTTTGAAAGATTAAAGTAATTATGGGGTAATTACTCTGAAGACCCACAACTTTCGAAAGGGAATATTATGGGATTAAAGGGGTAAAGTCATCCAGCTCTATTGAGATAAATACCCAGTTCTGTATTATATAACCACACCGAATCCATCGATATCTCCGGCATTCCCTCTTGATCTTCTTTTTTAAAAGCTCTAAGACTTCAGAGTCAATAGGCATTGAGTGCGTAAGTCATAAGGGGTGAACTCATTTTCTATTTTTTAAAATTTTTTTGAATGATTAAAATTACAGGTCAACTTTTTTGGCTTCATTTACATTATCAAAACTCTTCTAAATTTCATTCCGGATGATGGAGCAATTATTAACATTAATAGTATTCAAGGACGGGGTAAAACATTCTTTTGATATTAACTTTAAAAACGTTTTTTAAACTTTTAGTTGCCCTCCCTTATAGAGCTCCTTATTCTTGTTCTAAACATGCTTCTTTGGCATTTTTTGATAGTTTGAGAGGAGAAGAAAGACCGAACTTGCATATTTTGAATGTTAATGCCGGATATGTTAATGTGAGGTTTTTTTAATTAATTTAATAAATCGGGGCTTATCTCTTTAACTTTTGATAGCTGTGGAAATTTTTTTACTAAACTAACTGTCCATTCCTGCTATTTTTAAGATAACCTCTAGAAAACACTTTAAAATCCCAAATAATTTAATCAGACAGGCTTCGGCTCTCGTGCTTTGAATGTTGATGGAAAACCAATGGGATTTGAAGATCACAATCAATTAAAAGGAATTAGTCCAGAAGAAGCAGCCAAAAGAATTATCTCTTCGTTAGAAAATCGTGAAAAAGAATTGATATTAGCTCCATTCAAAATTCGACTTTTGGTTATGCTTAGATGGTTATCACCTAGTTTGACATGGTGGCTACTGACTAAAAAAGCTCAAGCAGATAAGTAGATAGAGGAGAAAGAGATGGCTAATAAACTAGAGGATTAATATTTATTTTTGTTATTTTTTGTATTTTTACAATGGAATCTCTATATACCGACGTTTATTAGAATTTCTGTCCCGAAGTCTTTAAAACGGCTAAAACAATGTCAGTGTATAGAGACTCCATTTATTGACATTCTTGCTCTATCTTTTATTTTTTTTTAATTTAATAGAGCAAACTTCCAATTAAAAGCTATAAATCCATAAATCGGTTTTAAAACCGCTATATTTTTTAAATATTTGTTTCAGAATTCAAAAATCTGCGCTATTTGGCATAATGCAAAACATTAAGAGTAAATGACACTTCATCCCTAAAATCAATAATCGATTTTTGATGCTTCTTTTGGAGTCTTCTGTTGTCCATCCTTAGCAAAGATGTTCTAAACCAGGGCTCCGATCGACAAAATGCCACTCAAAAGTATCAAAATCTTGTAAAAAAAGTACATAGGGAGAAAATTTGCAAATAAAAAGTACACTTAAAATTAAATTTGAAAATATTTATTTGATGCTCAAATCTTTTATATTTCTCTCCTAAATTAATCTTTTCTAATAATTTCTTGTTTCCACTGAGCATTTTGTGCATTTCATTGCATGACATGTCAAAATTCGCTGTCACAAGAAGCAAAGCCCTGACAGTCTTAACCTCAAGCGAGTTTCTTTCTTACGTCCATTGAATGTTTGCCATTGAGAAGCGCCGCAGGCGAAAATTTTTTGAGATTTCTTCTTTTTAAGCCAGATTTGTTCCATTTTTTGCGCCGCAGGCGAAAATTTTGAGAATTTTGGAGGTCCTTAAGCCAGATTTCTTCCATTTTTTGCGCCACAGGCGAAAATTTTGAGAATTTTGGATGTCCTTAAGCCCGATTTGTTCCATTTTTTGCGCCGCAGGCGAAAATTTTGAGAATTTTGGAGGTCCTTAAGCCAGATTTCTTCGTTTTTTCAAAAATGTTGATAAAAAAGTACATACTTTCAAAAAAGTACAAATTCAATTTCGGAAGTACGGAGGTCGATAAAAAAGTACAATACTTTTAAAAAAGTACGAATCGGAGCCCTGTTCTAAACAGAATGCGTGGCTTTTCCTTTTTTTAGGGATTAACCTTTTTAGGGGGGAGGGTAGAATTGAGTTGCGGACAAGACTTGCTTTTTTTCCAATTTTTGAAAAATTTATCCAATTTTTTTCAGTTCTTCAGCAGCAGCAACAACAAAAGTCCCACATATGGGCACAAAAGGGTACCCACAAAAGCCCCAGAGTCGCTTCGGCGATATTTGGGCAAAAGCCCCAGAGTCGCTTCGGCGATATTTGGGCAAAAGCCCCAGAGTCGCTTCGGCGATATTTGGGCAAAAGCCCCAGAGTCTCTTCGGAGATATTTGGGCAAAAGCCCCAGAGTCTCTTCGGAGATATTTGGGCAAAAGCCCCAGAGTCTCTTCGGAGATATTTGGGCAAAAGCCCCAGAGTCTCTTCGGAGATATTTGGGCAAAAGCCCCAGAGTCGCTTCGGCGATATTTGGGCAAAAGCCCCAGAGTCGCTTCGGCGATATTTGGGCAAAAGCCCCAGAGTCTCTTCGGAGATATTTGGGCGATGGCTTCACTCCAACAGTGCAACGATTAAACTTCAATGCTCTCGTCTACATGGTTAGCTTTTATACTTTGTTAAATTCGCAAGTTTTGTCCGCAAGGTTCCTCCCCTAAATAAGTAGTTTATCCTTTCCCAATGTTAAAGCCAATTAAACTGTGGCCAAGTTCTTGTCAAATGAGAAGACGTACAGCAGACGTTGCATTGGTTAGATGCAATGATTTGCTTGTTTTGAATTGTTGATCTTTTTATAGGTTGTTTTTATTTTTAAGAGTTTTTCAATTATTTAATTTTCAGCTTTGAGTGAGTGTCCAGAAGCTGTTAAAATTTTTAAGAGGTTATTTTTGATTATTTACATGGTTTCAAGATTATTTTTTAGGCCGGTGAATTGTTGCGGCAAGACGGTCTATTTGATGACTATGCTTTAGAAGAACAAGAATCAGCAGAAAAAATGAATGAAGAACTCCAATCTTTTGTTAGAATTCAGAAAATCAGGTTTGGAAATTAATTGATTGGTTTGGTTAATTGGTTCCCACGATTTTTCGTTTATTAATTCACGTTTTGCCCCTTTTTAACCCGTTATCAATGTTTAAATCTCGGTCAGTTGCTTCCCTTGAGTATTGTGACTTGTAGGGTGTTTTTGTTGGCCCACCCGATTTCGACAAATTGTATGTCGTTCGAAAAAGCTCGTCGAGCTGAGTCGAATTACACCAAACGGTACTTATTGGTTATCCCAAAGTAGTTCTTGCCGACATTTTATGCGGACTCATTTTTCCAAGGAATGGTCAAAGGTTCCCCCTCGATTTTCTCAATTTTCCCTGTGCATCATTCAATGAGAGTATCAATAAAGAAAAGATTAACCCCTTTCTAGTTAAAATAGTCTTTCTATTTAATATATTTTTTAAAATTTAGATAAAGAACACGACTACCAACATTTAATGGATCAATTGAATATGTAAAGCAATGCTAGAATGTGAAGTGGTTCGTTTTTTCCTTGTTATTAATTATAGTTTTACTAGATTTTTTAATAGGCTTACCGGTGGAAGGATTCGGGTACCCCTTTTGATGCTCTCCTTATAGTCGATAAAAGTTCCTTACCCCATAATATGTCTCTGTGGTGTAACTGGTAGGAGTTTCGGATATGCTATATTATGGGCGTGGGTTCGAATCCCACCAAGGGAAATAATTTTTTCTGGCTCAAACAAATGATGTAAGAGCATTTTTCTTCAATTTAAATGTAATTAATTTTTATTTTTATAGATTGGTTACTCCTGCAACTTCAGTTCGAATGAGAGGTCGAAAAAGAAAAAAAAGTATTATTTATTTGTCTTTTATTTTATTTTTTGAAGATAAACTTGTATTTTTTTGCCATTTTGTTTGAGTTTTACAAGTATGTAAATTTAATGGACCATCGAATTTTTTGAAAATTTAAAATAATTAAAAAACAAATTATCGATTGGTATTGATTTTATCGATTAGTATCGATTTATTGAAAATACAAAATTTTACAAATTTTAGAAAATCGATTGGTATTGATTTTATCGATTAGTATCGATTTTTTGAAAATACAAAATTTTACAAATTTTGGAATATCGATTTTATCATTTGGTTTGATTTTATCGATTAATATCGATTTTTTGAAAATACAAAATTTTACAAATTTTGGAATATCGATTTTATCATTTGGTATTGATTTTATCGATTAGTATCGATTTTTTGAAAATACAAAATTTTACAAATTTTGGAATATCGATTTTATCATTTGGTATTGATTTTATCGATTAGTATCGATTTTTTGAAAATACAAAATTTTACAAATTTTGGAATATCGATTTTATCGATTGGTATTGATTTTATCGATTAGTATCGATTTTTTGAAAATACAAAATTTTACAAATTTTGGAATATCGATTTTATCATTTGGTATTGATTTTATCGATTAGTATCGATTTTTTGAAAATACAAAATTTTACAAATTTTAAAATATCGATTTTATCGATTCGTATTGATTTTATCGATTAGTACTGATTTTTTGAAAATACAAAATTTTACATATTCTGGAATATCGATTTTATCGATTGATATTGAATTATTTATTTTTTACTTTTCCATTTGCCTCTCAAACTGTAGCACTGAACCGACCATAAAATTTGATATTAATTTTTTTCTCTAACTAAACTATTTCTTTCATATATTTCTCTAACTTTAGGGATGAAATGTCATTATATACACTACGCCAAAATTATGCAAATTTTTAAATTTTATACAAATCTCAAATTTCTGATAACACTATTTAGCTTTTCTAACATTAAAACTACTTTTATCCTTTTGTTATCAATTAAAATGGAATAATCGGAATACAAATATATTAATTTATTCATAATCAATGAAAATACATAAATATTTAATAATGTGTTTCAATAATTAAGATCGATAAAGATGGCCCAATAAAAATCGGAAGTCACAATCTTCCGATCTTAACATCTGATAACTCTCTAAGGACTATCAGTCCCGTTAAGAATCAGGACACACATAGCTATCGATTGATATAAAAATAATGAGAAAAGATGAAGTTTCTAAAAAGTTATAGCTCAACAAAGACAGGAAATCTCGATTTTCCGAAATTGTTAGCTTATAATTTCTTAAAGCATGATCGGATCTTATCAACCCCATTGGGAAGTAGTATCAGTAAATCGAGAGCTTTCGATTGATACATAAATTATGAAAAAGGATTGAAGTTAAAAAGTTATGGCCCAATAAATATATGTAGATCACGATTGTCCGCACTTATCAGCTGCTCCTCCAACACGTTCATATATTTCGTCTTGTGCAATTCGTTGCGAACATACTTGTGCCTGGAGAACAACCACCAATATGAGGCTTATGAAAGGAACAGCCAAAGTCTAAAAATTTAATTTTTATTTCAAAGCTTAGAAAAATATACCTGAAATTCACTCCAAAACGCAACTTTAAATATTCCTTCAGCTAAAACTTCAACTCTCATTTCTGGCCTTTTATTTCTGTTTAAGGCTATCAACATTGAACGTTCATCCATTTTTTCTATTCCTCCAAAACCAAAAGAATTAGCTAATGCTATCAAAAATTGTCTGTCTAATAAAGTGCTCAATATAAATAATCCAACAGTTGTAGCCGCAGAAGGTAATGTTTGTTCTGTTGAATGTACTTGTTCAAGAACTAGTGGATTTTGGCGTGTTAGTTCAACTGCAATCTTAATAGAAATGAGATTTTAGCTTTATGAGCAACTGTTAAAGAAACTTGTGGATCAAAATGATGATGATATGTTAAGATTGAATAAATAGCCAAAACAAGAGCATGAATTCCCAGAATGGCAAAGAATAGAGGCCTTGTTTGTGTTGGTGAAGGAGTTAATATAGCACAATGAGGAGATACAAGTGTTGCTGAATTAGCTGAAGAAGATAAAATTGGAGGAATAGCAACAAAAATTGAGATTAACCACTAAAAATTAAATTTAAAATAAGCAAAGTAAAATAATATTACCTGTAAAATAACTAAAAAGATTGCAATAGCTCTTTTAGATTTTGTCCTACGAATATAGAGAAGTGAACCAGCCATTCTTTCAAGGGCTAAACATGCCCCAGCCATATAAGTAGCGAATATTGAAACATTTAAAAGTGTTCGGATTGCTTTAAAATTAAGAAAAAGTATTCAGAAAAAAAGAAAATAAGAATACCTAAACAGTCAATGAATGAAAAACTAAGCCAATAACAATGTGAGGATGGTGCACGAATTAGAGGTACATGCAAATTATAGAGAGAAGATAAAGCCACACCTATTGGATTTAATAAAAAAATTTAAAAAATATTTTAGTCTCTGAATCTTAACATACCAACATTAGCAAGTAACAAAGCAACACACAAATTAAGCATCATTAAAAGTGAACTAATAGGTAGTTGAATTGGTTGTTTAGTACATAACTGCAACATTCCAAAAGCTAATGCGATTAATGAAATAAAGGCTCCCAAAGTTTGTGCCGCATAAAACAATCGAAGAATTGAAGGTGAATTTTTGTATAAATGACGAATTATTGCACAAATTGGTGTAGAATTTAGTGAAGATGTTGAAAGTATTTTTGACATTTTTTAAGTTCTGATAAAAGTATTTTTGTTTTTAAATGATTTGTTGCAATCAGTAGAATAAGCACAATTGGGTTAAACCAATAATTGAATAATATAAAGAAAATAGAGCGCTAACAAATTAAACAGTTAATTTTTGTAGGGCAGCGAGGGGTTGTCAGCAATCTCCAATTAATTAGTACAAAAAGGAATTGTGTTGCTCTATAAGGTGTTGTCATTTTGTGAACATATACTTCCAAACTGTACCCCAAAACTGAAAATTATTTCATACCATATCCTCCAATTTCCAAAAAGTTCACTTCATTAGAGTCATTAAAATTGGATCACACCAATAAAAAGCCTATAAAAAAGATTAATATTTAAAAAAAGAATCACTTAAAGCAAACCTCTAAAAAAGCAATTAAGCGGAAGAAACCAACAAATTATATTAAAAGCTAAAAATTGTCGGACCCCTTTTCCTTTTATAAATATTTTTCTATTATTTTCATAATTTCTATTTTTTATATATTTAATATATTCATTTATTAAGTATATCCGCTTTTCACTGATGAAATCTGTTCTCTCACTCAATCACGCCTTTTTTTACTTTTATAATTTCCTTTTAAACTCGATTAAAAAATGTTAAATTAAAATAAAAAACAAGTTTTTTAAACCTTCAAGGGGAAGGTCAGAATGAATTAATTGAGAAAAAATCTGACTGATTACAAATGCTAAAAATTGTCGGACCTTATTTTAGCCACCAGTCTTGTTTAATATTTACGAAAAACATTTAAAAATCTTTTATATTTTACCTAATATTTTTCTAAAAACAATATAATCGTAAAGAAATCTGATATTTACATAATCTTAAGAAAATTTATAAACCTTTCATTTACTTATTTTTCCATCCATTTTATTCCACATCTTCTGTATTTTTCAAAAATCTCCTTCTTTAAACAATTTTCAAAAATTGGCACTCTGATGAACAGGCAAAACCGAATCCAAAAGATATGGGTCAGTCTGAACCCATTTTGTTCCAATTCGTTGTCTTCGCTTTACATGCTTTATTAATTGTTTTTTGTTATCTAAAAAATTAGCTAATTTTAATTAAATTATTTAAAATTTTACCTGAAGACATTACATGGTAAAGCATTCTCGAACGCCACGGCATCCTTGCAACTACTGCATCTAATGAACGTTTATCTCCCTTTTCTAAAAAATATTTTTTCACTTTTTATTTTTTATATTTAAATTTACTTTCAGGTCCTTGTTCTAAAGCTACAGATTCTCTTCCATCAATTGGTTCAATAGGTTGTTCATAACCTCCATCACCTCCTTCATAACCACCAACATCAACCAATGCTTTTTGGTAATCTTTGTCTATTTTTCCACGAACATCATCAGCTAACGCATGGATTTGTTTTTGAATAATTGTTAACATTGTAGACACTAATGCAAGTCCAATTAGTAGCATTATACCAACAAGGATTATATAATTTGATTTTGATGGGATTACATCACCTATAAAAATTATTTCTTTTGGTGCTGGAATTAAGTTTTTAAATTTATACAAACCAAAGCCAACGGTGAGGAATGAGATCAGCACAAAATAAAGCGAAAGACCTTTAAATTTTATAAAATTTCAAATTAAAATCTTCTTTCAAACCATAATTCCAAGTATCTTCCCAAAGTAGAAACAAATAAGCACAAAGTAAAATCCAAATAATTGTAACTGCAATCAAAAACCAAATTGGGAACTAAAAATAATGGAACATTAATTAATGCGCAAATAAAAAACGGAAGAGGGAACTTTAGGGGTTCTCTCCCTCCATTTTATTTAATTTATAAACCTGTAATAATTCATCATTAGAATCATCTCCAGAATCAGTAGTTGTAGTACCTTCTTCTGAACCCTTTTCTCGTTCCAAATGTTGATCACTTTCTGTTGCAATAGTCATCTTTTTAAATTATATTTTTAATTTTTTTAAAAACTTTATAAACCTTTCTTTCCAAATTCTTTGAAAAACACCCTAACATTCTACCAATAAGTCTCCAAACAAGCAAACAAATTCTTGCAAACATTCCTCCTAGAGCAATTAAAGCAAACAAGGCCAAAGGAATTCTTTAATTAAAAATATATTTAATTTTAAATTTAAAATATTTAAAATTTTATTTTTACTTAATATCAAATATTTTATTTACTACGATTTACTGTATTACTCAATAAAATTATTCATCATATTGAATAAAAAGTGACAGCCACCTAACAGCTTCCGTGGCGCAATCGGTTAGCGCGTTCGGCTGTTAACCGAAAGGTTGGTGGTTCAAGCCCACCCGGGAGCGTGTATTTTTTAGGTTTTTTTAAAATTCTTATCATTTTTAATTGGCAAATTAACCTAATTCGGCTTGATTTTCAATTTTTTATTAAAAATTTTATTCAAAAATTTAAAAAACAATACCCAATAAGTGCATATATAATTGTTAATATTCGTCCAGTTGTTGTTATTGGAACAATATTTCCATAACCAATTGTTGTATAAACAGTCATAGAAAAATAAATACTTCCCCATATAGTCCATTTTGTTTCGTTTAAATTAATTTCATGCACTCCAAGTTTTTCTCGGTAATAAATTAGTGTATTAATTGTGTGGTTATATGCCTAAATATTAAAAAAAATGTTTACTAAATTTTATTTTTAAAAATATTATACTCTGGTCGGTGACATTGATTTTATTGTATTTAATCTGTAAGCTGTGTTCTACACAAATTAAATTAAATTTTAATTATTTTTTAAAAATAAATTTTAAAAAAACCTTTAGTAATAATTCCCTTTGCGTTTTTAATTTATTCAATTCGAATTCCTCATTTGGCCCTTCAATTAGCATAAAAATAATAGCACCAATAATTGTATAAATGCACAAAACGAAGATGGGGATCTAAAAATAATTTTTGTTAAATTAAGAAAATAATGAAAAAAGGTTAAAAAATTAATTGAAAAAATTTTAATCTAATCAAAAAGATAATAAATCATTTCAAACTTATTTTAGAATAAATTTGAGAAAAAGAAAAAAATTGATTCCGGTGCCGGGAATCGAACCCGGGCCACGTGGGTGAAAACCACGGATCCTAACCACTAGACCACACCGGATCATAATAGCTTTCAATAATTATTCCACTTATTCCCTTTTCTTTCTTTAAATTGACAGTAGTAAAGAATGAGCTGTGCAGATGAGAAGTAATAAAACATACCAATGACTTAAAATCGTGTTTAAATTTCTGCAGGAGTCCTTGCACTTGTCCTGCTATCATAACCATTAGTAACAAATATTATATGAAGGATTTTAAGAAAAAAATTCAATTAAGTTCAAGTTGTTTAGCAAACCAATTACAGAAGGAAATGAGATGCTGCTGAGGAAAGTGTTGCGTTTATCCTAAATTTGAAACAATTAAAAGCATAAAATTGGTTTATTTATTTAATTAAAAACGTAACAAAAAATGTGTTCAATTTTTAATTTATAATTGTTCATTTACTACTATAAATCTAATAAAAAGGCGGATAAAAGAGGGCTTTTTAAAGATTGTTGGAACATGAGAAATAAAAATAGAAGAGAGAAAAAAGTGCAAACCTGCCGACATTTGTTACCAAATATTTTTATTGCCAGATTTTAGAGATTGAACTAAAAATGAATGTACGAATCAATTGCTTGATGGAAGAGAAGAAACAAATCCTTTCTGGGTTGAATTTTGGTATAAACAACAGGTGACATCCCCTATTTATTAAAAATAAATTTATGGTTTAAAAGAAAATAACCTCGCCTTGAGAATAATGCCAACGACAGATGCCTTTCAGCTCCTAAACACTAGAATTTTTGGAAAAAAATATTTTAAAAAATTAAAAAATTACTTTGAAACTCGAACAAATTACTTTGAAGCCCACTATCAAGTTATCAACATCTCCACACTTCCACGAGGTGATCCACTCCCCTTCTCTCCCCGCCATTTAATTTAAAAAATATAAAACTGAATTTATTTAAATCAGCTCTTTACAAAATATTAAAAAATATAAACTTTATTTTTAAAACAACAAAGAAAAAATAGAATAAAAGCTCTAAAAATTAAAAAAATAATACAAAAATTTAATTAAAAAATTGTATAAAAGTTGGGAATATTTTAATGACCGGGAACAATGTTTAGAATATTAAAACCTTAACCAAATAAAGGAATTTAAGGCACATTAAAACTTGGGAGCAGGGCTGTGCGTCATGGCGTTTGGCGTTTTGCGTTTTGGCGTTAATTTTGGCCGATTTTTGGCGTTTTGCGTTTGGCGTGATTTTCCGATTTTGGCGCGCCAAACGCCAAAAATATACACCCCTAATGATGGAATTTTTTAAAAATAAATGGAGAAAGGGATGATCGAAAAAGGAAATTTTTCTGCGTACAGTCCTCCAAAATTCTCAAAATTTTCGCCTGCGGCGCATAAAAAATGAAGAAATCTACTGCTTGGACTTCCAAAATTTTCAAAATTTTCGCCTGCGGCGCTTAAAGGAGGAAGCCCTTATCTTAAACTAATAGATGGTAAAAAAACTTTAGTCCCGTTTATCGTTTACTCTCTTCATGACCTCTGTTATACTCATTACTCCCTTTATCCCTTCATATCCACCTTAATTTCAAGTGGTTTATGAATTTCTTATTTTTTAAAATTTTTTAAAGGATGAATTTCGGCTTTTTTGCCTCCAAAATTCTCAAAAATTTCACTCCGGCGGTAAAAAAAAGGATGAATTCTGTCTTCTGGGAATCTTGAAAATAAAAAAATTTCGCCTGCGGCGCTAAAATGAGATGAACAGTGATTTTTAAGTCTTTATAGACTCTAAAAATTTTGGCGTTTGGCGTTTTGGCGTTGATTTTGGCCGATTTTTGGCGTTTGGCGTGTTTTTAAAATTTAAAAAATTGGCGTTTGGCGTTTGGCGCGCCACGCGAAAATTTTGGCGCACAGCCCTGCTTGGGAGGAGTTGAAATTGGAATAGACGGGAATTGGAATTAATAAATTAATAATTTGAAGGCCAATTTTGCCTATTTTTTGTTTTAACAATTATAGATTGATTTTTAATTTTTTTATTTCTTTGTACTTCAGAACAATCTCCTCCTCCATTAACAAATATTTGATGAACATTTTGTCTGGGTAAATGCTTTGTTATGGTATTATTAACAAGAGAAGTTGAAGTTGTTACATAATTATTGCTGAAAGGAATGCGCGACAATTTTGTTGTATTATTAGGTTCTGTTGAAGGAATTATTACTGTTTCTTGTTTTCTTCGTTGGGTTGAGTTTAAAGGAATACTAAAAAATATTTTTAAAAATTTTTAAAAGGGGTTAACCCAGAAGACCTACACTCTAAAGACCTGAATTTTTGAAAGGGAATGTCAAAAGGAAATATTGGTCCTGAAATACAAAGCAGGTACTTGTCTCCATAGAGCTGGGTATTTATCCCCCTTACTCCCTCTAAATCCCCGGATATTTAAAAAGATGAAGGTCTTCTGTGTCTTAGGGTGTGGGACTTCTGGTGTGGACTCATTTTAAAAAATTAAATTAAAAAAAACCTTGAAGATCTCAAATTCAAATTTTCCTCTCGAATATTATTATCATTATCACAAGTTATTAACATTTGTACTCTTCTACGAGGTGATCCATCTCTTCTCCACTCTAAAGGTCCACAATTTTGTTGAGCAATTACTTTAGCTTTTGTATGTAACCAATTATTGTTACTAGAAGATGATTGAGCTTCTTGTTCCTTTTCGCTATTTTTAATAATTATTTTTGTTGTTTGTTTTTTATTATTTTGTTCTTCTTCATTTTCTTCAGTCAAATTATCATAAAAAGATCTTTGTTCAATTGGTGTAGAATTATTAGTGGAAGTATCAACATTTTTGTCATTAAATAGAAGTAGTTGCTGTTGATCATTATTCTTTTGTTGTTGTTTTGGTTGTTTATTTATCGAGGAAAGTGATTGACAATGATTAAAGAATTGCTCAATAACATGTCCTACATCTGGAGATTTTAATTTAGACGATGAAGAAGTTGAAGACCGTCTTTCGTCTAAAAAATATTCAAAACTTAATATAAAGGTGAAGAAACAGTAAACTAAAGTTGGAGGAGAGTGAATGAGCGAATGACTCTCCTCCGTGGAGGAGAGTGAAGGACCCCCCCCCCCCCCCCCCCCCCAGCTCCGTTCATAAATCCTAAATTTGCTTAAGAATAGTAAAAGCGTTGAGGGAAACGTTTAAAAATTTTCAAAAAATTTTAATTCGTTGGGCTGAAAGGGGGGAATTATAATGGGACTTGATGGAAAACGAAAAAAAGATTTCCCTATCTACCCTAAGCATCGAAAAAAAATTTAAAGAAATTTTTTAAACTAAACAAACCTCTTTGCCTTTCTCTTGTTCCATTCATTATTGGTCTTTCTGTTTTCTCATTATTCTTTCCTTCTTCAATTCTTGGGGGAACTTCTTCCAATATTTGCCCATTTAAAATATTAAAATCATCCTCAAAACTCTCATCAGGTTGAAAAATTGTTGAGGAAGATGAAGAAGACGAACACGAATTATTACTTGAAGTACTGCTACCTTCAAATTTTTCAATTTCATTAATCTGAAAAAATAAAATCTGATTAAATTTTTGAATTAAATTACTTCAACAGTTTCAGCAAATTTAACCATTTTTTGAGATTGTTGTTGTTGTTTATAACCATTTCTTGAACATTTTAATTGTTCAGCTAAACGTTCCATTTCTTCAATTGGTGAAATATTCAAATTATTTTTATTTTTAAAATTTTCTTCTTTAATTAAATTAAAATAATCATTCAAATCATTTTTGTCTTCTTTAATTAATTCTTTACTTTTATTTGTTCTTCTTAACATTCTTGGTGGAGAAGAATGTTCTCCTCTTATATTATTGAAATGTGAATAATTTACATAATGATTAAAAATATTTTGGTCATCGAATAATGTATTTGGATGTGTTGAAGTATGTCTGAGTATTTGTGGAGGAAAATTATTGTTTTTGTTGAAATATGTTTTATCCTGGAAAAAATGTTTTTTTAATTATCAGGGGTGTGTGGAATATCGGGACAACATATCGGGATCGGGGCGACAAAAATAAATTTTTGCGTGTTTACGCTGGTTCTAACCCATAAACTATATTCTTCAATAGGACAATGTACCATAAAAGACCCTGTAGTCGCAGGTCCAGAAATCAGAAGCGTAACTGTTCGTAGATTGAGATATCCCGATATGTCCATCCCGATATGTCCATCCCGATATGTCCTCTTGACATAAATCATTTTTTAAATTAAATAGCCCCATTCATAAAAATAAAAAAAAAAGAAATCAAAACAAACACTATTTCCATTTTGTAAAACAGAATGTGCATCAATAAGGCTTTGAGTTTTGTTTGATAACATCTTAACCGGACTGTTTTGAACACGAGATCCATATGTTGATTGTTCTGAATCAGATTGAGGTCTATAACCGGTTCTTCCTTTACTGTCTCTATACCATGCAGCAGAAGCCAAAATTGAAGTTGACATTGCTTCATCTTCTTCTTCCATTATTTTATTATCCTGTTGCTGATTTTCCTGTTTTTCTGGTTGTTTTAATTTTAGCCTTGGTTTTGGTTGCGGTTTTGAGATATTATGTCCATTCTGAAAAAATCAATTATTAATAATATTTTTATCAAAATTAACCATTTCTGATGTTTTTGAACTGCTAGAAGATGTAGTACATTTAGGAGGAAGTTCACTATTTATTAAAGTTGATGGTGGAGAGGTGTTGACGACACTTTTTTGTTGGCTGTTATTTGTAGAATTGTTTTTGTTTTTCAGTTTTAGAGATGTTGAAGATAATCTGTGGGAAAAATATTTTAAGATGAGTGGCTTATTTGTCAGTCATTTTGAGGACAAAATTGGAAATTTTTTTGAAATTGGCAAAAATATGTATTCTCTTTAGGAATATTATTTATCTAGTTAAAAGATCTCTAAATATTTGCTTAAAAAATTTTCAGTCTTTGAACGATTAAAGAAAAAATTTTCAGGAAAATGAGAGCCTAAAGGAAAAACACCTCCCATATTTACTAAAAAAATATTTTAATTAAAAACCTTCTATTTAATGACTCTTCATTTCGGCCTTTATTGTCCTGAAGTTGTTGCTCTTTATATTCATCCAAGTCTTCCTCATTTTGTCCATTTCTCTTTCTCATTGATGTACCACCATTTTTTAAAGATTCCCACGCTTCTTGAAGTGAATTGGCTCCGTTTTCATCTATTCTTTCGATTCCATTTGTCGTTGAAGATTTTGAAAGCAAAGGCAATAATAGTGGAGGCCACCATTTTCTCTCAGGTGATGGTCTTCTTTGAGGGGAGGAAGAAGATGAAGAAGTCCCCGCTCTTCCAAAGAAGGAAGGTCTCCTTTTTAAAGGAGAAAGACGTCGTTGCCACTGTTGATTTTGTTGAGTATTACCGTTCTCCTGGTTTTGTTTTTGTTGTTCTTCTTGTTTTGATAAAGCCGATGGCATACTTAAAAGAAAAATTTAGAAAAAATTTTATTTTAAAATTGCTTGGTAGGACAGATTTTTATAGGACATAAAAATGATAGAAATAAACTAAAACATTGATGATCATAAGCCGTTACATTTTTAATTTTTGATCCCACAAGGAAAAAATAAAATGGGTGGATGTGTCAAAATGTGGACGTCATAAAGAATTAAAACACAATTTTTGAAAAAAATGACCAAAAAGTTCTAAAAATAAAAATACGTGGTCATGAGCAACAAAGTGCTATTTTAAAATCTAAAAATTAATATAAAAAAGACTAACCAATCCAATTCATCCCTCGCCATTGGAATATTATTAATAAATTCATTTCCTCCATGCCGCCTCCCATTATTCCTCATTTTTAGAATGCGGCTCATTCCACAAACATCCAACAGCTTTTCTTGCAAAACAGTTTATCCAACAAGGAAGGATGGCAAAAGCTGTAGTAAAATAGAATATGAAGGACAAAAAGTAGTTGTTGTAGTAATAATAGAATGTGGACAAATAAAGCATTAAACCGAGCCTGAAAAAATTGTAAAAGGGAAAAAATAATATTTTCTTTAAAACAAAGGAGGTAAATAAATAAACAAATAGAAAAAATGTGAAAAATAAACAAGCTTCTAATAAAAAAACTTTTTAATAAAAAACCTCTAATAAACCCAAACAAGAAATTAAAAAATTTTCTTCCCTAGAAAGAGATAATGGAAAATGGAGAGATTTTCTCTGACCGTCGTCTAATTTGTTAGAGAAATCTTTTCCTCATTTAAAAATAAGCGTTAAAAACGTCTTAATTAAAAAATTTATCAGGAATTGTGTAGTATTTAACAATTCATATTCCCAGCAGATAAAACATGTAGCAGATGGTTATTAGAGTGAGTGGCGGTAGTCATTGAGGGGACACTAAAATGACAACTGGCAGATCGGGATTAGTAAAATATTGATTATGAGGGGACCCACCTTGTTAACGAGAATGGATTAGTTTTAAATTAGTTCTCGGAGCAATTAGAAAAACAGAGGTGTGCGCCATAATCTTCAGATCATCCTTCAGACCATAAAATCTCTACAATAAATTTAAAACATTCAAAGTAAATCTACAAACGACTGACCACCATCTACACCATTAAGTACTATTAAATATCCCCAAAAGTTCATTTAAAAAATCTATTTTAGTGATCTACTCTTATCCACAAAAAGACCACCTACTATATCAAATTTCATGTTTAGCTGGCTGATTTAATCCTACTGCTCTTAATTTCACATGCATCTTTAAATACATACAAAATGTTAGCAAAAAAATAAAAATAAACTAGCTTTACGCCAAAATAAATCAAAAAATATATTAAGGCAAAAAACCTTAACAAATAACAAAAATTAATTTTTATTCAAGATTAATAAAGGCAAATATTTATTAGAAGCTGACAAGAGTGCCAAATTTTCATTTAATTTTTATTTATAAATTCGTTTTTTGGTGAGTAAAGGAAGATGAGGCTGTGCGCAATAGAACTTGGTTCTTTAGTGTTGTATTAATCTCATTATTGCACACAGCCTTTGATATAGAGGTTCAGTTTGAAAATTTGTATAATATCAAAAAATGTAGATTCTTTTAGTAACGAAGTTGAAAACCGAAAATGTTGTTGTTTTTAGTAGTGCTGAAGTGTTGCCTTTTCTACTTCAACATTTAAGTGAAGAAGCAATACCACAATGCGTGTAATACAGCCGGGAACCAGAGTAGAAAACTAGAAAAATATTGTTTATAAACAAACTTGCACATGGATACGGGTAATATCCAGATGCCTGCGGATATCCGCTTAATATATCCAGATATGGGTATCCCATGTGTGGTTGTAAACCCTAATCAAAAATTAAACGTACCAAAGAACAATGGATATGAGTACGTGAACTGAAAATTTTGTTTATTTGCCTGATAAAATATCAAAAAAACTTACCATTACAATCCGAATTTGCGTGAATGAAAATAGCCAAAGGCTGAAATGAAGAAAATATTTTAGTCACACAATTAAGAAAAAGTTACTTACTGGAAGAATAATACAAAGAATGAGTTCAATTATTTGTTGCGCGTCTACTGCCATTATTGAAGCTTTAAATTAGTGTAGAATAATAGTATTTTTGATAATTATATTCTAAAACAAATTTGAAAATAAAAACACGGAATGTTCCTTAAAACAATAGATAAGCTAATCAATAAAAGATATTATTCTTATGATGTTACCGAAATCTTAAACAAATAAAAGTTTTTTGATTCTCAAAATAAAAAGGAAACTTAAAAATGAAATGAGATTTAGTGTAGCAATTAAAAACAAAGCTACTATTATTTCTCCTATTCTCGTATTTTTAAATGCCAGCTGGAATAAATAAAAAAATGTGTATATCTATTGCCAAGCGCTATTGACTTTTTTGAAACAAGTAAAAATAAAATGAATTGTGAGGACTGAGAATTGCCTGTGATTTCTAAAAAAATTTTTATTGGAAGTAAAATAAAAAGGTAAGAGCTTACAATTAAAAATTCGTTTTTCGGGGTTATGAGGCTTCAGAGTTTAAAGGGATATTGGCCGACAATGTTTTAATCATTTTAATTCAACCTCAATATTTAAAAAATAAAGAAAAAAATCATTAAAAATGAAAACAAGTTCTCCTCTAATAAAACATTTCTTCACATTAAAAATACCACTCAAAATGATTTTACATTATAAAAATACTTATTGAGGCTAAAAGTAGACCCTTAAAATTGAAAGTATTTGCGGGGAAAACGGAAAATGAGAAAGAATATTTAGATGGAATGGTTAGGAAAAATAAAATTACCAAATCGAGCAACACGTGAATTTGTAAAGTCGGGAGGGCCACCATGAATCATAAAAATGATCGGCGAAATAGTAAAAATGGGAGGGCCATTATTTATGTAAACAATCGGAAGATGAGTATGTATGTGTACTTCTTTGATCCCATACTTTTTTGTAAATAATATATATAGATTATTTTTATTTTTAAAAGTAAAAAAGTAATCAAGGATATTTTAGATATGAGATTTTCAATTTACAAAAAAATCATGAAAAGATACATAAATAGGGATCGGATTTGTATTGAAATATATTTTTTTTTTCCTGAATATATTATGTCGAGAAAAGCCCAAATATGCCATTAGTTTTACGATATTATGATTTTGAACGAAGTTACATTTCGATATATTTCAATATTTTGCCAATTTTCCAGTTATTTCAATATTTGGCACTTTTTGCAAATTATTTCAATATATTTGCATATTTCTACCAAAATTTTGTGGTTTTTTCATTAATTTTAGGAAAAATTGAAGAAATCTAGCCGCTTGACAACCAAAATTCTCAAAATTTTCGCCTGCGGCGCTGAAAAAGTGATATTGTGGACTATTATTCACTACAGTACCGTTGGTTGCCTTCCGATAATTATTCAATAGAATGGCGACCAGCCCTTATTTGAATGTCGCCCCCCCCCCAAATTTCTCCCAAATTTCTCAAGTAACAAAAACTCAGAATGAGTAACTGAACAAAAATCCCCATAAAGGCCGTCCCAAATGTTCCGCCTTCAAATGTCCCACTGATCAAAAGTCTCAAAATGGAATATTGAGCAAAACCCAAAAGGTCACAACACATTTTGCCAATCTCAAAATGTCTGAGAGTGTAAAAATACTCATTTCTTGTCGAAATATAAAGCTAATGTGCGATTTTAAGAATGAGATAAATTTTTTTGTTAAATTTCAATTTCTTTTTGGGGTTTTGCTAGTGAATAAACGATAATTTATTTCAATATTTCGCTTATTTTTGCCATTTTTTGTCAATATTATGCCATTTTATTTCAATATTTTATGGCCATATTTTCCGATTTTATTTCAATATAAATCCGATCCCTATACATAAATATAAAAAATCAAATCAATACTTGTGAATAAACAAAGGTGTTTCTAGGTGGCGGTAAGAGTCCATTGGACAGGAAAATAAAAAAAATAATGTTGAATTAACCAGTTTTTCAACCAGCGGTGAATTTGGGGAGTTTTCTTGTTTTTAAACATTTTTCATGTGATGAAAACATAAAATACCATTGTTTTCGAAATACTTTGGTTCCCTACATGTGATGATTAGGGCTGTAAATTATATGGAAATCCATATTTTTTTCCTGAATTGCTAAGGGTCTGAAACGCACGAAAAACACACTTTCCGCACTGTTTGCTTACAAAAATGAGGACTTTCGTTTCCATATTTTCCATATTTTTCCATATTTTGGCATTTCGTCCATATTTTCCATATTTTGTCCATATTTTGGCATTTTTCTAGGAAAAAGTGCCCATATTTCGACATTTTGTCCATATTTTCCATATTTTATCCATATTTCGCCATTTTTCAAAAAAATGAAAAATGTTTGGCGTTTTGAAAATTTTAGACATTTATTTGGGCGCGACCATAATTCGGATCACTCCAATTCGCCACATCTCAAAATGTCCAATTGGCTAAAAATACTCATTTTGTCTCATTAAAGCTAAAAATTCGTAATGTTCGCGACCAAATTTATTGAATTACGAATAAAAATTTAAAAATTTTATCCATATTTCGTCCATATTTCGGGATTTTTCCCATATTTTCATCCATATTTTGAAAAATTTCAACCATATTCTAATGCATATTTTTTGGTTTTTTCGTCCATATAATTTACAGCCCTAGTGATGATTCAAGGAAATTTTTTTTGTGTAATCTTATTAAGTCATAGAATTTAAACTTAAATAACGCATGCTTATTCATTCAATGTGGTTTCCCTTTCAAATCTAGTCAATTTTATTGATTAGATAATCAATAGAACATCTGATCTAACAATAAGTATACTAAAAATGGGCCATTTCGATGAGGTGAGTTTTTATAACAGACTCAAGTAATGAATAAGCTTTCACCCTTATGAATTGATCGATTATTTAAACATGAACAAAATTTTGTTTGTTATAAAAGCTATAAAATAATATTACCACCTACTATACTAAAAATAGATGCTTTATAAATTTATTAAATAAAAATTAATTGGAGGATTAACCAAAATAAAGTTAATAGCGATTAATTCATAAATATTGAATACAAAATGGTTAGGGGACATCATTGAGATTCGTAAATTAAAAATAGTTTAGTGTAGAGAAATTTAATAAGGAACAATGTAAGTGAAAAAAACCTGTCAAATCTTGACAATAAGATTTCAATTATTCGGAATGCTATTCACTGATGATGATGTACTTCTGTGTCTAAAAATAGCGATAATACAAAAAAATTTTAAAAAAAAGTTGTTTACCCTTCATTTATTTTCTCAGCAAGTAATGTATTGCATCGTTCTACAACTAGTTCATAATCCATAGTTTGGTCAAAATAACTCCCATAATCAGACAAAATTTCTCGTAGATTATTAATTTTTACTTCATATTTTCTCAACATTATATCCTTTCGTCTCCATTCATCTCTTAATTCTAAGGTGTTCTAAAATTTATTTTTAAAAATAATTTAATTTTAAATAGAAAAAAGACCTTGTTTTCTGCCTCCAATTGCTGACATTTTTCTTCCAATTGCTGACATTTTCCTTGTAATTGTTTTATTGTTCGTGCATGACTTTCCAAAGAGGTGCGTAGTTGCTGTATTTCGCTATCCTTATTGGCACATTCTTCTTGATTTAATTCCTGAAAAAATACTTGCTGATAAGAACTTTATTTTTAATTAGAATTTTAAGCCCACCTTCAAAAAATTAAAAATTCGTCTAAAGAAAATTTTAAAAAACCTTAAATCTTTGTGCTGCTGTCAAAATTTGCTCATTTTTATTGTCCAATTCCAAATTTCGATTTCGAAGGTCAGTAATTTGTTTGCGTAGATCATTTATTTCAAGCTCCCTCGCTCCTCCATATTTATTTTGATAATAATATTCATTCCGCTTAAGTTAACTTGTAAGAAAAATTCTAATAAAAATTTAAAAAAAACCTGTAATTTGTTTTGTAAATCCTCAATTTGGCTGTTACTGAGCTCTAGTGCACCTCGCATTTCTTCAAGCGATCTGCGTGTTTCTCGAAACTTTTTGTCTAGTTCATCCCTAGTTGCCAAACATTCATTCTTCAAAAGTATTTCCCGATTGAGTTGAGCTTTTAATGTGTCCCTTTCTTCTTCAATATTTTTACATCTTGAACATGACTAAAAAGAAAGCACAAATTACTTTTGGGTAAGGACTATTCAGTTATTAGAGACGAAAATCTATTATATTATGGCCCACACTAAAACGATTTTTACCGCTAATTTTTAGTAATAAAAAATTAAAAAGAAAACCTTAATACGACTTGGTCCTTCTTCCGAATGATTTAAATTTTCAACAGATGAAGGCGCACTCATTTGAAGTTCTTGAAACTCTTAAAATTAATATAAATCTTATACATATAAAAAAAGCTCACTCTTGTTGTATACTTCAATTGAACGATTCAAATCCAATTTGAGATTCTTAATTCTCTCAACCAATTTTATTTGCTCAGAGTTCTGTGCATCCTCACCAGCTATTCCACTATGAATTTGAGCAAAAACATCAGCAGTAGTGCGTAATTTATCAAAAAGAGCACAGAGAAGTTGACCAAGAGCATGTTCTCGTACCGAATCAGGACGTTCTGTTCTCTTAAAGAAAATTTTTTTATCAATTATCGAAATCCAAAAATGAGAAATATTTTCAAGCAGCTTTTAATCTTACCGCTGTGCTTTGTCTGCTTTCACAATCAGAATTTTGATCAATATGTTGTAAACAATCTTCAAATGAACGATCAAACCTGTCGTCGGCTGGAGACGCAACACGATTTTCACGTAAGTGATAGTTTATAGATTCTTCATTTCTGAGTCGATCTCTCAACTAAAACATAATTCTAAGGAAAAATAAAGCATTTTAAAAATACCTGGCTATTTTCATGTTCAAGATAATCAGCCGTGGTTTTCAAATCATTATACTTTTTGTCACCCTCTCTGATCCTTTCTTCTGCATCATCTTTAAAATTTTGGAATTTCCTGTTCAGATCTGCCAAGCGGTCAACTGCTCTTCTATATTTGCTTTTTTGTTCCTCTAGCTCGCTTAATTTACCAGTAACCTAAATATTTTTATTTTAGGTAAAGCAAAATATAAAGAAAAATACAAATTTAGTGCAGTCTTGCCCTTCATAATTCTTTAAATGAGGGATTGCTCTTTTAAGTTCTGTATTTTCACTCTCAAGATCGCGTAACTGACGGTGTAATCTTTCCACTAATTCTGTGTTATTTGCCGATTCAACGCTAGCAGAAGCTTAAAATGTCGAAAATAGTTAAAAGCACAGAAAGAGCAAAACTCACCACTTCCCCTTGAAATGTCAGCACTTAATAAAGTAAAAAAATTAAATTAAAATAAATTTAGAAAACCTCATGATTGAATTATCTGCGGTTGTAGTATCATTCATTGATTTCTAGAATGCAATCAATTTATAGCTAAAATATCTAGTAAAATATCTGAAAACAAATTGAAAAAGTCAGTTATAATAGGCAATAAACAGTTTTTGTTAAAACAAAAGCACAAAATTTCTAATTTCATAAATACTTGTAAAAAAATTAACAAAAACAATGTCAACTATTTAATAATTTATTTATTTAAAACTATTCGAGGAAAGACTGCTTCATTCCTTTCCAGACTGACAGTTCCAGAATCTTTACGTGAACACATGAAACAAGCAAATTCTAGGCCTCTATCCGTATGTGGAATACCAAGACTAAAAATAAAAGATATGCTTTGATTATTATCAACAAATCTCCTTACATTGATAACAATCTATCAGCAAAATCTGGCGTAACTGGTTGCAGGTAAATGGCCGTAAGGCGGACTGTCTCGTAGGTAATAAAAAGATTAGAATCAACCTTCTTTTGTGCATTAACGATTTTCCAGGGCTCATATTGTTGAAAGAGAAGATTCGCCAATTGAACAAGTTCAACAAGTAAATCAAGTACACGATGAATATTTTGATTGTCATAATGTTCAGTCGCAATCTCTTTATTTTAATCAAATTTAGAAAAAATTATGAAATATATTTTAAAAAAACCTGGCAAAGTTTCTAGTTTTTCAATAAGTTGTTTGGCTGTTGCTTTACTCATTTCATCGTCAAAATGGGCTAAAAGTTCATTGGTATCAGTCCTGATAGGATAATGTTTTGATGGATTGAGCCTTGGGTTAAGTGAGCGTTGCAATAAATTTCCCAAATCATTGACCAAATAAGCATTAATCAATGTTACTGCCTTTTCCAATGTAAAATCTAAAAATAAATGTTATAATTTAAACGCATTATGCAAATTATAAAAATTATCAAAAATAATCATATGCAAATCCTATCCTATGTTAGTATGAAATACTCTAATAGAGGAAAATAAATGATTGAATACTACATCTAATATGTTTCAAGAAGAAGAACCAGGAAAACCTCAAAATTGGTGTTTTACAGTCACCGTGATCTCTATCGTAGATATTAATTATCTAAATAATTTTAATGTTTTTCTTAAGATAAGCTTTATTAATATTACAATATTTGTGGTTATTCGAGTGCTTTTAGATACAGAGGATGAATTTGATGAACCGTTGGTCAACGGTTTTTTAAAAACACTAAAAAATAAAAGATAAAATTTAGGAGAGTTAAGAGAAGAATTAACAAAATTCTTAGGATTCTTTGCCTTAAGCTTTTGCTTTGGTTGTTGGTGCTGTTTTTGTTGTAATGGGAAATGTTTTAGGTTTTTCTCAAAAAAATTTTTATTAAATTTTATTTAAGGTGTTTCTACTTTTTGAACCCAAAAAGGTGGAGGCTTGGACATTGGTGGGCAATCTTTATTGGACATCAATTCATTCATACGAAAACTGAAAGACAAACAAGTTAATGTTTAAACTAGAAATATTTTCTAAACCCTGAAATAAAATCAGATGTAAATCAAAATGGCCAAGAGGAACATTTAAATCTGAAAGATCTTTCAACAATGGAAAATAGAAGGAACCATATCAATGATGTTGAAAATGGTAATGCAATAAAGAATAACAGTAGAGAAGGGCAAAAAATCAACAGAATATCTGAAACAGATTTTGATATAGAGAGGCGGGTATCTCCCATCTTTATGAGCTCTAATTTATCGGAAGCAATGGAAGAAAATAATGAAACTGAAGAGGAAATTAATCAAAAGCCTTTAAGCTTTGTAGCATCATCAGAAAACAAAGAAAGTTGGAGAGAAAACAAGGTAAAACCTGGACTGATTACAACTACAAAACCCCATTAATTTTTAATTAGATGTCAATGCCTACAAAATTAGGTATTCGACGATGGTCTTTGGCACATCATATTAGTTCCGAGAATCTCATTAAAATGATAGAAGAAAGGGAGAATGAAAGAGGTATAAAGAATAACCAAAAGGAAGATAAGCGAGTCAATTTCATGCTCAAAGAAAAAATAGATAAACTTAAGGTGGGTAGAGATACTTTGAAAACCGAAAAATTCTAATCATTTAGGTTCCTATTCATATATGTTCTCCGACTAAAATGATAAATAACAGTAAAGGAACAGAAAACCCGGCATACGAAATGGAAGAAATTCCTTAAGGAACGACATGAAAAACAATGATAAACCAAATAAGAGACAAATTGTATAAATAACGATAAAGAAATCTTGAAATTAGTAGGTCGAGTACTTAAAACTCAACATAAGTACCCCAATTTGTAAATAAAAAATAAGGAAACCTCCATGTTCATAAGGTATTTGCTTCAGTAAAAAATAGCGAAGTCCATCAACAGAAGTTATTTCAGCTGTTTTTAAAGGACAGAACACATTTCCAAGGCTTTTTGACATCTAAAAACAGAGAAATAATTAAAGAGCGAGAATATTCAAAATTAACCTTTCTCCTTCCAGAAAGCCAATGTCCATGAACGAGTAATTTCTTTGGCAGCGGTAAATCAGCAGCGAGTAAAAATGCAGGCCAATAAATTGCGTGAAATCTGAACAATTTTAATATAAAAGTAAAGTAAAACCTCAATACTTGAAAATATCAATGCCTAAGATTTGAATAGTTGGTGGCCACGAAGCTATTTGTTTAGGATAACCAACAGCAGTAAGATAATTAACTAATGCATCAAACCAAACATAAATCTTAAAAAAACGTTTAGTTCAACTGTAGGGGAACATTGATTTTAAAATTTTCCCAATTGCAATTTTTAAAAGAAATTTTAAATCAACCGTCTGTGAATTATCATTTGGAACAGGAATACCCCAAGAACATCTGCTTATGGGCCTAGAAATTGAAATTTGAGCAGCCGAATCTTTGGACATAAAATCATCAATATATGAAATTAAATGAGATTGATATATCACTCCTTAACAGAGAAATTAAACAATTGAATAAAATTAAAAAAACCTGGTTGATTAGCCCAATTACGAATTTGTTCATAAAATCGCGATAAATCAAATGCATAATTTTCTTCTGAAATTTTTGTGACAAGTGATTTTGTCTCTTTGGCAACCAAAAATTTAATAAGAAAATTAACAAGTAATAAATTAAATAAACTTTTGTTTGCTCTCCATTAGTTGTAGTATGATCAATTACTTCGTAGTCGTCGTAAAAGCACTCATCGACTGAAGAATACCAACCTTCATATGAACGTTTGAAAATATGTCCTCTTTTGCCTAACAAATTCTATTTAATAAATGTTAGAAAGATTTTTACAAAGAAATCATACCCAAAAATGATTTACAGCCTCAATATGTTCGGGAGAAGTTGTTCGAGTAAATCGTGTATACTTTATACCAAATTTTTTGAAGACATTCATAAACATGCTGCTAACAACATCACAATGGTCTCTAGGAGGCAATCCTTTTGCATTTGCAGCATCTTGAATCTTCTTTCCGTGCTCATCTGTCCCCGTGGAAAAATGAAAATTGGGTGGAGACGGCTGGTTTGGAGAATTTCCACAACGCATTAAGTTCCATCGAAAAAGTGCATCTGCCAAAAGCGCACTATAGATATGGCCAATGTGAGGAACTAAAAATTGAAAAAAACTTTGGAAAGATTTAAGAAAATAAACCTGAATTAACGTAAAAAATAGGTGTTGTAATATGAAAACTGTTGTGATTGATTCGTCGTTTTTGGATGAAAAATAAATTTAATGAATGGCAAAATTTCATTAGCTGCTGAAACTCTTTTTTGATCTATCGTACGCAATGTTAAAATAAAGCAAATGTTAAAATAAAGCAATAATCGATAAAATTCGAATGGATTAAAAAAACTTTAAATTAAAACTTTTATTAAATTTAAGAAGGCATTTCATCGTCTAAATTTAACAATAAATTTCTCCTCTGATCTAATACGTCTTTTGATTGACCAGAAATATTACTTTTGGCAATTTTTTCATCTAATTCAGTTTTAATTTCGGATTCTAAAGCTTCCAATATTTTATCTGGTAATATTTCTTCTTTTTCCTTCGAAGGCTTTGTTGCTTGAATAAGTAAAATCTCTCTTGATTTTCTATCTGTAGTAGAACTCGGATTGCCATTTTTGTCAATTCTTTTATAATCTAACTGAAAATAATATTTTTATTTAAGATCAATTTTAGAGGATTTTTTAATTAAACCTTAACGCAACCAAAGCCAGAATGTTCAAGTGTTTCAATATAGCGCAGCGGATCATAATCAAATTTGCTTAAAATACGATACTTTGCCAAACGATGCAGCTTTTGCATGTCCATAGCACAAAAAATAGGACAACCAGGTTTTAAAACACGATAAAACTCATCGCAGCTTTCTTTCAAATATTTGTTGTCCCAAGCATAAAAAACATCAATATGGAAAAGTGAGTCAAAAAAATCAGTGTTGTAGGGCAAAAAATTAAACATTCCAGTCTAAAATTTGCAATCTAAAACGTTCTTTATCCTCGAAAAATATTAAACCTGAGAAAACATTGCTTTGGTACGAGTAGTATCGTCCAACATTTCACTTGACGTAATATCAGCCATGTAATTAGAAAGTTCAATACCATAATATTGTCCGTTACCAGGAAAGATCCTCTCCAATATTAAATCTACACCATTGCCACGACCAAAACCAACTTCAAGAATATAGTCATCTAAATTTGAAGATTATGTGAAATTTGAAGTGTAAACAACTAAAGAAATACATAATAAAAAAAACCTGCCTGGATGAAGATTCATATTCCTAATTAACATAGAATAAATGGGCATTGTTGATCGCGCCTCCATTTTAGTAACAATATAACCTAGTAGAGAACTTGTAGGACACATAAACTTAAAAATTTTAGTGTAAGATTAAAACTTTGCGAAAAAATATTTCAACTCACGAGGGAACAAAAAACAAATTTAAAAAGGGAGCAAACAACAAAAAAACATACTGGTGGTAAATATGAATCTAACGAGAATGAAATTTAAACCTGAAGTCTTATGTCACGCATCGCTCCGGACATGAACTTTTGATAACGAAATTTTAGATTATTTCCAAGGTACTGGAAGTTAATTGTAATTTAGAATAAATAAATTTGAAAACCTGAAGATTAAGTTCCTTTCCAGCTAGTAAAGCAAATTTTTCAGGTAAGAATTTGAGCATCTGGAAAAAGGCAAATAGGTCTTAAAATGTAAGAATAACGACAAAAAATCCGATACAGTCTCAGAAGAAAAACGAAGCTTCTGTAGCTTGAGTATGTGTCTTGTAAGAATTATAATTAGTTGACACTTTGACATTCACCAATTTGAAGTTTCCAAATTAATTTTGTGAGAAATTTTCACTCAAATTTATTGAATCTTAATTTGGCTTCGGTTTTTATTTTTTTTATCTCGAGATCTCGGGGATTTTATGCCAGTTTTTTTCGTTTTTTTTCGTTTTTTTTCGTTTTTTTTTTCTGTTTTTCATCTGTTTTATTTATTTTATTCGTTTTCTTATTCGTTTCCTCTGCTGCGCGCGCTAAAATTAAAAAAAAAATAAAAATTTTCTATTTTTTTTGAAAAATATTAATTTTCAATAATTTAAAGGTAGCCGTTCGTGGACGTGCAGATGATTGGTCTGGTGTTAAAATTTGTTTTTTTTTTAATTTGAATTTTTTGTTTATCAATCTTTTTGATTTTTTTTAATTTAAAGGCCTGCTGCTGCTCAACATGGTTCTGCTGCTCTACATGTTGCTGCTGATACCCGGTGGTTTTTATCCTTTTTATTTTTTTAAATTTAATTACCAAAATAATTTTTTTATTTTTCATGTTTTTTTTGCTTGTGGTGGCGTGGCGCAACATAGATGGATGGTCTTCATGGTCTGGCGGGTTTTCTTTTTTATTTATTTAAATAAATAAAATTAATTTTATTATTTTTTTTATATTTTTTTGCTTGTGGTGGGTGGTGGTCAACATGCTCTTGGTTGGTCAATATGCTATTGGTTGGTCAATATGCTATTGGTGGTGTTCAACGTGCTTTTGGATGGAATGGTGGTGGCTGGTTTTAAATTTTTAAAAATTTTAAAAATAAATAAATTTAAATTTTTTTATTATTTTTAAAAAAAATTTTTGTTTGCTGTGGTGGCATGTTCAACATGCTCTTCATGGTGGTGTTCCAAGTGCTCTTCATGATTGTGGTGGTCCAAGTGCTCTTCATGGTGGTGGTCTTTAGGGCCTTCCGGCCTGGTAAAAAATTACTTTTTATTGAAAAAGCAAAAATTGGCAAAAAATAGCGCACGCGCCCCGCATTTCTTTTTCTTCATTTTCTTGTTGTCCTTGTCTTGTTTTTGTACAATTTTAAAACATTTTTATTTTGCCGATTTAGAAAAATGTGGCACTTGGCTAGATATGGGAAATTGAACTGGATGTGGAATGGAGTGAATTGAACTAGGAATAGAAAAGGTTTTTTAGATTATAAGGGTTTTAATTTCTGAGGGCGTTTCTGGGGTAGACCGTTTCTTTTGCCAAGCGTTCAGGTCACTCTTTTTCTTAAAATTTAAATTTTGGCATTCTGTTTTCTGAAAATGACAATTTGTCCGATTCTAGAAAGACAACACAGAGAGAGAAAGAAAGTAAACTTCTCTAATTTTTTATTGGGTTCATTTGAGTCTGAACCTGGGGGGGGGGTAACTTTTGGCAAGAAAATTTTTTAAATTCGAGGGCTCGACTCCTCCCGATAAATCTGATTTTCGTGAATCATGAACTCACGAATTTGATCGTTAATTTTGTGAACTCATGGCCCAAAAATTAGTAAAATATTTATAAAGTAAAACAAAATAAATACGTAGCGATTGCATTTATATAATCCTAAGCGATAAGTACTCATCCATTCTCGACATGTCCACCATAATCGGGTATTGGATTTTCATCGCAGCCTAGCACTTCAAATGATGGCAAGCACAAAGGCGAACATTTTCGGCAACACGGTTGGCAGGGAATGTTCGGTTGTATTGGCATCATTGATTGGTGAAATACTTGCTCTGATAAAGGTGCTACCGAGGGTGAATGTTGAAATGCGAAAGGTAGCACCGGTGGAGATGAAAATGTTTGTGATGACGAGTATGTTGGTGAATAGGCTAATGAAGTAGATGATGCTGGTAGAAAAGCAATGCCACCAGATTGAACAGGGCGAACAGTGATAAGAAAGGCATTTGTTGGACACGGCGAGCCTATTTTAGTAGAAAATAGTTTAACAAAAACTTATTAGAGTAACCTATAGATATACAAGGGGGAGGTGGCATAGGTAATGGTGGTGGAAGGGATGGTAGCGGCGGTAACGGTGGTGGCGGTGGATATGGTGTTAGCGGTGGCGGAGGTATTGGAGCAGTTGGTGGAGGGAGATAAGGAAGATAAGGCGGAGTTGGCGGTGCGGGTGTTGGCTGGTGTGGTCCTTGTGTTGAAATCATTCTCGTCCAGTAACTTCCTTCCTCGTCGTCGTTGCAATTTCTGATTGTGATTCGGAGCTGAACACAATTTTCATCAGTGGCATCACATCTAAATAATATTACAATTTGTATCATATAAATTATCTTGAAGAAGTCTCCATTTTTATAAACCAACGCCCTGCATTTCGGCAATAATGAGTTCCACAGGAGAGGTGTTGACTGTCCATAGTACTGTGGTTGTATTCTTTCTGACCGCATCACGGGAACCGAATAATATCTCTCTTGTCTCTGCTTGTGGCCTTCTCGTTCATTATCATGATTATCATTATTTTCACAGCCAATTGCTGTAGAGAAATGACGACAAAGCAATGTTGATTGTCTCCTGTGGCGTCCGAATATTATCTGGTTTTAAAAAAAATAATTTTTCGACTTTTTGACAAAACAAACGTGTTCACTGTTTATTTTGATCGGCATGTGAACAATATCAGCAAATGATGTGTCGATTATAATAATAAATTTAAAGAGGTGGACAAGATATGTTGCTAAATGGTACAATAGCAATAACGGCAGCTTCATCTCAGTCTAGTAGTAACAGACAAATCTTTTTAATTAAGTCGAAGAAAATTAACTAAACGCGCTTCTTTCAACATTATAATAATAATACCGCATTTACTGCAATTTTTTAAAGCTGTGCTTACCTCATTTAACAAATTTACTAGCGCGCTTTCTGACCCTATGATTGTTATAAAGCTTTGTTATAGGAAGAAAAAATTGAGGTGGTGGTTTCTATCGGAAATTTGAGCAACCACAAAGGGATGACCATTGTAGATAGTGTTTTTAAATAAATAAATGAAATATGTATCTAAAACAAATATTTTGATTTATGTAAGTGTTGTTTGTTTGTGTTTTCTTTTGTTTACTAAAGGCTTTTTGTTAACTTTAGGTAAAAAATGCCGATTAAATTCAAAATAATTAAATTAAAAAATTTGTAAAAGTGATTTACACAATTTTAAACAATTTTTAGTGCTAAAATCTTTAAAAAAGTCTTCATAGAACTTTACTCGTTTTTGCTTTATGAATCATCATTTTTCGCCAACCCCCAAACGGACAACCACCCATGCTGTTAAAAAGGCCAGATCCGATTGGAGAACCTCCGCATGTTGATTGTAAGCATACTGGAAGGCACTAAAGAAAAATATTCCTAGTTACATTATCTTTGCATACTGCTGGCATGCAACAAGCGCAACAACTACTCATTGGCAAGAAAGGCGGGGGTAATATTGGCATTGGCGGTGGCAACATCGGCATTGGCGGTGGTAAGGGCAAAAGTGGTGCAACTGGCATACAGCACTAAAAACAAAAGGATATTGAAATTTAAGATACTAGACCGGAGCTAAAATTATAGGCGAACAACACATTGGCATATTAATTGGTCCCATTCCTCCAAATGGACAGCAACCTCCGCCAATACCACCAAAAGTATTTCCAAAAAATTGACGTTTTATTCTTCTGTCAAAAATTTTAAAATGGGCGTCTCCAAAAACATTTACCTTTTATTAATTGATATTTCTGAGAAATTGCGATAAGAGAGATTGCTAACATTAAGTGACTTCACGAGAATATTATAATTTATTGATGAAAAGGATCGAATTCCCAACAAAAACATAATTAGGATTAAAATATTTTGGCACATATTGGATTGCTATTGAGATCGGATTACTATTTTTGTATTTAATGGAAAAATTTCTCCAAGAAAATGGGTCAAGTTCACTCAAACCTTGTCGATTTTCTTTGAAGTGCCATTGAACGAGCATGCGCAAGATTAAAATAGATGCGTTTAATGCGATCTACTAGTTCAGTAAACAAAATAAAATTTAACATTCTATCACTTTATCTAACAATTATCTGGTATATACATATATAGTATGTGAAATGAGCTTTTATTAAAAATATAAAATTAATACCCAAATATCCATCACCAAATTCACATATGAAAAATTTAAATGTTACTTATTTTCGATGCTTTTCGGTTAATTTTTTATCTGCCACTGTTCTTTTAGATATAGGCGCTTGAAATAATGAGGAAGGCACTGATGGTACCACCCTTTTTTCTTGAGTGGAAAATGGCTGTGGTACCAAATGTTGATTTGTCGCTGCTGCTTGATTAATCGGCAATAATTGTCCTGCATTACTATTGCCATTCTCAGTCGGATTGTTTCCAGATGTTCCAAATTTTAAAATTTTGTTACTATTATCATTTCTAAGTGGTGAAAAATGATTGTTGTTATTATTCACTTTTCTGTATCGTAAACAACATTTTTGGGCGCACTGAACATATCCAGGTTGGCATTGGCAGATCGGCTGACATTGTAGCTGTTGGCACAACATAGGCTGACACTGCATTACTATTGGAGGTTGTCTCATTGGCGGTGGTGGAGGAGGTAAAGGGGGAGGAACACAAATTGGAGCACATTGAATTGTCACGCTCTGAATTTTTATTTTGGAAGGTGCTAAACACTAATCTCGACATTCTAAACCTGTATTGCCATTGGTGGCGGTACTGGTGCCATTTGTGGAGGAGGAGGTGGTGGTAAACAGCAAGGATCTTGTTGGATTGGGGAACAAATACATATTGGTGGTGGAGGAGGAGGTGGAGGAAGTGGCGGTGCTTGTTGCTGCATTGGTAAACAACAAAGATCCTGCTGAATAGGAGTACATATGCAAGTTGTTTTAATTGGTGCCATTTGAGCTTGAGGAGGAGGGGGAGGAGGCGGTGGTAAACAACATGTGTCTTGTTGGGCTACAAATTTGTCACTAAAATATTTTATAAATTATACTACTTGGTGTACAGATGCATATTGCCCTTTGAGCCGGCATTGGAGGCGGAATAGGTGGAGATGCTAATGCTGTGCAACATGGATCTTGTTGAACTAAAAATTGGAAGAACTGATTTAATTATAATTTTTCTTGCCAGGAGTACACAAGCACATCGGCTGGCTCAATTGTGGAGGTGGAGGCATAGGAGGAGGAGGTGGTGGAGGCAAACAGCATGGATCCTGCTGTATTGGCGTACAGATGCATACTGGCGGAGGTAATGGAGGTGCCATTTGTGTGGGCGGAGGTGGAAGAGGAGGCGGACACGGACAAATCACTCCAGGTTGCACGCGAACGGTTACTGGATAACATAATTAGATTAGAGAATATGATCTTTGAGACTTTAACATTTAGATTTAAGCGGATTATTCAAAATTCAGTAATTCTGTGGGTTATATTTAAAATCACCTTGAATGCATTCGCAAGGTTGAATTTGAGGAGGAGCCATTTGCGGAGGTGGAGGTGGAGGGATTGGCACACAACACACTAAAAAATAGGATTATAAAAATATAAGTAGATTGTCTAACTAGGTGTACAAATACACGGTTGTGGTGGAGGTAATGGTGGATGCATTTGCGGTGGTGGTACAGCCGGCATTGGTATGCAACACATATCTGAGGAAAATGAAAATCAAACCCTAATAATAACTAAGAATAAAGACTAATAACAACGTACCCGTTGGCATACAAATACATTGTTGTTGCATAGGAAGTGGGGGTGGAATAGGAGGCATTAACTGTGACGCTTGCCCCATTGGTGAACAGCAGAATGCATTCTGTCTTCTGCCTCGAGTCATTTCATCTGTGTTTGATTCCGGTGGCTTTGAACTATGTTTAACTTCTATCTAAAAAATGAGCTAACTTGTTGAGATAATTTTTTACATTTGAACTTTTACGAAACTTGAGGTATCTCTTTATATTTATGCTTTTATTCTAATTTTAAACCTCATTAATGTTTTCGACATTTTTCACTGGCAAAGCTTTAATATATTTTTCAACAAAAAAGATAAGAATAATAATTTGTATTTGATTAAATTTAATAAGCCAATAATTTGATCTTCGTATCCTAAATGTTCTACTACGTTTCGGAAGCATCATGCAATATACTTTTAAAGTTTTAGTTCTGAAAATAAACCTAAAAGTCAGATTTATATTATTGACTATTAAAGAAGTTAAAAAAGGAAAGAATGCTTAAAAAGGAAAGAATGCTTTAACTAACTAAGCAAAAAATAAAATGAATAAAATTATGTAAAAGTGAGAAAATAAATTTAAGTAAAATATATTTATTTATTTTATTTTGGCTTTTTAAATAAATAAAATTTTGTGTATTTGTTTTATATTCTCCTTTATATGTTCCAAATAAATTATTTAAAACAAATTCTATCTCGCAACAAGAATTTTGAAATTAAGAAAAATCAAAAATATTGTTAATCAGAGACAATTAATTTGTATTTTTAAATAATTAAACGATAAATTAAAATAATTTCTAAAAGACAATGTCCAAATCGACAAAGAAAAGACAAAAATCACTAGAAAGTTCTGAGGATGAAGGCAATATAATAGAACAAAGAATAGATCGATTGGAAAAATTAGTAGAGCAATTAACAACAAAAATTTCTAATATTGTTACTCCCTTGACAACATCAAATAAAAAAAATAATACTAATGAAATTGTATTGACACGTATTGAAAAAATTGAAGAAAAAATATTAAAAATTGAAGAAATTTTAACACGTATTGACAATAATAACAACAACACAACTTCCCAACCATCATGGGGTTCGCCTATTTCTGCCCTAAGTCCTCCACCTGACCTTGTTATGAAACTAATATCTTCAGCAGCATCTAATGGGGATCTTCTCAAGCAAAAATCATGTAGAGCTGTTCTAGAAAAACTACCTGAATCTATGGATGAGAAGGAAGTGGTAGGAAAAATTATTGATTCTATTGGACTTACTAATGAATATTTGCCAGAACATACACACCGTCACCCACAAAACAAAAATATGTCTAGCGAAATAAACAAAAAACCAAAATTAATTAAAATTTCTTTTAAAAACTCTATTTCGCGTGACAAATTTTTGTATTCTTTTAGAAACACTTTGCGTAAAATACATTCCCTTCCCCAAAATCTTACTGTTCGAAGGGATATGATCCCGGCCGAATTAGCAATATTATATTCACAACGGTCTAAAGCATATTCACTTAATGCTTCATGCAAACTTTTTAAATATTATGTAGTTGACCTACAAATAAGGGAGTTACGCGAACCTAAACCTCTCAATACTAAATAGGATAAATTGAGTAAACCCCGAAAGTCAAAAATTCTAACATTGATATAGATATAAAAAATTTAACATGCCTTTGCTTTAACAGCAGATCACTAAATAATAAAGTGCCTGATTTGCAACATTTTCTTGAAATACATAACCCTAGCATTTGTATGATTACCGAAAGCTGGCTTACTCAATCTAATTGTATAAAAACAGATTTTTCAATGGGTGATAAATATCAGTGTTACTTTGCAAATCGTCCAAATAAAAGGGGAGGTGGCTGTTGTCTTTTAATTTTATCAACTATACCTGTCAAACTTTTGTTCTGTGGGACAAAATTTGGTTGCGAAATTATTATTATTGAGATTCTAATTACCAAACCTACTATTGTTATTACTTTATATAGACCCCCATCACTTAATCAATCTAGTACTAATAAAATACTTAAATATATTGCTGACTTAAACCATAAAAACTTAATAATAGCTGGTGATTTTAATATTAACACAATAAACTGGTTAACAAACTCTTGTTCAAACGATAATACTACACAAATATTTATTGAATTTGTTAATCGCACCCAAATTAAACAACATGTTACATCACCTACTCGCGGCGATAATATCTTAGATCTTGTATTTTCGAGACCCCATGACTTAGTTAGAAATTTAGAGATCACTGAAAATTTTTCAACATCTGATCACAAATCCTTAAAGTTCAATCTTTCCTTATGCACTATGCGTATTCCAAAAAAGAAGATATATATAAGAAAAGTAACAGAAAAAGGTTTCTCCAAGTTAAACATAGAGCTAACACAACTTGATTTTATAAAATATATGTCTGACAAATATGCAATCAATGAAAAATATAATTCTTTTACTGAAATACTATATTTTTATTATGATAAATTCATACCACTTAGGACTATAAATACCATAATTAAAAACGAATATCCACAAAAAATCCGATCTCTGAATCAAGAAAAACTAAAATTACACAAAACCTTGAAGGAATCTCCTAATTCTAATCTAGCAACAAAATATAAAATTATCTCACGACAACTTAAAATTCAATTACAAAAATTTCATTATAATAAGGAGAACACCATTATATCAAAAGGTGCAAATGCAATTCACAAATTTATTAAAAAGAAACTTAAAACAAACGCATGTATTGACGCATTAATAGATAAAAAAGGAAATATACTTACAAAAGATCAGGAAAAATGTGAGTTACTTGCAGAAAGTTTTCAAAGTAACTTCACTGATAAAGAAACTCAAAGTCAAGAATTTATTGACGTCTACTCTCAAAATCCTAACTCTAATTCACAAAATCTTATCAAAGATATAAACTTTGATATTCTGCAAATTCTAGATTTACTTAAAAGACTTCCAAATAGAAATTCAACATCACCAGATCAAATACCCTATATATTATTAAAGAGATCGTGTGATCAAATCGCACAATATATTACAGAAATCTTTAGACTAATATTAGATAGTAAAAATATACCCGACATTTGGAAAACATCAATTATAGTACCTATACATAAAAAAGGAATAACAACAGATCCAGAAAATTATAGGCCAATTTCCCTAACTTGTACATTATGTAGAGTTTTTGAAAGAATCATAGCTAATAATATTATAGAATTTTTACATAATAAGGATTTTTTTGATAAAAATCAATTTGGTTTCCTCAAATCAAGATCTACTACTACACAACTTCTAACAATGTTAGAAGATTTTTACAATGCAGTAGGTAACAATCAGAATATAGATGTAATTTATATCGACTTAAAAAAAGCTTTTGACACAGTTCCAATAAATTTATTACTTACAAAAGTTAAAAATGCTGGTATATCTGGAAAAATTTTTGAATTCATAAAGCATTTTGTAACAGGACGATCCTACCGTGTAAAAATAAATGACTCGTTTTCAAGATCTTTTCATACATATTCAGGTGTTCCCCAGGGCAGTGTTTTGGGACCTATTTTATTCACAATCTTTATTAATGATTTCCCTGTCAACCTTCCAAAAGAAATAGGCTATAAAATATATGCAGATGATATAAAGCTTTATATTTCACATAATAATGATTCTAATATTAATTATCTTAATGAATCAATAACAATATTACAAAATTGGGTTATATCAAACTTTTTAGAAATATCAATTAAGAAATGTGTAATACTTTATATAGGAAAAGGAAACCTTAAACAGGAATATAAAATATTTAATCAAACATTAAACACATCAGATTGCGTACGAGACTTAGGTATCCTAATTGATAACAACTTAAAATTTAACAAACATATTGATAAAATAGTTAAAAATTCATACTTTATAACTTATCAAATACTAAGAATATTAAAAACTAGAGAATTTAAGACTTTAATAAATGTATATAAATCTTATATTCGTCCTCAACTTGAATATGCCACTGAAATTTGGAACCCAAACAGAATTCTTCAAATTAATAAAATAGAGCGAGTACAAAAATATTTTACAAGAAGAGCATTAAAAATCACAGGAATAACGCCACTACCTTATGAACAAAGACTTAACAAATTCAAACTAAAACAACTAAGCCATCGAAGAAAAGTAGCCGATCTTGTAATGGCGCACAAAATTATTTCAAAACAGACGCATCTAGACCCACAAAAATACTTTGATTTTGCAGTAAAAGCTAAAAGGAAAATATTTTGTTTAAGGAACAAAAAGTTTAACGGTAAAACTAGAAATAATTTTTTTAATAGAATCATAAATAACTGGAATAGCTTACCTAATGAAATTTTACAAACATATAATTCGCAAAAATTTAGAGTACTTGTTAATAACTTTATAAAATAGAGGTTTTAGTTCGCAACTCCCTTATCCTCCTAGATTGACATTTTTTTATAAATTTATTATGACATTTTCTTATAGTATTTTAAAAATTTATTTTTTATTTTACCACTATAATTGTACTTTTTTATGTACTTTGTGGTTTACTCAATAAATTAAATTAAAATTAAATTAAATATAATCCATGTAATAATATTAAATATGATTGTTGGATTTATTTAGTAGACTAAAACATCCGGTTAACCATGGCAAGAGGAAGGGAATAAATGAGTGAATGAATAATTCGGCAATACAATCCCCTTTTCCTCAATCTTGGGCGAGAAGCAGTAATAGGTGAAACAAAACAAGGAACAAAAAACACGAGAGGATGGACATTCCAACGACAACAATGGCCCTCAACAATAGCGGAAGCAACGGCGAAAGGATAAAGTGAAAAGACGATGAAAATATTTTATTTTTTTTTAAATGTAAAGAATTGAGGGCTGGTACATAATTTTTAAGCGAAGTATCGAGGGAAGGGGGTGTTTTGAGGTGGTCATTTTGGATAAAGAAAAATGATTGTCCGCCGTCATACGTTGTCAACGAGGCGCGCGGAAGAGGAAGTGAATAAAAGTAAATAATGGCCAAAAGCTGGTCCTTGGCAAAAGGACATCTGTCTCGTGCTTATCATCGTTTCGTCTTTAGATTTGAAAAATCCTCAAAGTTAAGATTATTATAAAAGAAATTGGGGATACAAGTAAGACGGGAACTAAAAATTTAAAGAGAATTTTGAATTATGGATAATAAACATCGAATTTACTTCCTTTATAAATTTGTAGTTTGGGTATGGGTAGAAATTACGAATTTTTCACTGACGGATTGTGCACTGACGGATTTTCCACTGCCGAATTTTCCAATGACGGATTGTCCACTGACGGATTTTCCAATGCCGGATTGACCACTGACGGATTGTCCGGCCACGAGAAATTTCTTTGCTAGTTGTAGCTTTGCGCCGATATTTCCCTGCGCGACCTGTCCCGAAATTAATTAGAATTTGACCATGGGGTGTAAACAATATTTTCTAAATAAATTCATTAAATTCGTTGAACATATTCTTGTTTACATACTTTTAATTTTCAGAAATGGATAATTCATTTTCACAACGGAAGAGACAAATGATTACAAAATCTGGAATTGGTTTTCTTCTACAGCATGTTAGTTTTTTTCTTATTGATAAATTTTTTTGCTAAATTTGTAGCTACAAATATTGATTAAAATTTTCGACATTTAGATGAGAGGATCAACTCATGAAACAAATTCAACTGATGATGAAAGCGAAGGAGAACCTAGCAGTCCAAAACGAGATAAGGTTATTTTATTTTTCTATTTTTTTATTCTTTATAAATACTAGATAGATCAAGAATTAAATATAGATACAAGAAAATGCTGAAAATCAAGTTGTTATCCCTAAATTAACCAAAATATCTGAAGATCTTTCACTACCGTTAGACGAAAGTTTTTATTCTAATTTGAAGCCTTTTCAAGAAATTTCTGATTGCTTCAAGGAGGGAACAACGCCTAATTTTGATACTCATATTCGTCGTTTTACTGGTGAAAATAATTATGTGCGAAGTTGCAAATGGTATTTGTTTTTGAATGTTTGCTAAAAGATTATTTCAAGAACTTTATCTTTTATTTTTAGGTCTATAGATGGTAATTGGCTAATTTCAGACTCTTTAGATCGGTATGTCCGGGTTTTTGAGTTTCGTGATTTTCTTCCTGCTGATGGGCACCAAAAGCAGCGTCTGGTAATTAAATAATTTCTAACAAAGAAAATTGTTTGTTTTTAGCTTCATACGTCTCATAAACTGACATTTGGTGGGTTGATTTATGACTTAAACTGGCATCCAACACTAAATATTTTTGCTACCACAAATAAGGGTAAATTTAATTTAAAATTAATATCGATAGGTTTACGCTGGAATTTTTTGCTTGATTTCCACATATTCGGGAAAATCGCTTTATAACTTAATTCTTAACTGCAGTTTAACATAAATTTTTTAGGTTCTCCTATTCATTGTTGGAGTGCTTCAGTTAACGAAACAAAGTTATTTTCTTCATTTCGAGGGATTAATGACAAGGTATTAATTGCTTTATTTTTGAAATATTTTTTTTTTCAATTTTTTAAGGATGAATTAGATTCCGCTTATTCTCTCTGTTTTTCTATTGATGGTCAACACCTTTTTGCTGGTTTCAAAAATTGTGTGCGTATTTTTAACTTTGAAAAACCTGGACGTCAAATTAATGAAATTAAAACATATCGTTAGTTTTATAAAAATTTTTTTTTAATTTTTTTACAGAAAAATCAACTATGAAAACGCAAAAGGGTATTATTTCCTCTTTAGCAATGTGTCCAACTTTTGATGGCGTTTTTGCAGTTGCCTCTTATTCCGGAACTTGTAATTTTTACAATTTTTTGATGACTTCTTTTCTCTCTTTAGTAGGGCTTTATTCTACACAAACAAATGCTTGCGATTCACTTATTGGATCTAATGATGGATCGACACCAATAACTCATTTGCAATATTCATCTTGTGGAAATTTATTATTTGCTGGACGTAGAAAGGTTTTTTTATTTTAAAGTTCCATTTTATTTAAGTCCACTACTGAAGACCTATTGGACTTACAACTTTAGAAGGGAGTATCAAGGGATTTAGGTCAATTTATTATCGATGGATTTTGTGTGGTTATATAATACAGAACTGGGTACTTATCCCCTTAATCCCTCGATATTCCCTTTCAAAAGTTGTATTTTTTCGGGGTTGACCCATCGTGTATCATTAATTTTTATTTCCTAGAGTCCATTTATTCAATGTTACGATGTTCGCTTACCAACTAAGTTACTTTACAATTTTCAACGTGAATCAATAACAAATCAGCGCATTTATTTTCAATTAGATTTTAATGATCATTACCTTTACAGTGGAAGTAGTGCTGGCGATTTGCTTATTTATGATTTAAAAAAGTGTAATAAAGGATTAAACCAACAAGAGCTTAAAACTGAATTTGTGGAGCCTGCTCATAAAATTAGATGTTCCGAGGCGGCTGTCACAGGATTAAGGTTCGAAACAATTATTTCTTTTATTATTTTATCATTTTATTTATTCAATGTTAAAATATTTTTGTGACATTATTACACAACGGAAGTAATTTATTCTATCATTTCTTTCAATTTTTTTCAGTTTGCACCCATGCGAACAATTTATCGCCGTTTCTACGGGTCAACGGCTATTTCCTTCCAGTTTGTTGCTCAACCAACTATTTGATGATAATAATTCTTTAAATGAAACAAAAAATGGCGATGATAATAATAATGAATATATTTCTCGAGGAAAAGGCTCTTTATTAGACAATTCAATAAAATTGTACAAATTTGATTAAAAATTATATGCAAAATAAATGAAGTTTTTCAACTAATAATTTGTTTTCTCTCAGGTTTATTTAAAACAAAATTTTTTTTCTATTTTTAATTATAAAAATATCTTTTATCCTTTTTATTTAACCTTGAGGTTTTTACTTACCCATATAAATTACACTTTATTATCTTTAAATTTTGTTAGTGATTGTTCCAATAACCTTCCCTCTCATTTTTTCTTATTTTATCTATTTTTGGTAAATAAAATCTCAAAATTTTGTTACAATGTATACATTAAAATCGAGTCACTTTTTTACACAAAATAATGATTTTAATGACTTGAATTTTTTTCAAAATTATATGGGCAATTTCTAAAAAAATTTTTTTAAAGATAATAAATTATTCTTTTTCGGAAAACTTTAGCTTGACAAGCTTTAGATTGTTGCTGTTTTTTTAGATTTTGAGGGTTTGAAAGGACTTAAAATTTAGCACTTGTTAAAATAATGGATCAAAATCTCTCTGGTTCGCTCAAAAATATCCTTGTTTTCGCAATCTTTTCCGTCTATATTTTCTTCCATTTAGTTGTTGCTTTAATTTTTATATTAACACATTATGCCTTATTAGTGAGAATATTTATATAATCAATCAATGATTCGCTCCTTCAACTATTAATTTTATCTTAATTTTCATCGTTGTTTTTGGTAATTGGCTATATTTTAATACCTTAGGTTGTAAATTTTCCTTTTATGTCTCATTAAAATCTAAACGCCCATTTAAAGAAATTGACCTGTTGTTGGGGGATGGTTCAGGCGCGCGTCTTTTTCATCTTATATGACAATATTTTGTTGATAAAATTATTAAATATATTATTCATTTGCCATCGATCAGTTGCGCATCTTACTCGTGATTTTTGTGGCATCTTCCCTGACTGTTTTGAATTGTTCCTTCAATTCACCTTTCCCTATTCTCCTATCGTTTATTTCCGCCGCTCGCTTACTTCCTGTTAACTTCCCCATTCCTCTCACCTTCCTTTTACCTTCCTCCCCTTATGTTCACCTTCATTAACGGCCCTTAAAGAAGCTAAACCAACACTTCGTTTATCTCATTTTCGCGCTTCTTTTCGGTTGATATTCTAATCATCTAAAAACCTTTGAACTAATGAGCCTTTGAACTAATGAGGGCTTGATTTTGTATCATTTTGTAGACTTAAAATTACTGATCCCATATTGCCCTATTAAACCCCCGAATCATTAATCAATCATTGATCACATCATTACAGTCTAAGGCAATTATTTATTTGCCGATTTAATAAAATTTTCTATTCATCAAAATTTCTTTAAATAATTTGTCTTTCCACAACCAATTTATTCTGCTCATTTTCTTTCGATCGCCACATGCGATTGTTTATACTATTTTATGTATTTTTGGGAGGAGACGAGCGGGCGGCTTGTTTCGAGACGAGCGTCTCCTATCGAACCGATTAAATGACGAAGAAAGAAGGTGGTGGCAGCGGCCGATTCTGGGCGAGCTTCCGGTCCCCGCTACCCCAAATGTCTTTGTCGCTCACCTCTCTAACACATTCTTTTCTTTATATTTTTCTAGACCACCTCTTTATGCATCAATCCCTAAAAACTTGAAAGCAAAAAACTAATAAACAAAAGGCATTTTTTGCTTCCTGAAGCAAAATTCTATGCAAAAATTTTTGCAAAAATTTAGAAAGCAACTATTTTTTGTAACCGAGCAGCCACTTCTTTATCCTAAAAATTAAAACATTAAAATTTTAATATATATTAGTCGAATTATTATTTATCAGGATATCAAAATTAACAACAAAAGTTATTGACACATGATTTTAAAACAACTTGATAATAGAAATTTGTTCTGCTGATTCAGGAATGAAATCAAATGGCAACAAAAACAAAGAGAACAATAGCAGCAATACTAATTATAACCGTGAACGTTCGCCAAGAATGCTCTCCCTTAAAGTATAAAAACTAAATTATTTATATTTTTAATTCACTTTTGGAAGTTTTTTTAAGTTACGATTATGTTTAAGATGTTTTTTTTAAATATTTTTTCTCTAGCACCAACATAAAAACAGCAGGGCTTGTGCTATGGAACTTGATGAAGCATCATCTAAAGTTCCTTCCAGATTTCAGCCTTCTCGTTCACCCAACAATCCTTCTTTTGCTGGTTTACCGGTTAATACTCCGTATCTGGGTCCATCACTTTCACCAGTCTCTTCACCTCAATGGAGACTGACTGCCGGCAGCAGCAGCCCTGGAGCAACCACTTCTGGAAGAGCAGTTCCCAAGTCTGCACTGATTATGTCTAGGATTCTTAACTCTAGAGTAGGCTTTAAAGTTTCTAGTTTTGTAACTTAAAATATGGATTATCCTTATTTAGAGTACTGGAATACCGAATATGGAACCAGTGCAAACTGGTGCAGATGCCAAGGATATGTTAGAAAAGACCATTTCAGATGGTAGAGCACTTGTGGAGCAATCGGCCAATTACAAAGTCATTGATTTACCCTATCAGAAGTCTCCAAAACACTCACCTTCATTGGTTCCATTGATATTGCAGACAGAAGTTGTCGAAAAAGATGATGAACTGTTAATAGAAATGAAAACGACAGATTGTATCTTCAATTTTGAAGACATTTTTGAAGATGAAATAGAAGAACGAAAAGAAACAGTAAATGAAAATATAAATGAATGTGATAGAGGAAGAGGAGTGGATTTGAATTTAACTGAATCTGTGATAAATGAGGAGCCTGATTTCTTTATTGAAGGGAAAAATACTAAGCCTGAAGGGATAATCAAAGAGAAAAAAGAAGAAAAACAAAGGGAAGGTGAAATACAAGGAGGATCAGATATAGCAATAAATGTTGCCAAAAAGAAACGAAATTCTAACGATGAAATTAAAGGGAAAAGTTCATCTGGAAAGAAGAATAGAAGGGAAAAGGGTCGAAAATCAAAGGAAGGAAGAGCAAAGGAAGGGAAGACAAAGGAGGAAGTATTAAAGGATAATAAGGTTAAAGATGAATTTTTAAATAAATCAGAGAAGGAAGTGGATGTTTCGGTTGATTTTGCATTTACAGCTAAAGATCTCACTGCGCAAGTTGAGGGAATCATTTCTACTTCAATTTCAGGCATTTCTAAAGTTTTAGTTTCTAAATTAGTTGTCATTTTTAGAAAAATGTTCACTTAAAAGTGTGCCAACACCCAAGAAAAAGGAAGTATTGTTGGTAGATGTGGTGGAAGGAAGCATGAAAGAATCTAGGGCACTTAAAGTTGTTGATCCGTTGAATAAAGATATTAACAACGAAAACAAACAGTCTTTTCTTGAAAAGGAGATTCGTCAAGAAAAATTATCGAATAAGGAAAAGAAAATTAAAGAAAAATATCCAGAAAAAGTTCTGACAACAGACAGACCAACCGAAGAAAGAATAGAGAAGGGAAAGAAAGGCAAATCCTCCAAAAGAAAGGGAAAGAAATCTAAAGATGCAGGCCGGAAGATGCCTCCTCTACCTTCATTACAATCCATTAATCAACAAAATAATTTGGAGAAAAACGAAACAGATGAAGATTTTCTTACAAGTCCTTGCTCGACTGTATCTTCTCCACCTGCTTTACCGCCCTCTTGTTCATCATCAACGACATTTCCACAAGCGCTAGTGAGAAGAGACGAACAAAGTGCTCGACAAAACTCTTCCTCGATCGGTCGAATGGTTTGTTTTTTCTAATTTGATTTAAATATTATGTTGTGAAATTTCACAAAGCTATGCTAAGCTTGTTTATCACTAAAATTTTTCTCTAATAGATTGGACGCTGGCGGCATACAACTGGTGGTATACAATTACGTAATATAACTCTTTCCGGAGTTAAACTTGCGCTTGGAATTCGTTCAGATGGTCGGGAAGCTTTCCGAACCTCATCTGTACAACTTGGTGATAACAGAAGGTAACTTTAATCTTTTTGTTTATTTCCTCCTTTTTTGAATTTTTATCAGTACTTTTACAGTTTTGCTCGTTAAAGTCGTTTTGTTTCTGTTATTTTTTTGAATTATTATCAGTAGTATTTTTCAAAAATATTAGATTGTTTTCAAAAACAGGAGACCGGAAACATGGATGATAAATATAAATTATAATTCAGTTCCTTCTTAATACAATTTTTTGTCTCCTTCCGATTTTCTTTCTATTCTCCCTATAACAGACTATTCATTTCCTTCCTCCGATTTCATCCATTTCCGGTGGTAATAGAGCGAAATGTGAAGCAAAGAGTAGCAAAATACAGAGGGTCCAAAATGCAGGACAGTAGTGATTTTTTATTGCTCTCCTATTTTATATCTTTTAGGATTTGAATATCGAAATTAAAAAAAAACAACAAAAATAAAAAAACAATTGTAAAGCAATTTATGATAAATCCCATTTTTAGTATTCTATATTATTTTGATGGATTTACTTTCATTCATTTGTGCTTTAATATCAACACATCAATTATTTTTATACATAGTTGCAATTCTTTTATCTCCCACGTGCCATCCACCTTCATCCTCCTTTTTTTCATCAGATTTTGGTTTTGAGCCAAATTGCTTTCTGAGCAATTTGGGAAAAAAAGTATATACATTTGTGGATTTTCGGCAACTGCTTTCCCTACTCAAATTTCTTTCCTAATATCCACTTGCCTCTCCACTATCGGCGGCTGTTCTTTTCAATGCAAGATATTATTTTTTAGCTATGTATCCTAACTCTTATCCTAAATAGTAACTAAAGTTCCTAAATACATAGTAGCTAAATTGAGGTAAAATAATCCATAATAGATAAGGCTTAAATATTGTCACTTACACAAACTCTTCAACTTGACCATTCAACTTCGAATACATTTTGTGTGTGAAATTTTTATAAATTTTTTCTTATAATCTACATATTTGTACATATCTTTTCTGAAATTCTGTATATCTTAGATTGTAACAAATATACGTACTTAACGTTTTTCAAAAATAAACTTCACAAGCTGTTTATTTAGTTAATCGATAGAAGTCCTATACCTACACTTAAACAGTGAGCTTTTAATTGGCTTTTATGTAGCTGCTATCCTTATGCTATATTTTTTCCCTCCTACCACATTTGATATCCATAAATATTTAAAATTTAGAGGGTATAACCCTTTTAAAAATTCCGTGTCAGATTTTAAGATTGATCTCCATTTGCAAGTAATCCTAGAATCGCATCAGTGTCCCGTATTTTATTTTGTTGCCCATTTATTGGTGAAATACATACATAGATTTAATGACATTTTCAAACTATTTTTCAATTTCTTAAAAATTTTTAAATAAATTCACTCTAAAAATTTTTAGTTATTTTCATAAATTTGTGTAATGACTGCTAAAGATTTTAGATACAATATGGAAGAAGTGCTCCCGCTTATTCACTACAGGCCTCTTTACCAAAATCTTATACGTTCACTTCATTTTTCTCCTGCTTCACATTCTCTAATTTCTTTGATGCAGTGTCTTCCAGTATGTTTTTTTAAATATTTTAATATGCATTAAATTAAAATAATTTTAGATTGATATAGAAAATTTGGCGAAACCTTTGATGAAGATTTTCATTCATTCCAATCAAATACGTCAATTCTTTCGATTAATTTGCTTTGAATACCTCTCCAATTGCAGGTTACTATTATGTTATTTAACATTTTGGGTACTTGGTGATTATCCCAAGCCATTTTTTGCGTACACGGACCCAACTATAAAATGGACTCATAATGGTCAGAGCATCCATACCTTCCCTTCTTTCTATATTCAATGTATTCGAGTAAGTGATATCTGACCATGAGCCACATAAATATGTACGCAAAAACTGCTTTGGGATAACCCGTAAGACCTCTTTAAAGCAAAACTAGCTTCTAATTTTACAGTGATGTAAATACATTGTTTCGGAGTCAATCGCTTGCCTCAAAAGTTATGTATGAAATGATGAAATGTGTTGGTCACAAGTACTTGGTCGTCACATTAATGCCACTTATTGACTTGGTAATTTTTTGATTTTCTTTTTTCATTTTTGTATTTGAAGATTTTTGCCGAAAGGAAACCCTGCGAAATTGATCCATCGAAGCTGAGACAAGGGGAATCTCTTGATCAAAACTTGGTAAGATTTTTTTTCAGAGAATCTATATAATTAAGAATTTTGCAGCATAACATAACTGTCTATGCAGAGTTCGCGTTCACCGGAGTTGTAGACTCGTCCCAGCGATGTCCATCCGCGTTGCGCGAACTTTTTGCTGAGTTAAGAGATGTTGTTGAACAATTTTTCCCAGGCAGGGATGATGTTGGACGTTTAGCACTTTCTTCATTCCTCATTTTACGTTTCTTTGCAGCTGCTATTCTAAACCCAAAACTTTTTGCTTTGAAGATGGCTACACCGGTTATTATTTTTATTTATTTCATAAACTAGTGATCAACTTTCATTATAGGACGTAAATGTTTCTCGTACATTGGTTCTTGTCTCAAAGATTCTTCAACGGGTTGCAAATTGTGTTGTTTCTGCTAATCCTCCAACAATTAAAGAGCAGTTAGTTTATTATTTTTACTAAAATTAGTTAATAATATATAATCAGATGGTTGGCGCCTGTGATGGATCATTTCTTGGATGAAGCGCATAACAAAGCAATGATTGATTTTTTAGACGAAATCTCTACGTCATTTACGGAAACAGAAGAGGGGGGAGGTGTTAATACAAATTCTCAAGGTGCTATAGTTAACGATGAATCGGATGCATTTTCTTCATCAACAAACATATCGTCGTCTCCTGTAATGGATATTGAGAAGGAACTACATATTGTTTACAGCCAAATTGCTGATCATTTAGATACGCTTTGTAGTATGGGTTGGTGCTGTCGATATGGATGCTCTTGTTGTTCTGATACGATTGTCCAGTAAATTTTGTCTTTCAATCAATTTTTTGTTTATAATTATAATGAACTCAAAAAATGAAGAAAATTTAAAGACAATCATTTTAAAAATCCAGAAAATCATATATCCTTGACAGGATTGTGTGTATTGCCTTGCCAAAAATTTATTTTTAATTTCATTATTAAGGATCATAACTTTTTTGCCTTATATTATTTTAAATATTTATTTTTGTCTGATGTTTTTATCTAATTTCTGGCACATTTTTCTTAATCAATTCATCTTTCATGATTTTAACTATATTTTTTTGCTGCATTTACCGTGCCTCGACTAAAAGAATTTTATCTCAGATGAATGACTCTCATATATTAAAAACCTCATATATGTATGTATCATTATAAAACTTTCAATGAAATATTTTATGGATTAATTTAAAGAAGTAGTGGCTTCTTTTTTCTAACATTTAGAACAGGAGTAAAGCATTAAAATTAATAAATTAAACGATTTATAGGTTTTAAAAATTTCGAAATTCATATAAAAACAATTAGGGGTTTCAAGCTATTTCAGAATCTATTAATCGCGATTTATACTTTGAGTGGCAGCGAACGCAGCGAATCGTTGTTTTGCTAAAGCAAGCATTTCCTCACAATGATGAATCTGAAACATTTGTGGTTTATTTTTAAAGTTTATCAAAAAAAATACATAATTTGAGCCGTACTGTTTTTTGCACTCTGCTAATTGTTCATTTTCAAATCTAGTCAATGTTTCATTCATCCGATAAATCTGAAAATTAAAAATTAAAGCGAACTAGGCTTTCAAGAAAAACTAACCTTTTGCTTCATTTCAGGTATTTTAGGCGGAAAGCATTGCCAGAAATGTCGAAGCAGTTCAGTCAATCCGGAATGCACTATCCTAATCCTTTCTATGTCTGATCGACTCAATCCTTGAAAAATATAGATCTAGTAAAAGTTATAAATTAACCTGTGAAATTAATAGATGTGGTTGAATCAGGCTCTGGTTGATGAGCAGAAAGAGGATCAATAAAATTTACTGCAAGGTTATCGAAGAAAGTAAATTGATTCTTCTAAATTTTTGATTTATAGAAATTTAATTAGAATTCTACTTTACCTCTTCAAATATACTGGTTGTCGTCTCAAGTGCATTAGTCAAGGAATACTTTGTTAGTTGAATTTGATCAGGAGGTATACAACTCTCATGTTCTTTTTGCAGAGGATTATAAGCAGATAATGGGCAATATAGCTGGTCACTAAAATGATGTAATTAATAATTAACTCAAATTAACAAATACTTTGGTTTGTCAAATTCCGCCAAGTCTTGACTTTCAAGTTCCAAATCGCAGGTTCGTTCTTGTATGGTTGAGTTATTCTTTGTTGCATTTTCAACTTCGTGACTGAAAGCACCCTATAAAAAGACTGATAACTACCTAACACCTTTAAATGCTTTGTTTAAAAAATCAAAGGAAATAATTTTCTCAAATTTTAAGGAGTAAAAATTACATTTTCGGAAGTGTCTTGTTGTAGTCCATCAAAACCATTCTTCTTTAATTGCGAATTAAAAGCATTTCCCAAATCTTCCTCCATCGTACATAAAATTCGTTCCGAGTGATAATTGCATCGTCGGACAAGAAGTCGTTTTGCATCAGAAGAACCACGTGATGAATTTTGATTGGAACGCTTAGAAATAATATTTTTAATTAAAACTAAATTTTTATTAAATTTTACCATGTCAGATAGAATTCCAAGATCCTCGTTGAGTGAAGTTAGGTCTAAAGTGCGCTTTAAGTTGCTTCGCCCTTTCTCCAAAAGTTCCTGCATACCTTAAAATAATTAAAGTTCAGAACGATTTAAAAAGAAAATAATACTTTTCTCGTCCATCTTCACACAATCCGCAAAAGTATCGTGAGTCGAAGAAGTACTAGGTTCAGCTGGATTTCTCTCACGATGGAAATAATGAGATTGAAAGAAATGAGACCAAAATTCTTGTTCGGTTAGTTCATGTGGTACTAATTCCAAATGCTTTCGTTCCACTGAAAATGATTAACTAATGGGCATTTATTTTAAAAAAACCTGCAGGATATGTGCGGAAAATAGACTGAATTGTTTCTGTTGTGAGATTTAGCCTAATACCACCTCCAATACTATCAGATTGAACAATTGAACTCAAGAAACCACCAGAAATTCCTACTCTTTGCTGTGATTCCTCTTCGACGGACAAAGATTTCTGCCGTTTAATTTATTTAAAAATAAAAATTGAAAACCGGATTGTAATGAAGTGACCAGAAATCTTGCGAGGATATAAGTTTTTCCCTCACCAAGTACAAATATAGCTGGTGTAAATGTGCATTTTGCTCCAATATTTTGATTTTCTCTTCTTGATCTTTACTTGCACTGCTTTTGGCCGATTTTTGAGCCAACTACAAATAAAAGATAATTTAATCAAGAAGTAACAAATGTAACCATTTGACGATGACGAACCAACGCCTGTTGGAGCAGTTCTTTAACTGTATCGCGCTCCTGAAGAAGTTGCTCTTGACTGCTTTTTGAATTCATAAAAACAAAAGTTGCTTGGTCTTCATCAAGCATGCAAAGTTGCAGTTGAACCTTTGGCTTATTAGGAGGTGAAATTCGTTGACCTATTTTTTGAAAGAATGTTCAAAAAAATGAAAGAGAAGTAAACTTAAATGTCACAAACCTTTAATTTTGGATAGATGAACAACCATTTTATCTGAAGAATCCGAGTCACTTATCCATTCAACGCGATCATCGTAAATATAAAATTCTCCAAGTGGAGATTTTCCAGGCCCAGTTTTTCTGTATTTAACTTGCTCTACTCGAAGTAGCAGAGACGAGTCTCCATTTTCGTCTCTCCTCGCTTGTCTGTGCATAATAATAGACTTTTAAGGATATCTCCGATATCTCCTGAAAAAAATAAAACTCTCAAAAACAAAAAATGAAATTGCGAAAAGATTTTTTCAATTTCTGCAGCCAGAAAACGAATTTTCTAAAAACGAATTTACATTTTCCACAGTATGTGTCTTGAAATATTATAACTAGTTGCCACTTTGATATTCACCAATTTGAAGTTTCCAAATTAATTTTGTGGGAAATTCCCACTCAAAATTATTGAAGCTTAATTTGGCTTCGGTTTTTTATTTTTTTTATACCGAGATCTCGGGGGATTTTATGCCGGTTTTTTCTTTTTTCTTTTTATTTAACGTTTTTTATGTTCTTCATCTGTTTTACTATCTGTTTTATTCGTATTTTTATTCGTTTTCCTGCTGCGCGCGCTAAAATTGCATAAAATAAAAATTTTAATTTTTTTTTTGAAAAATAATAATTTTCAATAATTTGAAGGTGCAGGCCTTTCGTGGACGTGCAGATGCTTGGTCTGGTGTTAAAATTTGTTTTTTTTAAATTAAAATTTTTAATTTATCAAATTCTTATTTTTTCATTTAAAGGCCTGCTCAGCACAGCTCTACATGGCCCTGAAGTGTTCTGCATGGAGCTGCTGACATCCGGTGGTTTTTATTCCTTTTATTTTTTAAAATTAAATTACCTAAATAATTTTTTTTATTTTTATGTATTTTTTGCTTGTGGTGGCGTGTCTCAACATGGATGTTCTTCATGGTCTGGCTGGTTTTCTTTTTATTTTAATTAAATTAAAATAATTTTTTTAATTATTTTTTAATATATTTTTGCCTGTGAGGGATGGTGGCCAACTTGCTATTGGTGGTGGTCAATATGCTACTGGTGGTGGTCAATATGCTAATGGTGGTGGTCAGTATGCTATTGGTGGTGGTCAATATGCTATTGGTGGTGGTCAATATGCTATGTTGGTGGTCAATATGCTTTTGGATGGATTTGGTGGTGGCTGGCTGGTTTTAAAATTTTTAAAAATTTTTAAAATAAATAAAATTAAATTTTTTATTATTTAAAAAAATTTTGTTTGTTGTGGTGGTATGGTCAAGATGCTCTTCATGGTGGTGGTCAAAATGCTCCATGGTGGTGGTCAAGATGCTCTTCATGGTGGTGGTCCAAATGCTCTTCATGGTGGTGAACCTTATGGCCCTCTTCCTTGGTAAAAAATATTTTTTATTGAAAAACCTAAAATTCGGCAAAAAATGCGCACGCGGCTCTCATTTCCTTTTTCTTCATTTTCTTGTCCTTGTTTTTTCTTGTCCTTGTTTTTTTGTACAATTTTTATCGAAATTTCGTTTTTATTTGATTTAGCAAGTTATAATTGGGCTGGATATGGAGGAACTGGACAATGATGAAATATGGTGGAGTGTATGAAAATGGGTAATAGAACAGGTTTTTTTTTATATTTTTAGTAGAGGTTTTTTTTATATTTGAGGCAACACTGACAATGAGCAGAGCATTGGTCATGCCACCGATTCGCTCAAAATTTGAATTTTGGCATTCTGTTTGCCAAAAATGACAATTTGTCCCAAGAAAGAAATACCACAGGGACAGAGAATCAGAGTAAATCTCCGTTTTTGGCTACCCTACAACTCATCGAATCCTTAACTCATCGAATCCTCAACTCATCGAATCGGCCAAAAACACTCAACTCATCGAATCCTTAACTCATCGAATCCTCAACTCATCGAATCGGCCAAAAACGATCAACTCATCGAATTTTTCCAAAAGGGGACGTTTGAGTCCCCGTGTTTATTTTTTAGATTTTTTATTGTTTTGTTTATTTTTTTTGTTTTCTTCCGGGTTTCAACTGATTTTGTTAATTAGTTGATCGGTCATTCATCCAAGTCACTCATCCATTCTCAGATCCTGGTAAATTATGCTGGAGATCCTGGTAAATTATGATCTCATTCTTGGTAAATTATGCTGGAGAGTTTACCGGGTAAAACCGGACCAAATTAGTCCAGTAGACCCCGATTATGCCCAAAAGCCCTTTTTCCTAGCTTCCATAGCAGCAAAAAATTTTTTCAACGAAGATTCAGTTAGCCCTTTCGGGAGAAAAATAAAAACAGGGGACTCAAACGTCCCCTTTTGGAAAAATTCGATGAGTTGATCGTTTTTGGCCGATTCGATGAGTTGAGGATTCGATGAGTTAAGGATTCGATGAGTTGAGTGTTTTTGGTCGATTCGATGAGTTAAGGAATTTTAGCCGATTCGATGAGTTGAGCGTTTTTGGTCGATTCGATGAGTTAAGGATTCGATGAGTTGAGCGGGCACGCCGTTTTTTTCTTTGGGCATTTTGATTTGTGATTAACTATTTACGTAAAATTTTTCAGATTTTTTTTGTTTCCTTATGTTTTACAGTTCTTCATCATTTATTGTTAATCCTGTGTAACTAGATTTTTTTCAGGATTTTTTTTAAATCTGATTTATTATTGTCTTCAATTTTCAACACATTTGGTTAGTTGCAGATGTTGTTTGTTAAACAAGTTCAATCAAAAAGAGCTTGGCGATTATTTTTGCGAAGGTCAATCACAACAGGGTATAAAATTGTTGATCATACATTTGATGCTGTCGTCGTTGGCGCAGGTTTTTTTGTACAATTATTTAATTAGAAATATATATATAACTAAAGGTGGAGCCGGACTTCGTGCGGCTATGGGCCTTGCAGAAGGGGGAATGAAAACCGGTGTGCGCTCACTATTTTATACTTATTGTTAATATCGGTAATTTAGCTGTTGTAACAAAATTGTTCCCTACTCGTTCACACACCGTTGCCGCGCAGGTAAATATAGTTGCAGCATTTTATAAATATACGTTAAATTTTAGGGAGGGATTAATGCTGCGCTTGGCAATATGAATCCAGATGACTGGCGCTGGCATTTTTACGACACTGTTAAAGGTAAGATTTCAATACTTGATTTTAAAATATATCTCGTTCAGGTAGTGACTGGCTTGGTGACCAGGATGCCATCCATTATATGACTCGCGAAGCTCCAAGAGCTGTCATAGGTATGCCTATATTATAAAATCAATTTTTATCTTAAAATAATATTTTACAGAGTTGGAAAACTATGGAATGCCTTTCTCTCGTACAGAGAGCGGCAAGATTTACCAGAGAGCATTTGGAGGCCAAAGTAATGATTTCGGCAGGGGAGGTCAAGCACACAGGTTTATAGCCAATTAATGGTGATACTTTTCAACTAATTTAGGACTTGTTGCGTCGCCGACCGAACTGGTCATTTTCTTTTACATACTTTATATGGAGCCTCGCTTCAATACAGTTGTCAGTATTTTGTTGAATACTTTGCTTTAGACTTGCTAATGGATAAAGAACGTTGTATTGGTGTGATTGCAATGAATTTGGAGGATGGAAGCATTCACCGTTTTCGTGCCTTGAACACTGTTCTTGCAACTGGTGGCTATGGCCGAACTTACTTTAGGTTATACAAAAATTTAATGCATTTCAAGAATTTGAAATAAACTGGTTTAGCTGTACCTCTGCCCACACGTGCACTGGAGACGGAACTGCTATGGTTTCAAGAGCTGGTTTATGTAATTCTGACATGGAATTTGTAAGTTACATTATACTTCAATTGCATATTTTGTAGGTACAATTTCATCCTACTGGGATTTACGGTGCTGGATGTTTGATTACAGAAGGATCAAGAGGCATGCGTTATACTTACAATTAGTTTTATTCGATAAATTTGTTCATTTAAGGAGAAGGGGGTTTTCTTATTAACAGCGAAGGTGAACGATTTATGGAAAGATATGCACCCATTGCAAAGGATTTAGCTTCACGTGACGTAGTATCTAGGTTTAAACAATAGCAAAATTTATCAATTTTATTTTTAGATCAATGACTATTGAAATCATGGAAGGCCGAGGCGTGGGACCAGATAAAGATCACATATACTTACAGCTCCATCATCTACCGGCTGAGCAGTTGAATAAACGTCTTCCAGGTTGATACTCTTTAGAATTGTTTTTGTATCATGTCTAGTTAAGATGTTGCATCACTCTAGATTTTAGCTTACAACTAGTTTCCTATACTTATTATTATTTCTGGAATATTTTTAGGAATTTCTGAAACAGCAAAAATATTTGCTGGTGTAGATGTCACTAAAGAACCAATTCCTGTACTTCCGACTGTTCATTATAATATGGGTGGTACTCCAACAAATTACAAAGGCCAGGTTGTCAAATATACAAAGGATAAAGGCGATCAGGTTTCTAGCGATTTTGTTGTTTTAATTTTTTTGTGTTTTTCAGATTGTTTCGGGATTATGGGCTGCTGGAGAATGTGCTGCCCATTCTGTCCATGGAGCAAATCGTCTGGGTGCAAACTCATTGCTTGATTTGGTTATATTTGGTCGAGCATGTGCATTGAAGTTCATAATGAAATTTGAAAATAGAATTAATTTTGCTTTTAGCATTTTGTCACAAAATAAATCTGGCGATCCTGTTCCCGATCTCCCGTCAAATGCTGGCGAAGTATCAATTGCGAATTTAGACAAGTTACGAAGTGAACGTAATGGTGCTGACATCCCTACAGCTCAGTTGAGACTTGAGATGCAAAGGACAATGCAAAAGCACGCAGCGGTTTTCCGTACTGGTACAATTCTTCAGGTTGCTCTAAAATTTTTTTATACAATTCGGATCTTTTTCAGCAAGGAATTGAAAAGATTAAAAATCTTTATTCTCAATTAAAACATGTGCATATTTCTGATCGCACTCTGATTTGGAATTCTGATCTAATAGAAACACTCGAATTACAAAATCTTCTTGCTAATGCAATGCAAACTATTGTGGCAGCTGAGAATCGCAAGGAATCTCGTGGAGCACACGCTCGGGATGATTATCCAGTAATATTTTTTCTGATATTAAGTAATTTAAAAAATATTATAGAATCGAAGTGATGAATTTGACTATTCCAAAGCGTTAGAAGGTCAAAAGAAGAAAACCCATGAAGAACACTGGCGAAAACATAGCATAATATATCAAGACAATGAAAGTGGAAAGGTATAAATAATATGCTTCTTAAATTTAACGATAAATCATTTGAAGGTAACACTCGAGTATAGGCCAGTGATTGACAACACATTAGACAAAACTGAATGTGAATGGATCCCTCCGAAGTTGCGAAGCTATTGATACTTTGACGTTGATTTATTTTTTGATAAATTGTTTACATCTAGGTGTTTATTATCTTTTAGATATTTTAAATTGCTTATAATGGATGTAATATTGTTTTTGCTTATAGTCATAAAATTTTGTGTTTACGCATGATTTTCAGAGGATTTGTTGGTTTATATACGAATTTAATATCTTTCGATTTATTGTCATCGTTTCATTTATTGATCATATTAATGATTTTTTAAATTTTTTTGACAAATCCCTTTACAAAATCAATAGAATTGATGAAAGTTTCCGCATTTACTGACAGCAAGGAATTTTTGGAGAAAATTAAAGTCAGAACGAAATTTGAGGTTTTTTGCTACTAATTTTAAAGATAACAGTCGTTTCAGATTACTTTAATTGAGTGGAATCCAAAATTTGATCTTATAGCCCTTGGCTCTAAAGATGGTGACCTTATGGTTAAGCGTTATCCTTGGAAAACTGGATGGAAGGTTTTTTAAATTTGGGAAATTAGTTAATAAAATTTCTAGAGAAACTTTTCGAGACAACTGCCGCTTACACAATTTTCCGCATTAATTTCTGGCGAGTCTGAATATTCATCAAAACAATCTAAAAATGAGATGGTGTCGTTATGTTGGTCTCCCGATGGGCAGATCCTGCTTTCGGCATTTTCTAGTGGACATTGCTTTTATTTGGATACTCAAAATGGAAACGTATTATTTCTTCGAATGATTGAATATGCACCAAAGGAAATTAAATGGATTAAGTATCAGCCTAGTTGTCATAGCCTGGAAATTGATAACGATCCTAAGGTTTTTTAATGATTAGAAGGATTAACCATTAAAATTTAGATTTCAGCTGTTGATTTTAATTTCTGTGATGATGCATCTAAAGAACACGCAATGGTTTGCGAGGAGGTTGAGAAATTTTGCAAAAGTTCTTTTAATCAATCACTTGTTGGAACTTTTCTTTGTATTCTTCATGAAATAAACAATGAAGAGATCGATGAAACATCTTTGGTATTGGATATTCTAGCAGACGGAGTTTTACTTGTTCTCAAAATAAATTTAAGTAAGTTTTTTCATTATTTCAGAATAAACATGGCATCATTGTTTTTTTTCTGAAATATATTTTAAACTTACACAATTATTAAGTTTAATAATTATTTTCAGCTCATGCTCCAGTCAACACTTGTGTTTTTTCAATACGTACATTGGTGTTTAGAAAGAATTGTTTCCGAATCCCGTTGAAAACTGATGATGTCAATCCATCGCTTTCGAACAAAGAGTTACTTGAGATTGCTGGGTCGATTAGTCCAGAACGAATGTGTATTTATAACCAAATATCTAAATCGTATAAATTTAAAAACTAATTATTTTTACATTTAATTTTAAGACTATGTTGTATCTCATTTTATTGTATTTATTTGCAAGAGATGCTTAAATATTGTACAAGCAATTGGCAACAATTAAGCGAGGTTATCTATTCATTAATATTTTTATTAAGTTTCTTAATTTCGTTGCAGGCATTCCACCAACGCGTATTTGCCTTCGTAAACAACAACAAAGCAGGAATTCTCACAGAATCTAGACCAAAACAGAAAGACGGAAGTGAGGGTGCTTTACTTATGTGTAATGACTTGTTGATGTTAATTGAGACAGAACAATCATCAGATTTATTGAACAATTTTTTTAATTCACCAACTTCGCATAAGGAGATGAAACAGGCATGCAGCTTCTTGGATGATTATTCGTGGGTTTTATGTATTTTATATTTATTGTATGAATCTAGGGAGTGATAGTTGATGGAGAGGGGGGGGATTAGTTCACTCGAACATTATAAATACTTATTTTGCATCTCTTACCGTTACGTTAATAACCGATAGCCATTGGTACTCAAAAGCTTAACCAAAATATCTAAATAAAACTTGATTTGCATGTGATCAAGACGTGGTGTTTCCATACTCGATGAGTCGCCTAGGAGGTTGTTTGTGAATGAATATTTATTTTGTATTGTACAATTTCTTTGCAAATATTTTTCCTGCGCAGCACAAATACAAATTTTCGTTACCAGAAAAATTTCCTCCCACTAAATTTTCGCTCATAATTTAGTCCGTGAAACATTATTAGTAGTGTCAAATCATGACGATATTCAACTTCTAATATTTAGAACATTAATAAAAGGCATCTCATCTGGAGTTTTTCCTGCTTCACAACAGCTCGGACATGAAATTCGGGTATTACATGCCTATTTTACGACTTTATCAGCAAATATGGAAGATGATAATGAAGAATTTGATCCAGTTCCAATGTATACATATTGAAATATTTCAGTTCCTGTCTCAATATTCAACTCTGCATATAGACAACAAGGAGACTGAAACTGAAATTTTCTATCATCAAAAAAATCTCTATCACAAAATTTTAAATTTAAGGTTGTTGGACACTCTTTTAAAAATTGCTTCAGGACATACAGCATTCAGTTTAACTTTGGGTTTGACACAGAATTTCCACCAATTTTTTGATCAATTTGAACATTCTGTTTATTTGCTTGAGCAAAGACTACAAAACATCTTGCAAGTTGCAGATAAAAATAGGCAAGTTTCATACAAAATAAATTCTGAGAAGACATCTATTTCATTCTCCCAAAAAGATTTAAATTTACTACAGAACTGAACTGAAACAATTTCTTAATTGGTTGCTTGCTTTAATATGTGATGAAGCATCTGACAAATGCGACGAAGCATCTCCAGATGAATCAAAATTTGATTTAAAACAATTAAGCCAGGTGTTATATTTTATAATAATACGCTGAGGCTTATAATATTTCGACTAAATTAATCCTCACGTTTAATCTTATACAAATTTCATTAAGTTTCTTGACGAAGTCGTGCAACATTCTGGATTAAATGATTCAGATAGTGGAAGATTTATTTTGGATAGGGTTTTTCCTCATTTGTTTGTTTACAACTGTCAACAAAAAATCCAACAACCAACTATTGAACAGCAAATGCAACTTTGTTTTCAACATTTTAAAATCTTTTTTAAAGACGGGCTCACAAAATTGTAAACTTATTTAAGTTTAAAAATTTCCAATTGCTGTGTATTTTAGCTTCAATATGCCAAAGAGCTGCAATATATTATTCGAGGATAAAGAAGAACTAGCTGATGAAGAAGAATCTTATAATAGTGATGAATAAGCTTATAAAAGAATGAATTAGTTCTTTGATAAATTTATTTGATACGTATTAAATCTGCTGTGGATTTAGGGCACTATGTATTCCTTTAGACAACTTGAAGCAAATAAATACGTCATTTTCTACGCGTGTGAATTTTGCATGTTGTGGCTATTAGTTTTCTTATTTTTCCCAATACAAGTGTGATTTTACTTTAGTACAATGAAAATGAAGATCATTTTCTATGCTAAAACTATTTCCATTTTTGAAATTAATAACGGGTCTTCTGTAAATATTATAAATATATCTAATTTAATAATAAATACGCGATCGCATGCATTAACATGCAAGTAATAATTTGTAGGTGATATTTTGTCCAAAATAACTCATCTCCATAGGTACATTCTTGTTTCTATATATAGGTAAGCAGTCAGTTGGTTTTTAGGTTATTTATTCCAGCTTTGCACACTTATTAAAATAGAATGGCACTCCATTGTATCATAATAAAGTTAAAAATTATTACTAGAAATAGAAATTCTCCTGCTGTGGGGCCATTTTTTCATGCAATTTCTCTTTAAACTTGTTCGATTAAATTATAAACTAAAATGGAAACCGAAATTAACCTTTTTTCACTCTGAAAATCTCACTGTTTATTTTCACTGGTATTTTCACTATTTTTAAATCTCACTGTTATTTTTTTGAAATTTTTACTGTCCAATTATTACGTGCTAAATCCCACTTGGTTATGTTTCATTTTTTGGCTATTATTTTTAAAAATCTTTTTCTATTTCTAAGTTTATATACTATATTATACATATAAACAATTGTTTCATATGTTATTAGTTTCAAAGTTAGCAAAATGTCAAATTAAGATTATTTCCGAAAACATTTGCAGGAAACAAAAAAAACGTCACCTTATACTCTTCCGGAGTAAAAATATAAAGTTAATCAGGAATCTAGTACGAAATCCCAGACACATGATTAAAATTAATAATGCGCACTTTTTGCTTTCAATATGTAACTATACATAGTTCTATTTTGTTTTTATAAAATTTAACAGACTTGTAGCATCGTATAGCTCATTTAATAATTTCCGGCACAAAAAACTAGAAATAAATAAGACTGGCTTCATGTCGAACTTTTTTTTTTTCATTTTCACAATCTTGTATACCTACGTTTTATTTTCTGTTATATCTCATTTTCTCTACTATCTTAAAATTGGATTTATCTTCAAATTTTCATTATCTGTTTAAGATAAAACTTTTTCCCAAGATTTTTCGAATTAAAAATGTGGCTTAAAAATTAAGTAATTTAATCCATTTTTGAAAATTTCTCATAGAAATATAAATTTTATGTGAAAATCTATAAAAAGTCAGGCTAATTGCGATTTGCAAGTTTATTTCAATTTTCGTGTAATATTGAATTTTTAAATTGGATCATAAGAGATAAATATTTAAAGTTAGATATCAATGACTATTTTTCAATTGCTTTTCATGCACTACTAATTTTCTTGTTTTAGTTATGCAAACAAAATTTATTCCCATAGTTCAATTTAAAATTTCTTCCTTTTTATGGGAAAATGAATTAGAATGTTATGAACTAGAATACTTATGTTGGCGCACTTTTTAGGATTATATCTTTTCTATAAATTAGAATTAAAAATAATAGAATGCATGTCATTTTATTTTTCCTTTATTTTTACCATTTCTAAACATATTTTAAATTTAGTTTAAGAGTTGGGTGTGTGTGTTGTCATTTTTTCAAACTACGTGAGTAACTTGTAGCTTTTCATTTCTTTTACTCTCCGTAATTGTAAAATAAACCACGTGCGCGTCTTTAAAGCAACAGAACCACGAATTTTGGAGAGAGAGGAATCCAAAGTTTGAACCGTAAAAATTTAGTTTTTATTCCCAGATGGATTGTTTATCCCTTGCATCTGTGCCTATGTTTATATATATGTAACTAATTTAGTAAATTACTTTGAATAAGAACAATGTTTAAAAATATAGCAATGCCAATTAATATTCCTTTATTGTTACTAGTCACTTTAAACTTTTTTTGTGTTTGTCCTTTTAGGTTGAGCTATAATACATATTCTTTGTTATTATTTAAAAAATTAAGCACACTTTTAAATGTTTTTTATGAAAATAATCAGTAAAAGTGCAATTGTTATTTTCCTTTGGCATTTTTAAGTTGAAGAAGTAAAATGCCAGAGGCGTATAGGCTACATTCATTTTTCTGTATTAAAGTTTAATTTGAGTACTCATTTCGTCTATTTATTCTATTGCAAAAAATTCATTATTTTTTAGCAAAAAGAGGCTAATAAAGCTCTAATTATTTTTATTATTTTGCACATTGTTAGATTTCATAATCCTATTATTTTATTATAATAGTTTTCTTCTTTTTTTTTCTAAAATACATATAATCTTTTTGAACAAATAATTTTTAAAGACTATTTTTGGTTAAAATATCACTAAAAATAATTCCAGAACATATATAACATCTTATAAACTGATCAATAACAAATATAAACTGATCAAATAATTCATTATCATCATCAAATATTTCTTTCATTAATTGAAATGAATGCATCTCATCTATTGTTAGCCACAATTGTTGTGCTCTGCTTACTCTGTGGTCACTGTAATCTGGCGAAACCCACAGGGTCTATGACCAGAATTCAGGTTTGGTTTACTATAAGAAACCATTCTCTTAAATATTGATTTAATATAATGATTTAACTAAATCATAGGAAGTATTTCGGACGCTCATGGCTAAGCCTATGATGCTTGCCTCTCGAGGAAAGAAATCTCTCGTTGCATTTCCGAACGTTGAAGAATATTTAATAGATCGAGAAAACCAAGAAGATGGCAAAGGAAGAAGTGGTAGACGTTCATTTAGTGATTCTTCATATTGGTTGCTGACCGATGTGAGATCACCAGTTTATGCCGTTACACTGAATGTGAGGCGATGAAATCTATCAAATTATTGATAATCATTTAATAAGCTTAAATTCGTTATGTTCTAAAACTGCTCTGTTTTTCCTTCCACATATTTACAGCATATTAAATTTATTTTTGAAATGCTTAATAACTTTTAACATTATTCTTTATGTTCAGGAAATTGCGTTATTAATCACAAATGTGATTTTATTCTTTCCTCTAATTACAAAGAAAAGTTGATTTGTAAAAGACTATTCAAACTACAAGAATGAGCTAATGAGCGAAGCGTCATATATACTATAGTTTATTTTGAACTTGCTCTTATCTTTATTTAACTATTTATAACTTCTAATAAACTGAAATGCTTCTATTGAACTAATTTTTAACTAATACATATGAAGAGAAAATATAATTAATCTTCACAACATTTTCCAAAATTTCCATAAATATTCCGAAATCGTCTATGGAGTAGAAACCAAAGAAGATTTGGTGTGGCAAGACGAAGACTTAACTAAAATTTGCTTGTTTTATTTTGCAAAGAAAATTGTTAATTGGAAAATAATAAAAACTCGCCAGTAAACGTGGAATGAATGGTGCCAACAATAGGTCTGTTTCACGACGTTCAACAGCTGCAACAATTTCGCGCGCTGAATATTCAGGACTCATTCCAGCAACCTAGGAATATTATATGTCTAATGTTTGTAAAGAGAGAGACTTGTCCAGGATCTGTTCGACCAATTGTCTTGCCTTTCTCGTTCAACGAATTTATTGCCAATGATGTATTGACATAACCAACACTAGCTGTTAAAATATGAAGTTGCGGACGGTCTTCAGCGCGGAGACTGTCGAAGAAACCCTAATAAATTCAGCATTATATTTGTTCCAGTTATTTTATCACCTGAGCTGCATGTTTTGAGGCAGAATAGGCTCCTAAATATGGAAGAGCAACACGTCCAACAATACTACTAACTAGAACGATTGCTCCATCATCAGGGATCCAATCCATAAGTCGTTGGCTGATGGCAACATGACCAAGAAAATTAACGTCAATCATTCGCTTGAGAACTTTAAGATTCATTCGTTGACCAGAACCGTAAGCCATCTGTCCCGCATTGTTTATTAAGACATCCAATTTAGGTTTATTAGGATTAGTATTAGAAAGTAATAGTTTAATCGTTTTTACAAATTCTTCCAACTTTTCTTCATTATTTGCAACTTCTTCCAAATCGAGACGGAAAAAGGTAGGGCGATAAAGTTTCTCTTTATTAACATTATATTTATTATGAACATCCAATTCAGCACAAATTTTCTCCAGCTGGTCGATAGACCGTGAAGCAAGAATAAGTTTGGCGCCATAAAAATAGATTAAGTTTAGTAAAAAATTTATTAGTGTTTAATTTACATAAATTTAAATGGCTATAATTATGAATTTACTTTTGCATGCATAATACGCGCAATTTCCCGCCCAATACCAGAACTTGCTCCTGTAATCAAAACAGTCTTTCCTTGAAGTTCAAGTCGTGAATGATTGGTAGGGAATGGTAGAAATTTATAAAGCAAATTGCAGAAAATCAAAATAATTAGGATTATTAAGGCAACAAATAAAACATTTTGCATTAAATAAATAAAATTTGGCAATAAAAACATTTTTCTCCTGTTATTTTTTGCTTTCTTTAGCAAAATAGTAAATGAAATAATTAATAGAGTTGTGTACAAATGATTGAGTTTGAGAAGGAAAGGATGCAGTTATAAGTATTATTTTTTGCTGTTAAAATTGTGCGGAAAGTAACATCAAGTTCAAGTGAAAACTTGTTTAACGCTCATTTATTTTTAATATTTTGATTTGAGCAATCAATTTTATTTTTCTGTAATTTATGAAAAATAATTTAATGAACATAATTTCAAAATAATTAACAGGTCATTAAAAAGGTTTTATTTATTTTACATAATTCAGACAATTGAACTTTTTATTTAGAAAAGTGGTCTTTTTTAAAAAGGGATTTGCCACTTTTTAAAGTCCTATTTTTTACTTTGTTTATTTGAAGTCTTATGGTCTTAAGGATTTTTGAGGAAAGCATATTAAGATTTCGTCTGGAGTGGAACAAAAATTCTCTTCATTTGTTATGCTTTTTAATATACATAATTATTGTTAAAATTTTCTTTTTTATTTTAATTCTACTTGGCTAAAATTTTTGAAAAATACAAAATAATAGAAGAACGTGTTTGTTTTCCTCTCATTTGTCAGTTTTTTATTTTTTGCTAGCACCATCAGTTAGGTAGGCAATCAGTCAAGCAATGAATAATGGAAAAAGATAGGTTTGATTCAAGCATTCAGTTCAAGCCTACGTAGAGTGGAAGTCAGCTGTCATCAAGATTAGGAAAAGCTCTTGTTGATAATTTTGCTATTTTCTCTTAGTGTTCATAGAATGAAAGCATTTTAATATTTTTTAGTAAAATGATAAATTTACTGTTACTATCTATGTTTTTACTGAGTATTTTCCTCCTTTTTCAATAATTAGTATCAAAAGTTTTAGATTTACAAAGTTAAATTTTAAATTTTGCATCTTAAATTTGTAATATGTTATGAGCAAATTTTCATACGAATTAGTCTATCTATTAGTCAATTAAATTTTTGGCCCATTATTTATGTAGCTTACGCTTTTAGAGAAATTTTAGTGCCAGGAAGGATTGGTTGAGTGGGCTCAGCTGTTCAAACTGAGAAGCTTAATTACAAATACTTCACGAAATAAAAATAAACATTCAATGTTTTTTTATAAAAATTTTATTACAATTTTGTTACAAATAATAGAGTATTTGCTAAAAAATGCCATTTTAATAACAATTTTGAAATGTGTTAATTTGCAGCTCCCATTATTAATTTATAACTTATGTTTAATTATAGGCTTCTCTTATTAATATATCTGATTCAAATTTTTGTTTAAATTACAAAATGGTTGTTGTTATTCATTTACTCTACAGGATTTTATCGTCGGCAAAGCGAATGCAGGTAAAATTTCTTAATTTTGGCAGTGGAAAAGTATTATTTAGCGTTTGCTTACAGGCTAAGCTTTTATTTATAAAAATATTTTGTTTTTATATTTTCTGGTTATTTTTAGAAAGTAAAGCCTTATACATTGCATTGCTCGCTGCTTGTACTTGTATTCATTTATGCTTTTGTTGGGGGATTAATCTTCAATAAATTGGAAGCACAGGCCACACAGGAACAGTATAAAAAGTTAGAAGTCTGATTTTTCAATCCATTTTATTAATTTTCAGAGAATGGGAGGCAAAAACAGAATGTGTCCATAAGGCTAGTTATTTCCTACAATATTTAAATAACAGCTAAGTTTGTCCTTATAAAAATATTGTCCGATAAAGGTCCTTGAACAAGTACCCTCTTCTCAACCACTAGATGAACGACCAAGGACGGATCGCATTTTGCATTGTTTTCAAAGTGAACCTGATCATCGATCTCAATGGTCATTAAATTATTTTATTTCTAATAAAATAAAATTAAATACTGTAAACTAAGTTTAATGTTTAGGAGTTGGATAACTGGCACACTGTATAGCTTTGGCATTATCACAACACTTGGTGAATCAAAATTATTTGATAAATATCGTGTTTATAAATAAAGGCTACAACAGAATAGGACCAATAACACTGGCAGGCCGGCTTTTTTGTGTTTTTTACGGGATTTGTGGCATTCCTCTAACAATGATTGTTAGTATTTATATTTTCTTGTCTATTTTTATTTAAGATAATTGCAAACATCGGTCAATATCTCAACCAATTTGCAAGTGCTACCCGTAGACATGTAAATAATTGAACGAAATATAACATGAAGTTGTTTAATCATGATATAGATTGAAACATACCGAGAGAAGAGGCGACGTTCGCGCGTTACAGGCGCTTCTGGTTTAAGTGCTAGTGAAGAAGAAATTGAGGATTCATCTGTAGAATTTATGTCTCTTGGCCTATTGATATCCTTCTTGTTTTATGTCTGCTTGGGTGCTTTCTTATTGCCACTTCTAAACGGCGAGGCTAGTTAGAGTTTCGATATAAATTTATCAAATTTTTATAATCAAGTAAATTGTTATACTGATTGAAAAACAAAGCTCTTGCTAATTTGTTTATTTTCAGTTTGATTTCCTCAATGGAATTTATTTTAACTTCCTCTGTCTAACAGCAATTGACTTTGGACAACTTGTTCCTTCAAAGTATACATATTATTACATTTACATTTGAGGTATAAAACGAATACTTAAATTAAAGGTGGGAATTTTTGCCAATCACCTTTCTTTATGTATGCATTGGGCTTGCTATAACGGTGGGCAATAGCACATACATATATCAATATTTTTTATAGATTTTTAGACAATCGCGATAGAGATTGGTTCTGAGTATCTAAAGAAGCTCCATCACTTTGGAAAACGTATGAAAAATGTAGCACAGACCAGGATTTGGTTTGGCGGCAAAACGTGAGCTAACTAGTTTATTTGCGGTAAAGACAGAAGTTGTGAATGATGTTTTATTTTAGACTGAAGGTGAGAGATTTATTGCATGCTGTTGGCAAAAAATGTGGTATTGACCCTTCAGGTATGTTTACTCATAATTATAAACTATTATAAATTTACATAAGTTTTATATTGCAAGTATACTTTTTATGTGATTTTACTTTTTTCCAGAAATTGACAAGCTGGATCTTGAAAATGTTATTGAGAGAGCAGTGGCAATTAGTGTATTTTTGTAGCATGTTTAAGGAATATACGTATTTCTCGATTTTAGGAGGGACGTGAACCTCCAATGGATACAAATGAAGAACCGCCACCACCAAAAGAGCCGCAACCACCAGCTACTGAGGAAGTACCTCTGCTTGAAAATAATAGAAATGAGGACCGGCGATCACGTACTCCACCTTTTAAAAGGGCAGCCGAACGTGTTGTGAGCCTCCCCATTGTTGAACAGACAAAGCCGATTGATAATGTCAATGAGAGCTTAGAAAACAGCAACAGAAATTTGGTTTGTGCATTCAAAAAGAATTGAGCACTAAAAGCTAATTTCCGGTTTCCTCCAATTTAGCGATTGGATCTCTGCGAATTTGTTGCAATAGATATGGATTTGCCTGATGGACCTATAGAGGAGGCACTTACTTGGATGGAACCAGTAAGTATTCTTGATCTCAGAAAATAAACATCTAAAGAACTTAAACCTGTTCTTTTTTCCTTAATAAAAACCTTTAAAGTTAATTTTTAAAAATTCTTTAAATTTTCTAATTAATATTTTTTCAGCCGCTAAAATTAGTGATGCATTCGGATCACGAACTTGTGGGTATTTTTTATTATTATCATCATCAAACCCCAGTTTCTACTATAATAATTTGTCATATATTAACTTTAAAAAAATTCGATTGCTTTCTAGGTGCAAATAGATCCAGCCATTGCTTCACCTAAAGATTTGGGCGCTTATGGGCCACCGCACGTAATAGTAGATGAAGATGAACGGATTCTGGATTTAGAACCGAGAAAATTTAAAGAAAAAAAGGAAAAGTATGGAAGGGATGCCAAAAGGCTTTACGAAACCTATCAAGAAGAATGGGAGAGATTAGTTAGTTAAAAAGAAAATACCTAACATGCTTTTTTTGTTTTAGGAACGACTTTCTGATCGACGTCTAGGCCCCCGCCGTAAATCAGTTAGGTAAACAGTATATAAAAATCACAGTTGTTTAGGTCCTAGCATTGAATGCATTGGGATCTGGAACCGGGGGTAGAAGAGAATCGTCACTGGAAGGTAGCACTTCAACAGCAAGAGAAAGTCCAGCTGCTGTCAGACATGCTCAGCAAACTAGTCCGCCATCAGCAACACGAATAACCAAAGAGGCAACAAGTAGTCCATCGGAATTAAGAAAACAAACAGTACCTAAACAGGAAGTGAAAATAACAACATCGCCCACGAATCCTAGGATAAAATCACCTACTATGTTAAGGGCAGGCACGACACCAAAGGTGATACCTTAGTCCAGCTTGTATACACTACGATTCTTAGGTTTTACGCCCACCTGTAAAGGAAAATATGGAGAGACGTTCATCATCACCAAGAAAGCTGGATTTGACAAGATTTTCAAAATTTGGTGAAATGGTTACAAAACCTGATGTTCCAGGCCTCGAAGAGCGGATTTTAGAACGTCGTAAAAGTCGAATGTCTAATGATATTACATTCCCACCCGAAACGCCAAGAAAAAGTCTGACCGGAAGTGATACATCTCAGGTACACCATACTGCAGCAAACGTAAATTTTACAGAAACAACAAAGCCATAAAGAGATCGTAATTATTTTTTAATTCCTATTGATGACTTGTTTTAGAGTTGATAAAAGTAAAACACTAATAATTTGTATAAATACTATGTGATCAAGATTAATACCTTTATTTATTATGCAATCAAATTTAATGCCTTTAGTTTCTTCGGAGAAATTGTTCAGAAAAAGAAACTTTTTTATTAAAAAAAAACAAATTTTCTAATTCCTTATGTTCATTTCCTTATGTTTCCTTGTCATTATTTCTTGTTCTTAAAAATTTTGTTTTAGCTTGATTTAGAAAAGGTAGCAACCGAACTGGATTTGGAGCAATGTGGTTATTAGATGGAATTGAAATTTTGAAATGGAAAAGGTTTTTGAGCTTTTTAGATTTTTGAGCTTTTTAGATTTTTGAGCTTTTTAGATTTTTGATGTATTTTAGATTTTTGATGTATTTAGGATAGACCCATTCCTATGCTTTACGTTTCATGCCACTTTTTTCCTTAAATTTAAATTTTGGCAGATTTTTTTCGAAAAACGACAATTTATCCCATTCTAGAAAGACTACGGAGAGAGAAAAAGAGTAAATATCTATTTTCTTCCGTGTCCCTACAAAGGATCGTAACATAAAAGGATCGACACGGCTAAAAACGTTCAAAGGATCGTAACGTCTAAAAACAATTAAAGGATCGTCGCGGGCAAAAAGTATTAAAGGGTCGCCCATTAAAGGATCGTCCATCAATGGATCGCCATGGGTAAAAACGTTTAAAGGATCGTTTTTTGAGTACCCACCCAAAAGAAGACGTTTGAGTCCCGTATATCTTTTCGATTCGGCCAAAAGGGGTTAAAAGAGTCTAGCAATCCGCGGAAAAAAGTTTTTGCCGCTGCGGAGGAAGTCGGGCATGTCGAGCGGAACGACGGCCGCCGCTTCGCTACGGTCGCCGCGAGCGAAGCGAGCACGACCGCAGCGAAGCACGGCCATCGTGTAGCGAAGACCATGCCCGGCCTACCCTCCGTAGCAGCACAAAAACAGTTTTTCCAGCGAAGATTCTGTTGGTAATACATAATTATGTTCAGACTCGACTGACTTTTCCGTCTTAATCACCGTTAGCAGACTGCGGCATATAACTGCGCTCAAACTGTTGGCACTGAACTGGCTTTATTCAATTTTTGAAAAATGACGATCCTTTGAACGATTTTACTCTTGGCGATCCTTTGATGGACGATCCTTTAATGAACGGCCCTTTAATAGTTTTTGCCCGTGACGATCCTTTAACAGGACGATCCTTTGTAAAAACGATCCTTTGTATAGGAGCCTTTTCTTCTTGGGGTCATTTAAGATGGACTTGGAGGTAACTTTTTTTACCAAACCCCATTTTACTAATCGATTTATGATTAACTAAAATCCTTTATCAATTCATCTCATAGTCATAACGTGACATGGGAAATAAAATCCACTAAGCATCACTCAGCACTTGAGAAACAACTGCAAATCCTCTCAATATATGCTAGAATTTTGAGTCAATTTTTCACTACAAAAATTTTTTATTTAATTCCTTTTAAATTTTTTTAGAAATCTTAAGCTTCTCTTTAAGGAAGTGTTGAATAATTCGAGAATCTTCCACAATCTTTTAATCTTAATGTGGGATTCTAGCGTGTCGTCAATTTCCTTTCAATAATTTTGGGACTTCCACTGCAAGCTGGGTCTGGCCTTGATATGTTTTTCTCCAAGAGTTTTTTCCCTGATTTAAACAATGAAGCCTTTTTATTTCTCCCCCTCCTCTTTCATTACTTATTTATGCTTCGCATTTAATTTATCCTTCCGTGATTTTTAATTTCTTTATATATTTTTTAGAGTTTTTTTTTAAACAAAAAATGTTAACAACGACAAAGTTTATTCTGAACTCTTCAATTCTTTTATTTTTGTCAATATCTCATGGCCTTGGACGTGATGAGGCGTCAAAAACAACTCTTCCAAACCTAAGGATAAAGACAAAAAATATGGAACGATTGTTGGAGTTGATTTGGGAACAACTTATTCTTGTGTTGGTGTTTATAAAAATGGACGCGTTGAAATTATTGCAAACGATCAAGGTATAGTATAAGAAATAGAAGGGGTCAGATGGTTCCACAACATCTGCCAAAGGGTTGGAAAAAGTCAAAAAGACTGGGATAAAGAGTAAGGGATGTCAAAATCTAGGAGAACCCAGTGGGTCTATTGGCCCCCCTCTCTATTGGTCAGGTTACACAGAAAGTCAAATCCAAATACTTGGGGCGGATAAATGTGACTCAAGATCAGGAATACTTTGCCTGCTCCATTAGGCCTTATTATGCTCCATTTTTTGGGATCAAATGTCAGTTGCTTAAGTGAGATTTGACTTCTTGGGTTTCTCTGGGTTTATCTCGAAAAACGACTTAGAGGAAATAAGTTCCGTTTGTCATTTATATTTTCTTTATACAGGCAACCGTATTACTCCATCCTACGTGGCGTTTATTGAAAATGGTGAAAGATTGATTGGGGACGCGGCAAAGAACCAGTTGACGTTGAACCCGGAAAATACAATCTTCGATGCAAAACGCTTTATTGGAAGAGAGTTCACGGACAAAACTGTTCAGGATGACATGAAGTTGTGGCCGTTCGGGGTTGGGTCATGAAGTTTGGGTCATGAAGTTACGCATGCTGTGGTTACGGTTAGTTTTTTTCCGGTTACCGTCGAAACTAAAATAATATTTTTAAGGTCCCCGCTTACGTTAACGATGCTCAACGTCAAGCTACCAAAGATGCTGGAACTATCTCTGGACTTAATGTTGTACGTATTATTAATGAACCGACAGCAGCGGCAATCGCTTATGGATTGGACAAGAAAGAAGGTTTTTTGATTATTTTTTATTTGAAGGGAGGCTTGTGTGACAACCTTCTTCTGTGTTTCTTTGAATTTTGTCTATAGGGCCAGGACGCCGGGTTGGTGTGGTTATGTAAGTCCTGACTCCAAGCTAGGAGGGTTTGTAGGGCTCCGAATTGTATGGATCGGACTCGGCAATGGATGTTAAGCTTGAGCTCCTATCTCGATAAAGTTATATGGTCATTTGAAAGAGCTCAACGAGCTCTGGTATGAATTAAATAGACATCAGAATTAACTCGCGGACTCAACGTTAAGCCGAGATTCAGACATGAGAATAAACCATCCCAATCTGTGTCTAAATTTCCCTTCTCCCAAACTTCTCATAAGGATACCTTTCTTAAACTTCATTATTTCTTAGGGGAACGCAACATTCTTGTCTTTGACCTAGGCGGAGGCACCTTCGACGTTTCATTGTTGACTATCGATAATGGAGTTTTTGAAGTGTTGGCAACAAATGGAGACACTCACTTGGAAGGTGAAGATTTTGATCAGAGGACTATGGAATACTTTATTAAATTAATTAAAAAGAAGACTGGAAAGGATTTGAGGAAAGATAACCGAGCTGTTCAAAAACTTCGTCGTGAGGTTTGTTTTTTGTGGTTTTAAAAATTTCTAACAGTTTTTAAATGTGTTGATATATTTTTAAAATTTATATTTTTTATTTAAAATGGTTAAAAATTTGCGTTTCCGCTGTAGGGTTCCAACCTTGTACCCCCTTTTAGGCAATATTTTTAATTATCCCACTTAACCAAAAGGTACATTTTTCCCTTCTTTTGTTCTATTTTCGTTCCTTTATTCTCTTTTATGTTAAAAAATTTATAGAAATTTTTAAAAAATTCCTGGTCTATGATTTATAAAAAATTCTTTCTTTTAAAGGTCGAAAAGGCAAAGAGAGCCTTCTCAGTCCAGCACCAAGTCAAAATGGAAGTTGAATCCTTAATTGATGGAATTGATTTTTCTGAAACCTTGACTCGTGCAAATGTGAAGAATTAAATATGGATTTGTTTAGAGGAACACTTAAACCTGTGCAAAAAGTTTTGGAAGATGCAGGTTTTTTTGTGGGGAATTTTGAATTTTTTTTTTGTTTAAGATAGGAAGAAGGATGACATTCATGAAATTGTTTTGATTGATGGTTCAACAAGAATTCCAAAAATTCAACACTTGTTGAAAGACTTTTTCAATGGAAAAGAAGATCGTGTTATTAATCCAGGTTTAACTTTTGTTTTTTCTATTGTTTGGGTAAGATTGGTGTTGAATATACTCAACCCCAAGGATGCTGGACGTTTTTAAAGTTAGGTTGGCGATTGGGTTTTTTGTTCAGTCCTAATCAATAAGAACGGGTCATGTTGAGAAAATATCAAGAAGCGGAATTGTCCATTGCTCCATCCTACAAGTACCAGACGTTTTTTAAATAAATTTAATTTTAGATATTGAAAGAATGGTTAATAATGCAAAGAAGTTTGCTGAAGAGGATAAACGTGTTAAAGAAACTGTTACATTACGTAATGAATTGGAATCACATGCCTATCAACTCAAAAACCAGGTTTTTTTGTTGATGATTAAAATTTTTTTCTTTGGGGGGTTTGATTTTGGGGGACTGACTTTCATAGGAGTATCAGGTGTTTTGTTGGGGGTATTAACTCTGGGTATGGTGTTGGCCTCAAAAATTCCTCTCAAATTTTACATTTTATTTTTAAAGGTATTATGCAGATGTGTGCTTCAACAACAAACACTCCTAGAACGTGTGGCTGAAGTTCTGAAACATCTGCAGCTACAACAAGACAAGTGTTATTGTGGGCAGTGTTCAAAATGAGCATCGGTGGCAACAAACTGATGCTGGATTACAAAGATGAGAGAAGCTAAAAAATGTGGCAAAGATGCTTCCGCCACATTTTAAGGTCTAAAAGATATTTGAATTAAATATGTTTTTATTATTTCTTAGTGCTTTTCCGTTTGCGTCGATTTTTTTGTTTTATTTTTTCAAGTACAAAATTTTATCAAAACAGCAGGATTCTTAGATCGAAAAACGGAAAAGCACATTTAAGCCACTTGTAAAAAAAGGCTTTTTTGCGGATTCGTTTAGAAGAAAGCAAAAAGGTCTTTTCTTTACAAGTGGTATTTTTTTATTACATTATTTTTTTGTTGGTTAAAAATGGGTTTGGTGTCCCCGTTCCCCCGACCCTGGGTTCACCCAACCCACAACTTTTCCAAGCTCCGAGAGCTTCAGACACTCCTAAACTCTTAAAGCGATCCAGCTTGACGACCTGCATTTAATTTTGTAAAAATTAGAACTTTTTCTGTAATTAAACTCCCAAATGAATACCAGCAATTAGTTTTAATAACATTTCAAACAGAATTGTAATAACTAAATAGGTTCAGGCTTTCATACCTGCCAGTTATATCCAAAGGCACGGGTTCTTATTCAATAGGTGTAGACAGTAGGGCACTAGACATAGGCTTCCTTTGACGTTGACCTAGACTTTGACCTTTGAATTACCCCCCTTCCGGACCCAAATGTCCAATGATCAATTGTCCCAATGATCAATTGTCCCAATGATCTAATGTCCAGTGATCAATTGTCCCAATGATCAAATGTCCAATGATCAAATGTCCAGTGATCAATTGTCCAGTGATCAATTGTCCCAGTGACCAATTGTCCCAGTGACCAATTGTGCCAGTGACCAAATGTCCAGTGATCAATTGTCCCAGTGACCAAATGTCCAGTGATCAATTGTCCCTGACTGTCCCACACTAAAAATCCCGCACTGAAAATCTGGCACCAAAAATGACCGACCCCCCTTTTTTAAAAGACCTCTCCATAGGATCAGGCTTTCATACCTCCCAGTTATATCCAAAGGCACGGGTTCTTATTCAATAGGTGTAGACAGTAGGGCACTAGACATAGGCTTCCTTTGACGTTGACCTAGACTTTGACCTTTGAATTACCCCCCTTCCGGACCCAAATGTCCAATGATCAATTGTCCCAATGATCAATTGTCCCAATGATCTAATGTCCAGTGATCAATTGTCCCAATGATCAAATGTCCAATGATCAAATGTCCAGTGATCAATTGTCCAGTGATCAATTGTCCCAGTGACCAATTGTCCCAGTGACCAATTGTGCCAGTGACCAAATGTCCAGTGATCAATTGTCCCAGTGACCAAATGTCCAGTGATCAATTGTCCCTGACTGTCCCACACTAAAAATCCCGCACTGAAAATCTGGCACCAAAAATGACCGACCCCCCTTTTTTAAAAGACCTCTCCATAGGATCAGGCTTTCATACCTCCCAGTTATATCCAAAGGCACGGGTTCTTATTCAATAGGTGTAGACAGTAGGGCACTAGACATAGGCTTCCTTTGACGTTGACCTAGACTTTGACCTTTGAATTACCCCCCTTCCGGACCCAAATGTCCAATGATCAATTGTCCCAATGATCAATTGTCCCAATGATCTAATGTCCAGTGATCAATTGTCCCAATGATCAAATGTCCAATGATCAAATGTCCAGTGATCAATTGTCCAGTGATCAATTGTCCCAGTGACCAATTGTCCCAGTGACCAATTGTGCCAGTGACCAAATGTCCAGTGATCAATTGTCCCAGTGACCAAATGTCCAGTGATCAATTGTCCCTGACTGTCCCACACTAAAAATCCCGCACTGAAAATCTGGCACCAAAAATGACCGACCCCCCTTTTTTAAAAGACCTCTCCATAGGATCAGGCTTTCATACCTCCCAGTTATATCCAAAGGCACGGGTTCTTATTCAATAGGTGTAGACAGTAGGGCACTAGACATAGGCTTCCTTTGACGTTGACCTAGACTTTGACCTTTGAATTACCCCCCTTCCGGACCCAAATGTCCAATGATCAATTGTCCCAATGATCAATTGTCCCAATGATCTAATGTCCAGTGATCAATTGTCCCAATGATCAAATGTCCAATGATCAAATGTCCAGTGATCAATTGTCCAGTGATCAATTGTCCCAGTGACCAATTGTCCCAGTGACCAATTGTGCCAGTGACCAAATGTCCAGTGATCAATTGTCCCAGTGACCAAATGTCCAGTGATCAATTGTCCCTGACTGTCCCACACTAAAAATCCCGCACTGAAAATCTGGCACCAAAAATGACCGACCCCCCTTTTTTAAAAGACCTCTCCATAGGATCAGGCTTTCATACCTCCCAGTTATATCCAAAGGCACGGGTTCTTATTCAATAGGTGTAGACAGTAGGGCACTAGACATAGGCTTCCTTTGACGTTGACCTAGACTTTGACCTTTGAATTACCCCCCTTCCGGACCCAAATGTCCAATGATCAATTGTCCCAATGATCAATTGTCCCAATGATCTAATGTCCAGTGATCAATTGTCCCAATGATCAAATGTCCAATGATCAAATGTCCAGTGATCAATTGTCCAGTGATCAATTGTCCCAGTGACCAATTGTGCCAGTGACCAAATGTCCAGTGATCAATTGTCCCAGTGACCAAATGTCCAGTGATCAATTGTCCCTGACTGTCCCACACTAAAAATCCCGCACTGAAAATCTGGCACCAAAAATGACCGACCCCCCTTTTTTAAAAGACCTCTCCATAGGATCAGGCTTTCATACCTCCCAGTTATATCCAAAGGCACGGGTTCTTATTCAATAGGTGTAGACAGTAGGGCACTAGACATAGGCTTCCTTTGACGTTGACCTAGACTTTGACCTTTGAATTACCCCCCTTCCGGACCCAAATGTCCAATGATCAATTGTCCCAATGATCAATTGTCCCAATGATCTAATGTCCAGTGATCAATTGTCCCAATGATCAAATGTCCAGTGATCAATTGTCCAGTGATCAATTGTCCCAGTGACCAATTGTCCCAGTGACCAATTGTGCCAGTGACCAAATGTCCAGTGATCAATTGTCCCAGTGACCAAATGTCCAGTGATCAATTGTCCCTGACTGTCCCACACTAAAAATCCCGCACTGAAAATCTGGCACCAAAAATGACCGACCCCCCTTTTTTAAAAGACCTCTCCATAGGATCAGGCTTTCATACCTCCCAGTTATATCCAAAGGCACGGGTTCTTATTCAATAGGTGTAGACAGTAGGGCACTAGACATAGGCTTCCTTTGACGTTGACCTAGACTTTGACCTTTGAATTACCCCCCTTCCGGACCCAAATGTCCAATGATCAATTGTCCCAATGATCAATTGTCCCAATGATCTAATGTCCAGTGATCAATTGTCCCAATGATCAAATGTCCAATGATCAAATGTCCAGTGATCAATTGTCCAGTGATCAATTGTCCCAGTGACCAATTGTCCCAGTGACCAATTGTGCCAGTGACCAAATGTCCAGTGATCAATTGTCCCAGTGACCAAATGTCCAGTGATCAATTGTCCCTGACTGTCCCACACTAAAAATCCCGCACTGAAAATCTGGCACCAAAAATGACCGACCCCCCTTTTTTAAAAGACCTCTCCATAGGATCAGGCTTTCATACCTCCCAGTTATATCCAAAGGCACGGGTTCTTATTCAATAGGTGTAGACAGTAGGGCACTAGACATAGGCTTCCTTTGACGTTGACCTAGACTTTGACCTTTGAATTACCCCCCTTCCGGACCCAAATGTCCAATGATCAATTGTCCCAATGATCAATTGTCCCAATGATCTAATGTCCAGTGATCAATTGTCCCAATGATCAAATGTCCAATGATCAAATGTCCAGTGATCAATTGTCCAGTGATCAATTGTCCCAGTGACCAATTGTCCCAGTGACCAATTGTGCCAGTGACCAAATGTCCAGTGATCAATTGTCCCAGTGACCAAATGTCCAGTGATCAATTGTCCCTGACTGTCCCACACTAAAAATCCCGCACTGAAAATCTGGCACCAAAAATGACCGACCCCCCTTTTTTAAAAGACCTCTCCATAGGATCAGGCTTTCATACCTCCCAGTTATATCCAAAGGCACGGGTTCTTATTCAATAGGTGTAGACAGTAGGGCACTAGACATAGGCTTCCTTTGACGTTGACCTAGACTTTGACCTTTGAATTACCCCCCTTCCGGACCCAAATGTCCAATGATCAATTGTCCCAATGATCAATTGTCCCAATGATCTAATGTCCAGTGATCAATTGTCCCAATGATCAAATGTCCAATGATCAAATGTCCAGTGATCAATTGTCCAGTGATCAATTGTCCCAGTGACCAATTGTGCCAGTGACCAAATGTCCAGTGATCAATTGTCCCAGTGACCAAATGTCCAGTGATCAATTGTCCCTGACTGTCCCACACTAAAAATCCCGCACTGAAAATCTGGCACCAAAAATGACCGACCCCCCTTTTTTAAAAGACCTCTCCATAGGATCAGGCTTTCATACCTCCCAGTTATATCCAAAGGCACGGGTTCTTATTCAATAGGTGTAGACAGTAGGGCACTAGACATAGGCTTCCTTTGACGTTGACCTAGACTTTGACCTTTGAATTACCCCCCTTCCGGACCCAAATGTCCAATGATCAATTGTCCCAATGATCTAATGTCCAGTGATCAATTGTCCCAATGATCAAATGTCCAATGATCAAATGTCCAGTGATCAATTGTCCAGTGATCAATTGTCCCAGTGACCAATTGTCCCAGTGACCAATTGTGCCAGTGACCAAATGTCCAGTGATCAATTGTCCCAGTGACCAAATGTCCAGTGATCAATTGTCCCTGACTGTCCCACACTAAAAATCCCGCACTGAAAATCTGGCACCAAAAATGACCGACCCCCCTTTTTTAAAAGACCTCTCCATAGGATCAGGCTTTCA